TTCGCATTTTAACATTTCTTCAAGGATAGGGCACTTTAAACGTTTCTTAAATTGTTCAGTAATTAAAATCGTTATATTGCAATATCGGGAAATCTAAATTTGAGGGAGATTTTGGACCACCCTATTATAGGTATATTGAAAATGGACAAGAATGGGTAAATCTTAAAACACAATCCGATTGGTATTTAGAATCGACAATGGCAACCTACAAACGGACACATCGTCGGACAAATTGTTTTAGAATGCAACTCTACGTGTATAGTGATAGACTCGGCGGGGCGTAGTGGAAGATGACGGGACGTATTGGTCAAATTTGAAGAGATGTGTGGATGATTTAGAAACTGCTGCGTTTGATGCCCAAAAATCAAGACGTAGCGATGGAAGGGTGTAATGGGAGTCCATTCTGAAATTATGGGCGAGAATGGGTAAAAGACTGGCGAGATAACTTGACTTACAGTTAAAAGTTATGAAAATTTGCTTTATCTCACAGCTGGGGACCAAAACGCCGCTAAGACGAGGTACTTTGTACACGAAAACAATGTATCGACTGAAAGGTATTTCTGTGAAGCTTTGTACGGAACAAGTTTGAAGAAAAACGGTGAAGTGTGAGACTCACAATCCTTGATTTTCAAACACTGGGGTAGGTTTTAAATTCAAACTAACGGTTTTTTCGGGACGGAGTGGTTTCGATACGTCCCGAAGAGATACTACCGCGTGTTAGTATACTGCTGGAATATAACGAACTAAGATTGAACGAATACTAAGTAGAAACAAAAAGCAAACACCCAAATTATGCAATTATTTGGGAAATCAGTGACGTATAGTTCATTTGTTTGTTGAATTGTTGATGGGGCAATGTGCCATTGACGTCACAGGCAATGGTTCCATATTCCAAGAATTCGTGAACAAGAATGTTATATGACGTCATGATAAAACACTGCTTCAAGTGAGGAGCTCACAGTTGCTATGGATTACTATGTCGTAATGTGTCACATACCGTCATTCAGCGTCACTAACATTTAATTATAGAACACTTGTCAAACGTGGAGTTAACAAACAAGCTTTTCCTGAATATGTTTATTTTTCTGTTCTGTAAATCGCAAGTGTATCACCATTGTCGTAAGGGTTAGAGATGAGTCCCCTTAAGTAGAAAATGGAACTGCCAACCTGATATTGTGACCAGTTTAAGTTTGTACCTGCTTTATTAAGCACTATTCTGTATGTGCTGCTTATTCTTAATCTTGCTTGTGTTGTCTGAATATAAAATATAATGCAGATTTTTACTGTGTCATGCTTTTGAAATGGCCTTGAAAATATGCAATTTTATGAGAAATATGAGATTGGAGTAAATAGTCCTGTATATTCATACCTTTCGGACTTGATGTCTACTTAAAGCATGATTAAATAAAAATGTTTTTATTTTATAATTTCAAACATTGTATTATTAATTCTATGTCACTGTTGGATAAGTGGAGTGCCTGTTCTAGCCTTCAGAGAGATATTATTTTGCAATTAAACACAAGACTTTTTTGTTTGTTTTTGTTTTAAAGCTTGGAGTAGCTGCTGTTCCCCCAGCTACAACAAATGATACTTCTCCTGACATGTGAGAATTGCAAAGTTTTGATTGAATGTTTAACCTCTTGAATCCCAGGCTCTAAAATCGGTAGAAACCAGAGAATTTTCATTTTTTCCCAACTTTTGACATTTTACTACATACCTATACAACCTGAGATGCTCAACTTAGTAAAATTAGATGGCAGAGATCATTTCTACATATTTTAAAACAGGTTTTGTGTACATTGGATGAAAGTTGTAAAAATAAGAGCAATTTTAGTGAAAATTTTTGTGATGGATTTTCTCGTCACTCTGGGTTTCAAGGTCATTTCTGAGGTGACGAGAAATCTCGTCACTCCAGGTAGTCAAGAGGTTATATGCTTGATACTTGTACAGTTGAATGGTTAACACTCTTAATCTGCAAAAACAATACATGCAAAATGAAGTAAAAAGAATCTTGTAAGAATGTAACATCCAGAATCTAAATTGTACAGGACCAATAGTTCTGACACTTCCTTTCAAGTTCAAGGGAACAGTTATCTAATTCATGACTACCAGGCTAGTGAAGTTCTACGATGGGAAAGTTATTTCTTTGGATTTGATAAGAAATTTAAAAAAGTTTTTTTCTGACAGAATCAAGTGCTAGGTAGTGTACTTTTAGTCTACTTTTAATGTATTTATCTGATAAACATACTTTATGGCACTGAAGAGTAGGTGATGCATTTAAACTTGATGAATGGGTTTCAATTTAAAATCCTTGCATTAAGAGAGATGCTAATTTAGTAATTATTACTATTGTAGATCCTATCAAATCAGTAGGATCATCGTTTTTTCAAGTTTAATAATAATGCCATATATAAAACTAAGTTATTTGAACATTTGACTCAAATTATTGGTACTTTGGGGAGAATGTTGTATAATTTTTTATGTCACTACCAGAAATTTGGCATCTGCAAATGGTAGGTGATGACATTTTGCATATCTTGTTAAGATATAGGGAAGAATCAAGGATGTATTTAAAATATTGAATTATTAGTTTATGAAACCATTGCAAGAAGCAAGAGTATTTTGAAAGAAGGAGATACACAGAAAGATTTATCTTTTAAGGTCAAGTGGGTTCACTAACAGAGTACTGTACTTTACATTCATTTTTCCTTCCAGATTTGTTACCTATTCAGCAGGATATATTTTGGGAAAATTATCCTTTTTATTTACTCTAGTCTAAGTAAGAACATGTCCTAAAATCCAAAGAAAGTTTGTCCTGGGTGGGTAGTTTGTCCCTGGATGCATTGTGAAACAAAACAATGAAACAATTTGCCAGGGCCTAAGTTAATTCGGTAAATATAAAAGATGTCCCCCCCATAGAAGGCACCCTTGGTTTCTTACACATATTATTTTAATTTAACAAAGGTATATCTTATATGTTTCAGAGAGGTATTCAAGGCAAGATGTAGAGAAACAAAGCGCCTCGTGGCTCTGAAAAAAGTACTCATGGAAAATGAGAAAGAAGGGGTGAGTTGTTCAAACAGTTCAAAGAGTACAATGAATAAATGACCATTGAAGAATGCTGTTGTTTACCCAATAATGTTGCTTCGATGACTTTTGAAAGAGTTAGAAATGGTTTTGATGATGAAAATTGGTGCATTTATTCATCAGAAAATTCAAAGATCACATTTTATATGCTCAAATATTAAAATTAATTCATTCGCTACAAAGGATGTGATATGACGTCATAAAGCACTCACATCCAAGCACGAACCCAAAGTATTTTTTTGAATCTTGTAACCATGACAACTTATAAAATGGAACTTAAAACCTATTGATTCTCAAAGAGCATAGCATATGCTTTTAAATGTAACACTATATATGTACGCCCATGTATATACTATATATATTATCTCAAAGGTACCATATCTTTTATTGACTCTTTACTGGATGTCATATCATGACATATTAGTCACTAAGGTAGAGCAGTTCTACCCATTGTCGAGTTGAAGAACTGGTATCTTTATCCTGGCTAGAACTATAGACAATTCTAGCCAGCGCCAGCCTTTTATCTAGTCAGCAGCACTCTAGTAATCGCCATATATGGCAATTTTCAAAAATTCATCAGTATTGTAGTGCTTTTTGCCCCAGTATTGAGTTAACAAATAAACATCACGTGGTACTACCATTTAACTGTTTTATACTGAAAAATATCTAAACCTATTTAAGTGTTATTGTGCAATATAAATAGCTCATTCCGATAAATCCTGCCACCTCTTGATACATTAGAAAACCTATATGCCTGATTGGCTATTTTGATGATGTCATTGGTTGTAGGTAGAAATCTGACCATGCAAAAACAAGATGACATCATCACGCTCGGTGATCAAAAAATGGGACAGAGGGGGCAGGCAATTTCTGCTAGAAGATTCAAAACAACAAATCTGGAAGATTTATTTTTTCAACAGGAAGTTAACAATTGAATTAACTAGTGGATAGGTGCAGGAGACGGTAAAAAATGTTTGGTCTTCTAGAATTTTATTTGAACCTATATGTTTCTAAGATGCGAGATCTAAGGCCACCAACATGCACAATCTTTTTGCTAAAAATCAAGCAATATGAGTCTACACAACCTGTAATAAATATTTGTAAGATATATTATCAAGAAAATGAATGCTATTGTTGACTTTACAAAATGGGTCTCCAAACGTTATATGAAAAATAATGAAAAGGGATGGAGGGGGGAGGGGGGAAGTAATATGTCCATAAGGTGGACTTTTACATGAATTCTTGTACATTGTATTTAAAAAATGAACTCAGTTAATCAGTAAGAAACTGGATGTTACATCTCTGAAAAATGAAAACATTTGTAGTAATAGGACATAAAGTCAAGTAGTATCTTTTATCATGACGGTATAGACATATTACTCCCCCTCCCTTTGTTTGCTCCCCCAATCGTCCTATTTTAATGATTTTTATATAACTTATGGAAACTCAGCAATGGCATTCATTTTGTTATGATAACGTCACAGTATTTATTACACGTCAAGCAGACCATTGTTGCTTGATTTATAGCAAAACACTGATTTGTGCACGTTGGTGGCCAAGCACCTTTTTTAATAGATCTTAAATCTTAGAAGAGTATTGGTTCAAAAAAATTCATAGAAGATGTAACTTATTTTACTCTGCCGTGGGCCTATCAATTCAGCAAATCAATTGTATTAAACTTTCTCTTGAATAAATAGACCTTCTAGATTTGTTTAATTTCCTAGCAGAAATTGCCTGCTTCCATCCCCCCTCCCTCCCATATGTAATATTCCTATAAACCCTCTCTGATTTAGACCCATCTGCTCATTAGTCAATTATTACAAAAGAAAATTCTATACACAGAAATTTAAGATTAGGATTTACTTTTCAGTTCCCCATTACAGCATTGAGAGAGATCAAGATCTTACAGCTCCTAAATCATGACAACGTGGTACAACTCATTGAGATCTCTAGAAGTAAAGGTAAGACTTCTATTATTTAGACTTTTTTTCAAAATCATCTACAAGTTATCAGAAGTTCAAATCTGACTTTAGATTTGAGATTTCACCTTCTCAAGGTAAAAAAAGATCAAAAGGGTCTTTTTTCAGCTTGCTTCAAATTGACCAATTTTTTTCACAATCATCTATAAGTTCTCAGAAATTTGTTTAGACCGACTTCAGTTTTTTCAAAATCATCTACAAGCTATCAGAAGTTCAAATCTGAAATTTCACCTTCAATGACCTTCTCAGGGTCAAAAAAGGTATTTTTCAACATGCTTCAAATTGACCAATTTTTTAATTCAAAACCATCTACAAGTTCTCAGAAATTCAGATCTGACTTAAGATTAAACTAATAATATTGTAAGCAACTAGGTGGTGACATTTTGTCGTGTTAATGCCTTGTTGAAATTGATTGGCTCAGGTCTTCAGATGAAAAACAATTCAATATATTTACTGTTTACCCACAGTTGCTGGAATTACACATGGCGTTTTATAAAAGCGTCTTCGGTTTTAACCAGGTTTAAGAATTAGGTGTAATCACGATTGCGGTTTTACAAAAGCGCTTTTCTAAAACTCCAAGAACCCTTGTCACTAGTAAACGGCATAAGTCGTGCAGTGTAATACCGATCGGTTTTTGTAAGACGCCTTACCCGGGTTTTTACTAGTTTTTAACATTTGCCCTAAACGAAATAAGACCTCATTTCACACTGCTATCTGGCTATATCTAAATTGAAAAATGGATGATGGTCGCCAGGTCACATCGAAATCAAGTGTTATCATCAGAGAATATGTACATATTTTTCTTTTACCTTTATATTATGTTTTCTCATAATTAATAAAAGATAAATAAAAATTATGCAATGTCATGCATTTTTAATCAAATAATGGAAGATCAGTTTTGTCTTAGATAAAAAGAATACATTTACAGGAGATGTACACATACATGTATGCTGGATATTATCCATAACTACATCGTTAAAAGTGCACGAAAGGCGTTTTAGAAAAAACAGGTGTAATTCCAAAATATAATTCCTAAGACGCTTTAGAAATGTTGGTGTAATCAGAATGGCGATTTTGTAAAGCGCCTTCCACTTAAACGTTTTAGCGGATTTTGTGGTGTAATTCCAGCAAGTATGTGCACATTTATTAATTCCCACTTTGTATCATTCCAGCAACCCCATACAATCGCTACAAGAGCACATTCTACTTGGTGTTTGAGTTCTGCGAGCATGATCTGGCTGGTCTCCTTAGTAACGTCAATGTCAAGTTCAGTCTCGGGGAGATCAAGAAATGTATGCAGCAACTTCTCAATGGACTCTACTTCATTCACAGTAATAAGATTCTTCACAGAGACATGAAAGCTGCAAATATCTTACTAACTAAATCAGGGGTTTTAAAATTGGCAGATTTTGGACTTGCCCGTGCGACCACATCTAAAGGCCAGGTCGCGAGATATACCAATCGTGTTGTGACCTTGTGGTATAGACCCCCAGAGTTGTTGCTAGGTGAAAGGGATTATGGTCCCCCGATTGATCTCTGGGGTGCTGGTTGTATAATGGCGGAAATGTGGACCCGTAGTCCAATCATGCAAGGCAACACAGAGCAACATCAACTGACATTAATAAGCCAGCTTTGTGGGTCAATCACACCTGAAGTCTGGCCAGGTGTAGACAGTCTTGAACTATTTACAAAACTTGAGCTTCCACAGGGCCAAAAACGTAAAGTGAAAGAGAGGCTGAAGGCATATGTTCGGGACCAATGGGCTTTGGATTTATTAGATAAGCTACTCACCCTTGATCCCACTAAGAGAATGGACAGTGACACTGCGTTAAATCATGATTTCTTCTGGAGTGACCCTATGCCTTGTGATTTAGCCAAGATGTTAGCACAGCACACAACATCAATGTTTGAATACCTGGCGCCACCTAGGCGGAGGGGCCCTGTTCATGCACAGCCCCCACCTAAACCTCAACCCAAACAAGATCAGTACTTTGAGAGAACTTATTAATATTGGAAATATAGGAATAGGAGTATCGATGGTGATCATAGATTGCACTATATGATATGCTAATCCTAGAACTGTAATGGTACCATGAACATACAGGTACAGCATACATACAAGACTTACTCGTAAAGTGGAATACCCTTGTAAATGGAAAACTAACTTGTGAAAGTGAGAGACCAATACTACGTTGTTGAATGATTTCTCGATATTCTTTATAGGCACTCGACTTCATCTTGTTCCAATACGGAATTTTTCGAGAATTTTTTTTTTTTGCTACCGAAAATGTCCCCTCCGTATCAATATTTTCTGTATTGCGACGGAGATGATCAATGGGGACAATCTCTGTCAGTAGTAATACAGATTGGTACAGCACAAGAACTGACCAATCAGAAGGCTTCATTTTACAAATCATACGATAATAAAAGTTATTAAATGATTTGAAGTGCAATACAGGATATGTTGTCCTCGAGAAACTCTGCATTGGCATGAGACAAAGTCGAGAGAGCATAATACATGTATTATGTATTGCACTTCAAATCATTCTATTACGTTTTTTGTGTGATCTTATGCCAATACATTTTCCTTAGAAGATAATCCTTAGGAAATATTCTGTATTCTCTGTATTGCTACTGAGATTGTCCCCTCCATAACAATATTTTTTTTATATTGCTATGGTGATGATCAATGGGAACAATCTCAGTAGCAATACAGATTGGTACAGAACTGACCAATCAGAGGGCTCCATTTCACAGATCATGCGATAAATGTATTTGTAATTTGTACTTTAACTGAAAATGAGTTACTGCACCTTCTTGTAAGTTTTATTACTATCCACCTCTCAAACCCCAGTCTTAATCATGCTAGTAAACAACAAATATTCCAATTTTTTTCATGTAACTTTATATTTCTGAAATATTGTCAGATATTTGTTTGACATTCAGAACATGTATTTCAAACTTTCATAACTGGTAACCTATATAGTTGTTTGACATTATGTTTTTTCCAAACAGTGTTCTTACAGGGATTTTCTCAACCCTAAAAACAGTATCACTGATTGTTAATCAGTTGCACATTGGACCTCAGCTGAGTGGAAGGTCTGAAGTTAGGCTCATTTTCAAGATAGATGTGCATCACTTGCTTTCTTTAATGCTTGGAAAATCACTGATAAGAAACACAATATTTCTGATAAAGTACTGTACTTATAACATTCAAATTACTCTCTATAGGCTATGTATTTCAAATTAGAATCATAACCTTTATACTTTTATTTCAACAAAATTTAAACAAACTATTCTGAGCATTTTTCATAAAATCAGCGTCCTGTTTCTCTTAAAACATGTATGGTACAAAAATAAATAGAATATCAAAAGTAATTAGCCTATGTATACTGTTAATTTTAAGCTGGCATTAGCGATTAACCTGTTAACATTATAGAAATACTAACATAATACTGATTGAACTTCTTTTTAATTAAAAAGTTGCTTCCTTAGCCAAACAATTATGCTTGGGATGTATATATTGAACCATACCTTAGTCTCTAGTCTCATCTCTTGTACACATACATCATACATCTGTACATGGTAAAAGCACTAAAAGGCCCTGAGATCAACAAAATTATGTCCTGAGATTAAATCATCAAATAAAACAGCCTCAAATGGAGGCATGTATTACAATTATTCCCCATGCAGGATATATGACAAACATATAATTACATAAGACTAAAACTCTAGTATAATTGGTTTTAATATTACAACAGTATTCTAACATACATAACAACTAGGTTACTTAGTAACGCAATGTCACAGACACAATATAATGGTCGAAATTAAGACATGCATTGCAACAAACACTTTTAAATGTCAAAAAATGTTAACTCTTTATTTTATCAAGTTCCATTATTCTTTACAAAGGTAACAATATTAACTAGATTTGTGAAATTGAACAAGTTCAATTTAAGACTCCAGATTTATTTTACCTAGATAGATCAGTAAAGAGCTGAGTAAGTAACTGAGTAATTAGCTGAGTAAGTACCTTAGTAGTAGTTGAGTAAGTAGCTGAGTAAGTAACTGAGTAAAAAGCTGAGTAGGTAGCTGAGTAAGTAGTTGAGTAAGTACCTGAGTTAGTAGCTGAGTAAGTTGCTAAGTAAGTAATAACTAATTAAGTAATTGAGTAAGTAGTCAAATAAGTAGCTGAGTAGGTAGAGAGGTAAAGTATGGTATGCAGGAATTTTTGAAAGTATATTTGATCAATCTGCATCATGAATACTGGCAAGTGCGAATTTCAAACTTCAAAATGGCGTAGAATCTAAACCTGGGGTCGGATTGCAATTTTTGCTACAAGTATACAAAATTTCGGAGAATATCATTGAAGTGTAGTGTCAGAATCGCAAAATAAGAAAAAACTATGAATTTGACCTAGATTTTTTAAACTAGGTATTTTGGTGTCCAAACTTTGAAGGAAAGTAGCTTTTGAGGTCCCCTTCTTCTATGGGCTTTCATTATGTTTAGCTGTACTCATTCTATATCTCGTATTTTTACACTTCAAAAAATTATTCGGTCCCAATGATTTAACATGGGGCACCAAATTTAGCGATTTTTGAGATCTCAAAACGCCATAACTTCAGAACAAGTAGTCGGATCGAAATTTGGTTTGCAGATCTAGATTTCTGAGAAAATTCTACCCTTAATTCATAACTCATACATTAATTTTGGAAAACTTTTTACTTTGGCCTACTTTTTGGACACCATATCTCAAAAGTGGGTCAAAATACTTTCTGACGGCAAAACGCTAACACTATTAGCATACTCTTTGCTACCTGTATACAAAATTTTAAAGCAAATCATTTAAATATAGTGTCAGAATCGCAAAAATAAGGGAAAACTATAAATTTGACCTAGATTTTGACCTAGGCATTTTGGTGTCCAAATTTTGGAGCTAAGTAGCCTTCGAGGTCCCCTTCTTTAATAGGCTTTCATTAAATTAAGCTGTACTCAGTCTATATCTTGTATTTTACACTTCAAAAAAATCTTTTTTCCCATTGCCATAACATGGGGCACCAAATTTAGCGATTTTTGAGCTATCAAAACGACATAAATTCCAAACCAAAAGCCGGATTGAAATTTGGTTTGCAGATTTGAATTCCTGAGAAAATTCTACCCTTAATTCATAACTCATACGTTAAATTTGGAGAACTTTTTAGTTTGACCTACTTTTCGGACACCATATCTCAAAAGTGGGTCAAAATACTTCCTGACGGCAAAAGGCTAACACTATTAGCACACTCTTGGCTACATGTACACAAATTTTCGAAGAATATAATTAATCTGTAGTGTCAGAATCGCAAAAATAAGGAAAAACTTTGAATTTGACCTAGATTTTGACCTAGGCATTTTGGTGTCCAAATTTTTATGAAAAGAAGGTCTTGTGGTCCCTTTCTTTTATGGGCTTCCATTATGTTTAGCTGTGCTTAGTCTATATCTCGTATTTTACACTTCAAAAAAATATTTTTTCCCATTGAATTAACATGGGGCACCAAATTTAGCGATTTTTGAATTTTCAAAACGCCATAACTTCTGAACCGGAAGTCAGATCGAAATTTGGTTTTCAGATTCGGAATCCTGAGAAAATTTCCCATAAGACTAATATCCTGGACATTGGATTCGTTGAAATTTTTTTTGGACCCCGTTTTCGGACACTGATATCTCGAAATCGGTTTGAGATACCAAAAAACTAAATCGACCCTAGGTTTTCTACTTTTTTATGAGGAACACAATGAAAAAAACCAGGATCAAAAATATTGAAGGACGACCGAGATAATGGGAAAAAGTGACAAAGTACTGGATTTGACCTAGTTCTTGACCTTTGACCTAGATAAAAATTTGACCTAATTTCCCAGAAAGCCAGATACATTCCCTAGTTAATCATGTAAGCAGCTTAAAGTAAGCTCTTCTAGTTGGTGAGAAATCTGGGAAGGAGGAAGAAGAAGAATAATAACTAGATTTTGGAAATTGAACGAGTTCAATTTCAGACTCCAGATCTAGACTTTTTTTAGCCGAGTCATCCAGAATAAGCCCAGTCATCCAAAATAAGCTAAGTCATCCAGCAAAAGATGGATGGATGGATGGATGGATGGATGAAAAAGGAAGGAAGGATAGGATAGAATAGGAAGGAACGATAGGATAGAATAGGAAAGAAGGATAGAATAGAATAGAAAGAAGGGATAGAATAGGAAGGATAGGAAGGAGAGGATACGAAGCAAGGGTAGATAGGAAGGATAGGATAGGATCAGAAAGGAAGGATGGATGCATTTTTCAATATTTTCTTCTCTACTCTTGACTTTCTATCAGGATACCATCAGATCGATTTTTCTTGAAATTTCAAAACGCCATAACTTCCGGACCGGAAGTCGGATCGAAATTTGATTTGCAGATTCGGATTCCTGACAAAATTCTACCCCTAATTCATAACTCATACGTTAAATTTGGCGAATTTTTATTTTGACCTACTTTTCGGACACGCCATAACTTCGGGACCAGAAGTCAAATCGAAATTTGGTTTGCATATTTGGATTTCTGAGAAAATTCTATTATTAATTCATGACTCAAACGTTAAATTTGGAGAACTTTTTATTTTGACCTAATTTTCGGACACTGTATCTCAAAAGTGGGTCAAAATACTTTCTGACGGCAAAAGGCTAACGCTATTAGCACACTCTTGGCTACATGTATACAAAATTTCGAAGAATATAATTAATCTGTAGTGTCAGAATCGCAAAAATAAGGATAAACTATGAATTTGACCTAGATTTTGACCTAGGGATTTTGGTGTCCAAATTTTGAAGTTAGGTAGCCTTCGAGGTTCCCTTCTTTCATAGGCTTTCATTATTTTAAGCTGTACTTAGTCTATATCTCGTATTTTACACTTCAAAAAAAATCTTTTTTCCCATTGACATAACATGGGGCACCAAATTTAGCAATTTTTGAGCTTTCAAACTGTCATAACTTCCGAACTGGATGTCAGATCGAAATTTGGTTTGCAGATTCGGATTCCTGAGAAAATTCTATACTTAGTTCATAACTCACACGTTAAATTTGGAGAATTCTTTATTTTGACCTACTTTTCGGACACCATATCTCAAAAGTTGGGCAAAATACTTTCTGACGGCAAAAGGCTTACACTATTAGTACACTCTTGGCTACATGCATACAAAATTTCGAAGAATATAATTAATCTGTAGTGTCAGAATAGCAAAAATAAGAAAAAACTTTGAATTTGACCTAGATTTTGACCTATGCATTTTGGTGTCCCAATTTTGAAGCTAGATGGCTTTTAAGGTCCCATTCTTTTAAAAGCTTTCATTATATTTAGCTGAACTCAGTCTATATTTCGTATTTTCCACTTCAAAAAAATCTTTTTTCCCATTGACTTAACATGGGCTCCAAATTTAGCGATTTTTGAGCTTTCAAAACGGCATAACTTCCGAACCGGAAATCTGACCCGAATTTGGTTTTCAGATTCAGAATCCTGAGAAAATTTCCTATAAGACTGATATCCTGGACATTTGATTCTGAGAACTTTTTTTTGGACCTCGTTTTCGGACACTGATATCTCGAAATCGGTTTGAGATATCAAAAAACTAAATCGACCCTAGCTTTCCTACTTTTTTATAAGGAACACAATGAAAAAAACCTGGATCAAAAATATTGAAGGACGACCGAGAAAATCGAAAAAAGTGACAAAGTACTGGATTTGACCTAGTTCTTGACCTTTGACCTAGATAAAAATTTGACCCAATTTCCGAGGAACTAGATTCTGGACCTAAATTGACCAAATGACTGACTTTACTGAAAACCTTATGGTTATTGAGAAAACTGGGTTAGAATAAGAATAATAAAAAGAATAATAAGAAGAATAAGAAAACTGACGAAAACAATAGACTCCAGATTTCATCTGGAGTCTAATAATAATAACTAGATTTGTGAAATTGAACAAGTTCAATTTAAGACTCCAGATTTATTTTACCTAGATAGATCAGTAAAGAGCTGAGTAAGTAACTGAGTAATTAGCTGAGTAAGTACCTTAGTAGTAGTTGAGTAAGTAGCTGAGTAAGTAACTGAGTAAAAAGCTGAGTAGGTAGCTGAGTAAGTAGCTGAGTAAGTACCTGAGTTAGTAGCTGAGTAAGTTGCTAAGTAAGTAATAACTAATTAAGTAATTGAGTAAGTAGTCAAATAAGTAGCTGAGTAGGTAGAGAGGTAAAGTAGGGTATGCAGGAATTTTTGAAAGTATATTTGATCAATCTGCATCGTGAATACTGGCAAGTGCGAATTTCAAACTTCAAAATGGCGTAGAATCTAAACCTGGGGTCGGATTGCAATTTTTGCTACAAGTATACAAAATTTCGGAGAATATCATTGAAGTGTAGTGTCAGAATCGCAAAATAAGAAAAAACTATGAATTTGACCTAGATTTTTTAAACTAGGTATTTTGGTGTCCAAACTTTGAAGGAAAGTAGCTTTTGAGGTCCCCTTCTTCTATGGGCTTTCATTATGTTTAGCTGTACTCATTCTATATCTCGTATTTTTACACTTCAAAAAATTATTCGGTCCCATTGATTTAACATGGGGCACCAAATTTAGCGATTTTTGAGATCTCAAAACGCCATAACTTCAGAACAAGTAGTCGGATCGAAATTTGGTTTGCAGATCTAGATTTCTGAGAAAATTCTACCCTTAATTCATAACTCATACGTTAATTTTGGAAAACTTTTTACTTTGGCCTACTTTTTGGACACCATATCTCAAAAGTGGGTCAAAATACTTTCTGACGGCAAAACGCTAACACTATAGCATACTCTTTGCTACCTGTATACAAAATTACAAAATTTTAAAGCAAATCATTTAAATATAGTGTCAGAATCGCAAAAATAAGGGAAAACTATAAATTTGACCTAGATTTTGACCTAGGCATTTTGGTGTCCAAATTTTAGAGCTAAGTAGCCTTCGAGGTCCCCTTCTTTAATAGGCTTTCATTAAATTAAGCTGTACTCAGTCTATATCTTGTATTTTACACTTCAAAAAAATCTTTTTTCCCATTGCCATAACATAGGGCACCAAATTTAGCGATTTTTGAGCTATCAAAACGACATAAATTCCAAACCAAAAGCCGGATTGAAATTTGGTTTGCAGATTTGGATTCCTGAGAAAATTCTACCCTTAATTCATAACTCATACGTTAAATTTGGAGAACTTTTTAGTTTGACCTACTTTTCGGACACCATATCTCAAAAGTGGGTCAAAATACTTCCTGACGGCAAAAGGCTAACACTATTAGCACACTCTTGGCTACATGTACACAAATTTTCGAAGAATATAATTAATCTGTAGTGTCAGAATCGCAAAAATAAGGAAAAACTTTGAATTTGACCTAGATTTTGACCTAGGCATTTTGGTGTCCAAATTTTTATGAAAAGAAGGTCTTGTGGTCCCTTTCTTTTATGGGCTTCCATTATGTTTAGCTGTGCTTAGTCTATATCTCGTATTTTACACTTCAAAAAAATATTTTTTCCCATTGAATTAACATGGGGCACCAAATTTAGCGATTTTTGAATTTTCAAAACACCATAACTTCTGAACCGGAAGTCAGATCGAAATTTGGTTTTCAGATTCGGAATCCTGAGAAAATTTCCCATAAGACTAATATCCTGGACATTGGATTCGGTGAAATTTTTTTTGGACCTCGTTTTCGGACACTGATATCTCGAAATCGGTTTGAGATACCAAAAAACTAAATCGACCCTAGGTTTTCTACTTTTTTATGAGGAACACAATGAAAAAAACCAGGATCAAAAATATTGAAGGACGACCGAGATAATGGGAAAAAGTGACAAAGTACTGGATTTGACCTAGTTCTTGACCTTTGACCTAGATAAAAATTTGACCTAATTTCCCAGAAAGCCAGATACATTCCCTAGTTAATCATGTAAGCAGCTTAAAGTAAGCTCTTCTAGTTGGTGAGAAATCTGGGAAGGAGGAAGAAGAAGAATAATAATAATAATAAAGAAAACTGGCAAAAGCAATAGACTCCAGATTTTCATCTGGAGTCTAATAATAAAGAAAACTGGCAAAAGCAATAGACTCCAGATTTTCATCTGGAGTCTAATTAGAATTTATGTTCACTGGATGATTTTCAATTTGACCTTACCATTATATACAGGGTGACACAAAAAAATGACACTCACTTTACGTTGCATAACTTGTTCGTCCATCACCATATAGACTTGTCCATAGGCGCATGTAAAGTAGACATTATGTGAGAGCACCTCAAGATGAAGCTCAAGTGGGTCTTTTATGAGCGTTACAATATATTCTCACGTTTGAGACTCTCATTAGCCGCAGATCTGAGATTGAGTGGGCAGCATTCCCCTGATATGACCCCACCAGATTTTTACATCTGGGGGTACGTAAAGGACCATGTGTAACTTATTACAGAAATTACAAGGAAGGTCAGGGCCATATCTCAATGTGTAAGGGTAATCAACAACTTTGCCTGTAGAATTCAAGTTTGCCTGCAAAGGAGTGGACGTCATATGGAACATATTGTAACGCTCATTTAAGACCTACTTGAGCTATACATCTGAAATTTCTCCAGGTGCTTTCACTTTATGTCTACTTTGAATCTGCCAAAGGGCAAGTCTATATATTGATAAACAGACAAGTTATGCAATGTAGGGTTGGTGTCGCCCTGTACTTCTTGAGTTTCTGAATTGCAAATTGTTATAAAGATCTCACATGTTAGAGAGATAATAATTCTGAATGCTTGACACCAAAAGTGGAGATCATAATAACATGTCACCATTCCTTAAAGAGGTGACATAGGGATGATTGAAAGTGATACATAATAAACATCATGATTACTTTATAGTAAGTTTTAAAGTGAATATAACCATGCTTTACCTTGCAGCATTCTAAAAATAGAACAAAAGATCATTACAAAATCACTCCAATATGACTGAATCAACTCTGTCAGTTATTCAGAACTTTCATTTTGCTGTGGAACAAGAATTCCCATTCGCAACTATTTTATAGACCTACAGGGGAGAACATTATTCTTGTTCTTGAGTATTGTGAGTCCAGAATGGAGTTCCACCACAGAACTTCAAATTCAGGGAAGTTAGAACAAAAATCAACTATTTGATGGTTATTTTTATTGATTTTCACTGGGCTATTTGGGTAAATTTAGAATTTGATATTTTCATCATATTTAAAATCAAAAACTGCCAAAAAACAAGAAATCCTTTTTTGTTGGATATACCTAGAAAAAGTATTTACATAACAGTCGACCTATTTCTTGACCTCAATACATTCTAGTTTTCAAAATACAGTAAAATCTGTCTAACTGGAACACCTTTGGTACCTCAAAAAGTGGTTCACTTGTAAGGTGTTCCACTTGTAGAGGTTCATTTAGCACTATGTAATTGGTCTTGGGACCCTGAAAAGTGTTCCACTTACAGAGGTGTTCCACTTCTAGAGGTGTCCTACTTCACAGGTTTCACTGTAGTGTATAGTAATATTTAATATTACACAGGAAATCCCAAGCTCTTGTAGAAAATGTCAATTATTTCATAATTTCTGCTTCTTCACGAGTCTTAAACTTAACCATGTCACTGGCTTTATTTTTCACAAGTTCTGATGACTTCATAATACCTGGACTTTGCACAGTTGTAAAAACTGTAATTTGGCACATCATTTTAAGTGAGTGATGTGTCACCACCACCTGCCCTGATAACATCTATGATGTCACCTGAGGTCTACATACATTATGTCCTTAAAATCTCTCAGCTTCAGTAACGTCATAAGAATCCTCCTTATCCTTGGTTCTGCGACACAGGCAGCACGAGAATATCATTGCAAGGATCTACAAAACAAAACAAGAAACAGAGTGAGGGTTGGGGCTAATTTAGGTAATAACTAGTTATTAGTTCACAGTTATAGCTGGTATGTGTTCAGCATTCAATAATTGGGGAAAATATCTCATAAAAATGTAGCATTGATAGTACCTAGAAATTTGATTGAACAATATTATATAGTACTTGTTGTTTTACTGTCGATTTATTATATTCTCAGAAGTAGCAAAACAAAAGACATTCAATATTTTCAAATATTTTGAGCTTGTGTAGTCTCGGTTTTTTGTATGATAAAATTGCTACATGGGAAAAAGGGTAACCCAGTTACTCTACCTGAACTAGTGCTACACCTAAGGCAACTCCTCCAAGTAACAGTAGATTGTTCTTGATCCAGTTTACAAATGTTGTGTAGCATCCCTAAAATAGAATAAAAAGAATCTCATGAAAAATGCAAATTTCTTGCATTCAGACAATACAAATATATGTCCAAGAACACCTCTCAGTTATTTTACTCCGACTCTCATGTTATTAGAATGTGCTTCAATATGATATTATAACCTTCAATTGTGAATACTTTCAGCACCTCAGACAGGTTTGATGGATTCATCTTAATGAAAGAAGTTATTCTTGATTATAACATGGACTTGACAAAATAGTTTTTTATGCAGTAGCTAACCTACTCTTTTGTTATTACTGAACATCTATATTGTTTATTTTATGTCATTTTTTCAGTTGCAAAGTGAGTTTTCTAAATTTTTTATTGTTTTAAAGTATATACCTCAACATTGATCAGACTAACGTCATCAATTACAGGATAACCTTGGTTACACTCAGCTGTGACCCCCTTTTTGCAGCAAGAGTGGGGAACAGTAGTGTTGCCTCGTTTTAGTGACATAGCTGGGTCTGTATAGTAAGCAGATCCTATCCAATCAGTGTAATTGGAAATTCCACAACACTTCATCTGAAAAAATAAAACATATTTTCATATTTTAAATTCGAGTAGATATGTAAGTAATATTTGGTGCTTTCATATAGAATTTGTATAAGGTATAGGAGAAAATGCTGTATAAGCTGAGTATTAAATTCCGAGTGAAGCAAATTGCACTCCAGGAGTGTCATTCAATATGGTTGGAAAGCAGATAATATTGATGTAACTAACAAGGGACAATACCTTGATGCAAACCTGACTGTTTCTACTCATTCAAATTCGTGCCAAGAACGTACCTTTGTCTGAAGATGATCAATGGCGACAGTGACAAGACGGTACTCTGGGTAACCATATTTGATGACCATCGCACTGTCTATCTTCTTCTTGATAATATCTTGAGCCTATATTATGTAGAAGTAAATATTTAAATGATGAGTGAAATAATAGATTTTATGAAATAATCAATTTTTGAAAATTACATAATTTTTTTTCTTGCATTGTTGCCCATATGACCTGCTGACCATTATTAAATCCTTGTCACAGTCTTCAGGCCCGTAGCCAGGATTTGCCAAGGGGGGGGGTTCAGTTTTCAAAAATTTCCAGGGGGGGTTCACATTTGACAATTTTGGCCCAAATATGGCTAAAATCACTTGAAAAGTGCTCAAAATGGTGAAAAACTGCATGATTTTTAAAGAATTTTTGGCCGGGGGGGGGGGGGGGGTTCGCCCGAACCCTGCGAACCCCCCCTGGCTACGGGCCTGGTCTTGGCAAATAAAAAAGGAAAATCTGTAAACTCACTGTGTGTCTAAATATGTAGGCAAATGCACAGGCTGCAACCTCAACAGACAATGTGAAGAATACCAGAGTAAAATACTGAAACAGAACAATTAACACACTGGCAGATTGAATATATTAAATCAGAATGCATCATTCATAATAAAATCTTCTCATATTCTTTTAAATTGCAATAACTAATTTTAAAGATACTCTATTGAGACTGCTCTGTGGCATTTTTTCTTTATTCCTTTTTGTTTTGAATTTTTAACACCATAACATTAACTAACTACTCAATATGCAACTTTTCACCACGTAGAATTTTAAAATATTAAGTTTGAAAATTCCATTTTTATAATGGAGCTCAATGGGAAAAACTACATAATTTGAATTATTTTCAAACGTAGCGGCGCGATTTTGATAAAATTGACAGATGTAATAAATATTGGTAAGACGAAATGTTTGATGAAAAATGAAGAAAATTCACCGTCCTGGTTACGCAAACTATAGAAAAATCTGAAATAATCATAAAAACCTGTAAAAATAGATTGAAGGGGGTGATATTCATTTCTAATGTGCCTTTCACTACTACAGGGTAACCATAATTTTGGTACTGATTTGATTTTTCAATGAAAATCATTTCTATAGTGTATAGTCAGTTTAAATAATACAATTGCTATATTTCTTTACTGAACAGTGCAATCATTTATTTATTTATCAACAGTAATGCAAACTACATATTATACAGTTATTAAAATATTAAAATAATTCTATTAAAATTAAAGCATTGAGATGATACTTAAATAATTACATAATATATTGATAGGCATATTATATTATAGGATTTAAGGCAATGACTCAATGCATTGTAGATGATTAAATTTAACATATGTCCTGATTCTAGACTATGAACGAGGGTGGTAGTCCAAATTCAAAGCCTAGACTAGAAGACATAAGTGAATTGAAGCATCCACTATTCATTGAATCATGTGTTATAATTCAATTTCACACATTGCAAAATATTTTTTACAATTTCACTTAACAGAATGATATTTTTTCAAAGATATGTTGTACTTTTAGAATCATTTGCTTCAAAGAATTGAACTATGGCAGCCTTTACTCGTTATTTTACGATTTTTGCTGTAACTCGAAAAGTAGTCGAGCGATTTTGTTCATATTTGGTATATGAATACTATAAGCATGGCACACTGTCTAATGACACTTTTGGTAGAAGGCAGCCATTTTGAAAAATGGCCGTCATTTTAACGTATTTTACTATAACTCGAAAAGTAGTAGAGCGATTTTGTTCATATTTGATGCGTGAATACTATAAGCGTGGCACACTGTCTAATGACACTTTTGGTAGAAGGTGGCCATTTTGAAAAATGGCTGCCATTTTTGCTGTATACTTTGTTTTTAAAAAAACGCCAGCCATGGCTGTTCGATGGGATTTGCTACACTTTGGTGTTGCTGTTGTCTAGTTGTAGGATGGATGGACGGACAAATGGAGGGGTCTCTTAGCTTATCCCCTAATCTTCGTTGGATTGAACAATTGTGAATATGGTTTGTTGGACAAATAAAACTGATTGAATGTCTAAAAGCAAATAATGAAGTGGTAATTTATTTAAAATCATTAAAATCTCAAACATGCTTGCTTTGGTCTAGTCACTTAATTCCTAAATGTCCCGTAATTAGTATCTATATACCTTATTAGATGCAGTGAAGGAGTTAAATCATTGGGATATGAATAAATCATGCAAAACATATTTTGTACATATTTCTCATCATTTAGGGTTACCCAGTAGTTTACAAGCTGACCTTTGCAAAATATATTTCACTTACTATCCTCATTCGCTATCACGCTGTCTAGTTTCTTTCCAAATTGGCCTGAATTGCCTGGTTTATTGGTTTTAGCGAACCGTCCGTTTCGTCGAACCATCATTTTGCTAAGGTTGTTTGTGATGAATATACAATATTCAGTTACATATAACTGTACAGCAACTTTATGCAAGGGAAGGTAATTGTGTGAGAGCACATAAAGTACACGAAGTATTGACCCACTTGTCTCAGTGAATCTTATAAACAGTGCATAAAGTTTTTTCTATGCAATGATTGGCTCACAGTTACTTATAGTGTAAGTTATTTTATTTCTATACAGTGTGGAATAGAGTATATAAACTTTTACAGTTTCAAGCAGGTTTTAGTGTTTTCTGACCAATGATATATTCAGACTTATTCATTTCACGATTATGTAATACTGACCTACATATCTGTATAGCATATCTTTAACAGGGGTCCATTTCAAATTTTTAACGAGTAAGGAATACCTGAATTTATCTTAAAACATGTTACCACATACATAATACAAAGTAGAATTTGGATCCTAAATAGAAATGCATCTGACTAACTCTTACCAGTCCAAGCAGACATTTGCTTTCCCTTATGGCACCACAGCAGCCAGTGAACCCAACAATGAACAGAAATATCCCAACTCCAATGAGTATGTAAGCAGCATAGACAGAAAATTCACTCCCTAGTAGGATATCAAACTTCCCCTGGTCTACTCTAGCCCAGGCACCAATACCAAGTAATCCAGCACCAGCGAGCTAATAAGAAAGTATTCAAAAAAATGGTCCTAACAAGATTTTTATTTGAGAAGTCTCACAATTATCATGCAAATCTACACATTTGGCACTACTTTTGAGACCTCATATGGAAGGAACATAAAATATGATGGAAGGAATAGTTAATAAAGAGATTTTGTTCAGAAGTCAGAGTTCAACTTTTGCAGTATGCAGTTATGTTATAAGTATGAGTGAATTGAAATTTGGCATTTCGCAAAAGGATGTTCTTATACGTATAGAAAAGTACGAATGAATTCACACCGGAGTAGCCTGACTATGGTAATGTCAGATACCGTTGTCACAAATGGCGGACATAACCGTCGCTTCAACTGTTTAATCACTTGGTCCTCATTTTATGGATTTTTTTTGTCGCTAATTCTGTGCATGCATTAAGCTCTTGTGATAATGTATCATATGCAATCCCATTTTCGATCAAATTGGGTCGTGAATCGCCACAATATAGCGTCTTCGATATCGTCAATGACAATGGAATCTGAATTTGAGTAATTTAGAAGACAACGGCATATGGCAATAATGTCATGTATCTCATTTTGATCGGTTAAATTAAAGACTTCATTTTGATGTAGTGGTGGGACTCACCACCAAAATCTCTACTAGAGTAAAATGATAAATTTGACGATCGAGTAGACGATTTTGGCGATTATATTTTTTAAAAATTGAGAAAATTAGAACCTGGAAAATCAAGGCATTTGTCACTACTTACATCAACTTTTGGTTTAATGACCACTCAATGATGTAGTTCTGAATGGATTGAGTTCCGTTTTGGATGTTTTAGAGGCACTATTACCGTATATTAGCAATGATATAAGCCTTTTATGGATTTTTTGACTTTGAAATTCCCACTTCCGTCAAAATATATATGCGCATGCGGTATACCGGATATAAGCAAACAAAAAAAGCAATGAATAGGATTCTTATATTTTTCTCATCAACTGACCATTAAATCAACAAAACAATCTGCAGAATATAGTCAGAAGTATGTTATATATTTGAAAAACGTAAAGGCAGCTACAATCCTTCCTTAAATCAAGAGTATGGAGGGTAAATCGCGATTTTTCTCAGAAATTTTCAGGATCTCGATTTTCAAATTTTCAATCGATTGATCATTTTTCTAGGCTCATTCGAGTTCTAGTTGATTACCCGAGTCACTCGTTACACCACTATTTCGATGGTAGAACATTATAAACTGTAAAATGAGTATTAAGACACATTGATTGATTGTTGTTCCAAAGGAATTTAGTCTAGGTGCTCTATTAAACATACAGTTCATGAAAATCTAATTGAAGCGATGTCCGCCTGCCATTTGTGACAACGGTATCTTACTTTACCGTTGTCAGGCTATTCCACTATTTTCAAGTGGGTGCTAATGGATTTTCACGTGGGTGCAAGCTTATTTTCAAAATCTCAGGTGGGTGCTGCACCCATTTGCTTTAATGCGGGGAGATCATTGCTATATACAGGTTTTACTGTAGGCCTAGTACATATACTTTTTTAAGTTACAATCATAAGGGATTTATATTTATGTAAACATGCGTCACAAAATCTTTCTAATATTCTTTTAATGAAAAATTAACTTACCCAAACTATAAAGTTCACAACAAACAATAAACATTTTATGCATCCAAATGTACAACTCATTCTGCGGCGTAGACTGTAGATATAGATCTGTTATTTTCAATTTCAGTTTAGGTGCCTTTTCTGAGCTTTTTTCCTGCAGTAATTGTTTCTGTAGTCCGAATTGACTGCAATAAGATGAACATTATTTATCGATAGTCTAGCTCTACAAGCAAGGCCCTGCGCCCCCTCACACGCCCAGGCTCACAGTGTGAGGGGGCGACACGTGTCACACCTGGACCTCCGGGAGAGGGGGGGGGGGGTCCAGAGACACAAGACTAAAAAGTATTATTAATTAACTTACTGATAAAGAGAAAAATAAAATATTTTAACTTAGATTGCCATTGTATAGTCTCTTTCCATGATCCAATGTTGAATGTTGATTTGAATTGATATTTTGAAAATTTGAGCCTGATGGACTCTGAAATGCAATCAAGCTCATCCTCTAAGCTAACTCAGCACTACAGATTGTCAAGTTGACATTTTCAAGTGAAGAAGACAAAACAGTGTAAAAACTGGAAACATAGGCCTCCGCTTCAAGACAATATTTTGGACGAAGATAAACAAACCTAATTTTTTCAAATTCCAACATGTCCAAGATGGCTGATTAGCGGCTCTTAGATCTGATATTCTTTCTCCCCAATAGAAAATATGAAGCTGCTAGTTTTGATGAAATACGAATATATGTCGTTGATTAATTCTGATATCTGGATATACACGTTGTTTATTAATATTTTTGTTTCAATTTAACATGTACATCGTATATAAATGATCAGAGTCAACAGAAAAGCAATATTTAAAATGTTAATTAAATGGTGTATGATTGATGGAAGAGCACTTATTTTCGTTTAGTGCTTTCAAACTTTTTAAGCGGTTTATTTGAATAATGTAAAGCCTGAGAAGTTTAAAAAGATTGAAAACAACATCAAAAGTGAGCCCAAACTGACATGATTACATTCATGCATTGATTAATTGTTAATAATCTGAGAATTAGGTATGAGGTCAATTAAGGCAGTAATTGAAGTTTTAAAATGAGGAAAATTAATGTACTTCAGTCATGAAAAGTTTAACCAAACATAAAATGATCAAGCCATATGAAATAAGGACAGCACTCTCACACTGGACTGTGGCATGATACAAAGTATTATGAAACATCCTTCTTATCTGTTGTTGATCTGGATTGTGACCACTGTATTGGAGAAAAAACTCGCAGCACTAAGTACATCACACACCAATATAAACTTAAAAATCCTCAATAACATCTTCTATCTGAACCTTTTTTCATTAAAATCTTACCACATTTATTGCTGCATTCATTGTTACAAATGGATTAATAATATGGATGACAGCTCCAATATTCAACTTCATAGAGTGCAAGAGGTTTTGAACTTTTCTAGGATGTTCCTGTGTTTCGCTAAATGCCTTCACATATCATTTTGGGAGAGGTTGTTTATTATTGAAAATATTTCCAAATACCCAAAGCGAAATTATTTGCATTTTATATTGGCTCTCACTTTTCCATGTCCCCCATGAATTTGATTGAACATTTATTCGATTAGATTTGATTGGGACTTCTATCCCCTCCACATCAATTCAATTGTTGCAAAGTGAAATAATAATGAGTGAGACATAAAGGTTGAACAAAAGGAAAGTGACATTCCTACCACATACGAGAAAGTGAATAAGTATATCAGCTTTATACACTTAACACAAACTTTTGTATTAGAATTGTGAAGAGACTTTATAGACACCCTGTAATTTTTTCAATATAGTTGTTCTTCAAATTATGCTCCATTTTTCAAAATACTTCTCATTTTTCTAAAAAACGGGCCCCAGATTTTGCAGAATTTATAAAAATAACCCAATTTTTCAGGAATTTCAGTTAGCTCTTGTTTAACCCCCTCTCCTATCAATTTCCAGGTCTGCACATGGGGTTTAGCCCTTTATCCATTAAATATATGGAGGTTATTCAATGGGAGGTTTTTGATAGAGGGTATATCTAAGGGAAATACAATAAAGGGTTGATATATTGTATTTACCGAGGGATATACCCTGTATCAAAAATCTAGCTTTTAATAACTGATTTATTCTATACTTAGTAGATTATGAGGGTTTATAATAGTCAAGTCCCCATGCTCCATATCTACTCTCTGAATTTGTGACGTTGTAGATCTGATGAGCGGGTGATATATATCACCTGCTCACCCGGGTGATATATATCACCCGCTCACTTCAGATATCAATTATATTGCTGCATGTTTCACTGGCGGATTAGGGGGGGGGGCCTGGGGGCCCGGGCCCCCCCCCCCTTGGGTGGGCCCAGAAAAAAAAAATTGGGCCCAAAAAAATTGTTGGCCAAAAAAGGCCTCCAGGCCCCAAAAAAGTGGGCCTTTTTGGTCATTACTGGGTCTTTTAAGGCCTTATTTTTTGATTTCAGGCCAAATTTTGAAGAAAATGGGCCTCAAAATTTGGGCCCACTTTTGGGTTTAAGGGGCCCAAAGGGACGTTTTTTCGGTGACTTGAAATTTGGGCCCCCCCCTTGTTGATTCCCAGATCCGCCCCTGTGTTATTTACCTATAACACTACTAAGTATGGAATAAAACTCAACTTGTCCTTAAATGTTCTAGTGACATAAACTAACAGAAAATCATATGTGAGAGTATGAAACATGTTATTGCTTCAGCCTACATGATACATAACATTTTATGTGGTAACACAATGTGATTTACATGAGTATTAAAAATATTAAACAATACCCTGGATGGTCATTTTAGTGGAAAATATCACTGTCTATATAATATATAAAAATGTAATTGCAATTCAAAATGGGGGCGTTGTTAAAACATGTTGATAGGTAAACACTTTTTATATCAAAATATTTATTGGCACAAAAGTATAAAAATCATTTTCTATATACTGAATATTATCATCATCATACATTAAATATAATATCTTTGAGTAGAAATTTTCTACAAACATACAGTTCATACTTATGTTTTTATAGATACATCATATTCAATTTTAAGTACATAAAATGAAATGATACAGTTCATTTTGTAAAAATTAGATATTCTCTATTCACCAAAAACATCCATTTTACACTCAAAATGTATTTACATTAGCATTGTAATGCAGCGACATCTATGTTATATACAAATATGAAAGGCTGAAATTAACTTATTTGTTGTCTTTAGCTATAAACCATATCTCATTGTGTCTGTTTCTCAGTTTATCTGGGTTGTCATATCCTGCAGAGTACCAATAATCTTGAACATATTTTGTTGGATCTCCGATTGCATCAGCTAATTTCACTCCATTTTGCTGTAGATCTTCTAGCGTAGCAAAGCCAGGGAATGATCTAAATCAATTTTAACAATTTCATGGTTTACAGTTTTCTAAGTATAAACATGGATTTCAGATGATTAGAAGTCCATGGTATTAAAAAGGATTTTTATGATTGATATATGAGTTCAGATATTTGCATAAAAATAACCATAACAACCTTCTATTCTTTAAATATTGAGTTTCTACAGTAAAAACTAAATTACAATTCCAGCTGTGTTTGCCCTTAGATCTACTTAGATGTACATTTTTATTTTATTTTTCTCACTATTTTCTATTATAGGTTCATGAGTGAAAGGTTAAGGGATGTGTGAGGATTGAGGAAGCATAACTTATTCTAAAGGGCCATCCAAAGACAATATTTATTTTCATAGTAGCCAGGACATAAGTTTTTATGCATATAAAAATACCCGAGATATTTGAAACTTTCTTTTAAAAAGAAGTATGCATGATCCTTATGTCCAGACTACTACAATATACATGAAAAAATATGGAATGTTTCACTGCAAAATGTCAAAACAAATCTGAGTGCATCATTTATTAACAGCCGTCCATAGCTCATTTCCAATGTCGCTCCACCATCTATTTGGCCAAGAACCAGATTTCATTATGGCGGTTGAATAGTTTAAATGGGGCATCATAACCCCCTGTGAACCAATGATCTGTGACATATTTCGATTGATCATTAATTGCCTTTCCCAGTGCAAGAGCCTCATCTTGGTACTTTTGAAGTGTTGCAAATCCTCCAAAACCTCTGAAAATCAATTTGACATATGTTGAAAATCAGATCCATCCTCCAACAAAAATTAAAGACAAGAAAGTATTTGAACAAATAAAATGTGCAAAAATGATCTAATTTGTAATTTAATTAATTCTAATAGGTAATTTTAGAGCAGTCATGCAACATAAGTGTGTGCTTGTTGTTGGTGTGAAATCATTGAAACTTCTTCTTTCTTAAAATGTGAAATTAAAAATTTGTGATATCTATTTGTTATTGATTTTTTACTCCAGTTGTTACATTCATTCTAGTCCTTAAGTTCGCCTTCAAGTAAATTTAAAGGTGAAAGCATACCTGACATAGACTCTCATGGATCTCATACTGGTAAGCTCAACTGTGGGATCTGTTGGCTTTGGAGGATTGGCCATTGAAGGGGGCACAAAGAATGACATTGTGAAGTTATCCTCACATGCTGGCCCCTGGCCTGGGATGATACGGACTATTACTGGGCATGTCATTGCAATCTTCATCTCTGGAAAACAACATGGTATTGTACTTCACATAATGTGCAGGGTCGCTGAGCAGTAAATGTGGGGAGAAGGCTCAAGTTTATTATAAGCAATACTGAAGCTGCCATCATACTATATCCAGTAGGTCCTGGAATAGAAGAGCATGGTAAGATCTTAATTAAAAGCAGAATCACAAGTAAAATCGCGAAGCTGCCACCACATAATAACATACAGTAGTAGTCCTATAAGTAGAGATCAATGCAAAAGCGTAAGGATCTTAAATACAGTAACTACAAGAAGCACCTTAAATACAGTAACTAAAAATGGGTTAGATAATCTTCTCTACCTAACATAGACTCTTTGAACAGGTAGCTGAGTTTTATTACAGGTTTTATCTAGTGGCTGGGGCTCATCTGAGTTGATCATGTAGAAAGACATAGTAAAGTTGCTCTCACATGCTGGACCCTGCCCGGGAATGATTCGCTCCAGAACTGGTGTTGTCATAGCAATCTTTGTTTCTGAGTGAATAATATGAGAAAATCAGTAATATATGGATAATATGGTGTTACATACAAGGTGAGCCAAAAAGGTAACCCAAACAAGTCTCAATAACTCAAGTTATCCGGAATGAGTTATAATTCATATTTGGTACAATTGGACTTTGTTCATTCAAGTAAGTGTCATTGGTCTATTCAAAATGGTCATGATTTTATGGCCATCAGCATTTTACAAACCTTACATTGACCAGTGAAATAAGTGGATTAAAAGTACATCGAACAAGGTTCAATTGTGCCAATATAACTCTATAACCCCAAACCGATGACTGAGTTTTATTAAGTTTTGTTTGGGTTACCTTTTTTTGGCTCACCCTGTATTGCAACCTATACAAATTGTGATATACAAACACAAGCAGTGCGATATTAATGGTCATTTTTGAATTTGAATATAATTGAGAACCCAACATGCCTTTAGTTTGTAGATACCACAAATTCAAATTCAATAACCGTTACTATTATATCACTGTCATATTCCTCACTTTCTGATTGGCCTATGTCCTACATGCTGGCCCCTTTTTTTGAATATCAAATGATAGTCACCAGTCACGACTTAGTACAGTGTAGTTTCAATTGTATATCCTGGGAGTATATTGTTATGATTAATTTGTTTGTTATTCCATTAATGTGAGATAGAAATGTAACAGAGAATAATAAAACAAATTTTTAATTCTATTTTCGATGAATACATATGACACTTTCACAAGATGCTTGTACATATCATGTGAAAATGCACAGTTATTCACCTCAATAGAATTAAATATTTGTATAATATCTGCACTAAGTGCGCATATGATTACCCGCCACTTTTTTGCATAGCACAGTTAAGGTACAACACCATGTTCAAAAATTCAAAAATTGGCATATGCTAACCTGTTGTTAAATTAATCTGTTTGAACCCCTCAAAAGATTAAAATTTAATGGTATGATATGACACCTGTATATTCATTCAGTCATAAAATACCTTGATACATCAATATGACCCTACACTGCTTAGGGCATTGGCTTGCAGAGGTAAGGAGTGTAGGGGGTCGCAATTGTCTAAAGCGAGACAACATTATTCTATAAAATCCTCTTTACACTTTGGTTGCACAAATAGGAACTTTTCTTTCCTTAGTCAGATCAAAAACTAGTTTGCTTTAGCCTGTTTACAAGAATTTTATCAATTTTTTAATTGTCTCATACTGCAGAAATTGCCCAGGCACAATTTTTACTTAATTTTTGCAAAGATTTCAATTGAAAACCTAACACAGAATTGGAAAATTACCACATTAAAATAGGTGCCAAATCAATTTACATAGCACTTGAACTTTAAAATTGATAATTGAAATTCAACTTACTTTTAACATTATTGCCTTGAATGTAGTTGAACAATCTCATAAACATTGTGTATTGGGCCTGTGAGTAGTCTATTCCACTTAGCTGTGTTGTCACCCAGTTGCTCATTGCATACTCTCGCAATTCATAATCCTGAAAATGAAAAAAAAATTAATTAAATCAAATATTTCTTCTTCAGATGGTGCTTTGATGTATTGACTGTTACTACTAAGAAACACATTAGTATTAATTTAAGATTGATAAAATTTTGTGAACATTTAATTGATTATGCAATTATTACTTATTTTACAGTAGTCGGTCAATCATACCTTAGTCGTTTCAATGACTTTGAAACTTGGACAGTCAAGACCGTTGCAGAAATCTGGCTTTTTGTAGGGTGCTTCCATTTTGATAACTGCATTCTCATGGTTACGATCGGGTTCAAACTTCAGTACTTTGGCATCAACCATACACACTAGTGCGAGGACTAGAAGTCGCAACATTTCTGCAATAACAATCCCGATAACTATATAAAGGTATATAGGTTTTGCCACTACTGTATATTTTCAAACTGTATGTGAAAAATATTTATGACAAATAAGTGTAGGCCTACCCCCTAACAAGATATTCATGAAATGTACAAGCCAGAATTTTTTTGTTAGTTATATATATTCATAAGGAGCTGTTTAAGGTGCCATGGTACTTAAAGGAAATGACAAAACAGGAAAAAACAAGACATGATGCATTTTTTTAACCAAGATAACAGAGTTCTGTTTTGGCCTCTAGTCAATTTAACTAGTTCCACATATCATTTATATGACCAGGATCACAATGTACATGGGCAGAATGACCCTAAACATGATAAAATAACATTTTCAGCCCTCTGAAAATAACAATCAGTAGTGTAGTTCAAGATAAAAGCAGTCAATCAATAACAATCACGAATAAGAATGAACCAAACCGAAAAAACTAAACCGACAGCTGCTGGCATATATCTAGGTATCTCAAGTGTTAGTCCAACAACATTAGACCTAGCCTGGGCCTCGTTTCTTATCTGACATGTCTTATAACGGCCCCAAGAAAATTCCTAATAGTAAAGAACGCCGTTATTGAGTTTTACGACGTTGAACTACTCAAGTGTAAGGGAACATGGGGCAAAGCGGCCCAAAAAATTTAATTTTAAGTTGTTCTGTACGGGATATTTTTGTATCTGTCAATCATCGCGCACTTTGATGTTCCACTTTATTAATGGTTTGTGGTTTACATTTTTCGAGTGTTTTATACTTTCCTAGGACTATCTTCTGTGATTTTTCAATGGTCAAAAATATTGCCGAGAGTGGGGCAAAACGGCCCATGGGTGGGGCAAAACGGCCCACCCTCTGTTACATGGGTTTTGAAACCAAAATTAATCAATTACAAGACTCGTCCATAAACATCTTATCTCAGACGTTCAAACCTTTGACAGATAAAGTATTCTTAACCCCTACCATAATTCTAGTCATTCGATATGTGTCGGAAGGAAATAAGGCACAAGCCAGATGTCAAAATTGTTACATTTGAAAATTTGTAGAAAATTTTGTAACATTTGTATGTTATAACATGTGTGGGCCGTTTTGCCCCAAAGACATGTGAATTTTCAAATAGACGTCATTTTAATTTGCCTAATATTTAAAGCTCGAAATTTTTACAAATAAAGAATAAATGTGCACACTCTATGTAAAATGTTAAATCAAAACGATATTCTATTGTTGCCGGATTTTTTAGAGATTCTCGTGAGAGGGGTAATTTCCAAAAAAGAGGGCGAAAAGTAGAATTACCTCTTACGTGAAGCGAGACGCTGCTTGGTTAAAAATGGACGGTCGAGAAGGTGGCAGATATTTCAAAATTCGATTTTGTGACTTTTGAAGAACCATCTTTTTAAAGTTCAAAAGATATTTCGATGGGCCACTTAGACGGTGAACACCGCCTCTAATGCACGATCCTCAGAGACCCAGAGGGTGAATGAATGCACCTATGGGCCACTTTGCCCCAGAGGGCCGTTTTGCCCCATGTTCCCCTAAGAAGCGTAGAAAATTCTCTAATGTTGTAATCGTACAGGCAAAAGATTGAGACGTTCTCAGGACTATAGTCCTGCACGGGATAACAAAGACCCCCCTCAACACTTTTTTTGCCTCTCTCAACTCTTGCTCCCATGCGGGCTCCTGTGGTGGCGTAGTACTTAGAAAAATAGCTCTGATAGAGCCCATGGCGAAAGGTAAAATGTTGGTAAAAATGCGTTTGTTTATTTACCTTTAGTGTTTCTTCTTTATTCTAGATCGTGTGACAACTGCCCGTTTTCGTGTTCTAATGATAAGCAATACTCGTCCTGACCTTCAAAACAAGTTTCAATGATGGTTATAAAACTTTATAATTCACACTTGCTGCACCAAAAAACAAAATGTCAGATTAACCTCAAAACATCAATCACGTGATATGAATTGATCATTTTAAAAAAGGGGAGAAAGCCTTGATGGATTTATTATATAAATCATTATCATATTGTAGAGACACTATTACATTCATTCTATGTATATTATGTTAGTTATATTTCAAGAATTCTATTTATTTCACCATAAAAGCTATAATGATAGTAATATAATTGAAAAATAGAGAAAATATCAACCTCTGTCTCCTGTACTGGGCACTTCCACTATTGGACACTAACATCACGTGTATAAACACATGAGTTGCTTTCATAAGTTTGTACAGCAGCCAGACAGCGGTACAATTATATGACTGAGTAATTCAGTCTCATGACCACGATTAAAACAATTCGGACAGTTACAAGCAAAAAGTCGGTAAGAATACCTTTTGACACAGTTTTTGAAGATAATTCGTCAAGTGGGTTTCATAAGGTTTTCATCCACATGACCATGCCTGTATTTATACCTGTGATCATGGGCTCTATCAGATACAAGCTGTGATACAAGCCAAAAAATAAGATTTATTTTGAATTTTACAAAAATTGATGCAACTTCCCACAGATGGCACAATTTTTCTTAGAATACATCCGAGGAGTTGAAGTTGTATTAATTATATAAATTGTATTCATATAGCCCAGGACTCATTGTGGATGACTGAATCCGCCAATGTGTTGTTTTTCAGACCTTGCATGAGTGTGGCAGCACTTTCTGTGGCAAAACATTTCTGCAAGGGTTATCTAGGTCAACACTGACATCAAGTTCAAAACCATTTGACTTACCACGACACTGACCATTTGACCTGCATAAGAACCTGGATTGTTATTCCCTATGATACATAGCTTTTCACTGAACGATGAAATTGATGTACTGTAGACAGTTTCACTAGAACCCAAACTTAGCCCATGTGCATTATGGTGGCTAGGTTGCAATCATTGTGGATTATTTCATTCAATATAGTATGGAATATTGTGTTATGATGTTATGATTGCCTGGAATTTTACACACCTTGGCAACCATTGCCTAGCTATGTTTCAATGTTATGTTATGTATTTGCTGAAAATGAGGGTATTAGACCCTTGAAAATATGCCACTATTTTATATGCTTGCCTTTTATGCTATTTATAATGTGGATTTACAGTATGCTGATTTTGTTGCAGACAATGAATTTTATCAAGAATGTTGGTACTGCCATCAGCTCAGCAGTGACCTCTAGTGGTCTGGAGATGCCTCGCTATGAACACTTAAACAAGCCAGCAGACCCAAAGGAGATCATTGTAAGCATTGATTTCAAATTTGTTCTTTACAAAGATGTTTGAATTAAAGTTGTCCAACATTGACGTTAAATGTGTTTGAATTAGTTATGAATATTTTAGATGGTTTGATCAATTTCCATACAAACTTTGCTAACAAAATTTCTGAGATGTGCCTGACATATATGTGAATGAATTATAAAGTAACAAGTTGATTAAATATAATACACAGTTATTCACATTGTCATTGTCATACCATTCTAGCCATATGAAGAACGCCATTACCCAGAATCCAAATGGGCCAGTACGACCATTAAAGCAATGAAATATGAGGATGCCACCAGGGAAGGATTCTGGAGGCTGTTTAAATACATCCAGGGAAACAATGAAACAAGTAAGAAAATACGTTATATTCCGCTTGATTCACTAGAATTTCTCACAACAGGCTAAATACATGTAAATGAAAACAACATGCAAAATTAATTGAAATCATTAATTGAACATGGAAAAGTTGACAAGTCCCTAAAAACAATGAGCAATTTTGTGAAAACAACTGGTAAAATCGCTTGTTGCCTGCTGCTAATGAAACCCCTGCAACACTAAACTGCCATAATCTTATCTCTAGTATACATGTATTCATGTCATTGTGTTCCTCATAAATCTTTCAAACACCTAACTCTGTTTCATGGGATAGCGTGACTACATTTTGGTTCCAGACACCCTCTCCCCCTAACTGATGATATATAGCTTATTTGGCAACATTGATCTTTTGACATTTTGACATATTTAACATAAACATTGCAAGTTAAGATAATGTGTTTAATTTGTATTGCAGTGTAAAAATGTTTAATGTGTTTTTAATTTAAATTTTTTTAAATTGTATTTTAGAGACCACCATTCCAATGACAGCACCTGTTAGAACCAAAATCGTACCTGGGGCAGGACCTAACTGTGAAAGTACATTCACCATATCTTTCTATGTTGGTGATGATTTTGTGGAGAACACCCCTAAACCTTCCAATCCTGATGTGTTTATTGAGACCACCCCTGAAATGACATTGTTTTCAAGGTACGTGTTTACAATTTATCCATTATGCAAGTTGTGTTTGGCATGCTGTGGTCAACATCTGTAACTAATAGTAGGTGGTTACATTTTGCACCTAATTGCCTTGTATCTATTTTTCCTTATTATTTAAATGAACATAAGTGCATTTTATATCTTCAAAAAATTAGAAATTTGATCTCATATATCCACATTTTTTTCCAGAAAAATAAAACTAGGATTATAATGGAAACATTGAAAGTGAATCTTTTTGAAAATATTGCTTCCAACATATTACAGAGTGATCTCTCCGGCATTAAAGCAAGTGGGCGCAGCACCCAACTGGGATTTGAAAAAAGGCTTGCACCCACCTGAAAATCCAGTTGCACCCACTTGTTAATGAGAAAAACATTAAAAATTGGCATATTTTGACCAATTTTGGACAGAATTGTGAAATGAGAATTTTACACACACCTGAGGAAAAATCCTGAATGGATCACTGATACACCATATCTATTCGTCATATAACTTCAGTACAGTTTATAATTTTACAACCTTCTTCTTTTTCAGACAATTTGGAGGTTTTGCAAAAGAAGAACAATGGATAGAAGAGGCTAAGAATCTTTCAGAAAGCATCAATGGAAAAGAGAAATTTGAGACTGGCTACTACTATACAAATGGATATGACAGTCCCTTTAAATTGTTCTCCAGACGAAATGAAGTGTGGTTCGTTAAAACACCAAAGGATGAATAAAGCAGCATTAACATTTGTGAATATTTATTGTTCGGGGATTCCATATTAACTGGAAAAACAAATACATTTTTTGCTCTCTTTCTGTCTTTAGAAAGGTGTATTTGCATTTACAATAATAACATAAGTGAGGAATAGGAACCCTCCAGAAACATTTGAATATCCGTTGCTGAAGTGAAAAAGACAGAAAAAGTGATGTTTCACCACCAAAATTCTATTATTGAAGTCGCCAATTTGCACCATGTCCTTGTGCATTATGCACCCAAAAATACTTACTCAAGACTACTTGTATAAAGAAACAGTCCAAAACCTGATATTAACATGAAGAAGTTTCATTACACAAAATTTGCATATAACAACTTGTCATATGATATTGTAACTTCACTTGAGACCATATGATATTATTTGACATTTGTAGTTCTAGTAATTTAGACTAAATGTATGGCATTATATATTGCAGTATATGTATCACAAGATTATAGAAAATTTCTGTCTTTTTGACAATTAAAGTCATGCATATTATTAAAGAAATTAACTCAAATGATATTTCAAGATCAGATTACAGTACATGTATTTCCTTGTAATTATAGTTAACATCATTAAGGTCATCTGAGAAAATAATACTTTTCTTATATTTAATCCCACATGAACAAATTATATGATATTCTTCAGAGAGACATCTATACTTGTACACTTAAACTTTTGTATTATAGCATAGTTCTTATTGCAGTGCAATAGCTGGAATTCATTCATTATGTGATATTTATTGATATTAATTGAATGTAATTACTGCATTTTGTATATTTATATATAAGCGTAGTACATGTAATATAGCTAAACATTAAGTAAATATTGTTTTGTTCTAAAAGATTGTGCTGAAAGATCAACCAGGTCATAATTTCACTGATGAAGCTAGCAGCAAAAGAGTGGTATTGATATGGTGAACTTTTTGAACACGCGTTTCTCTTAAACCAGTCATCAAGAAATTCTGAAAATTTTACACATCATCAATTTAATGGTCATCTTTTCAATGGTAACATTATAATTTTAAATATATATATACTTTTCTCTACATTGTTTTAGAAAACACATCAGACACTTCTTTTTTGTTCTTGGTATTATATGTTCGGAATGAAATGAAACATTTATACGAACCTCATTAGAACAAAACGACATAAACACAACGTGTTTAGGTCTCTCAACATTGTAATTGTACAAAGGAAAGTTTGGTTGATTTTAAAAAAGTATCTTGTTCATGAAATAAAAGGTTCATCTTAATTTTTATCTATTTTGGGGGTTTTGTTTTAAGTTTTTGCATACTTTTAGTTAAATCAACCAATCAACGAAAATGTTGCACCATGTATATGCTATTTTGTTCCAACAAGGTTCGGAAAGACATTTTATTTCATTCTCAAGAATTGGTAGAAAGGAACAAAAAACAATTGCACAAGCCAAGCAGTCAACATTACATAAAGGACCGTGTTTTTTTACAGAATGTTTTCAATAATTGGTTTAAGAGAAAAACATTGTTGAATTCAGTTCACCATATTGATACCTATCCTTAAGTTTGTTCTTTGGTTTACTACACAGAAAAATTCTTTGTAAAAGTACCCTAGAGAGATGAGTCAATAGATCTATATTAAATGGGCTCTATGAGAGTCTCAACACATATTCACCCATCTACTTACCAAAGAAGAAGTCCCAAGTCCCCCTTTCAGTGTAAATTTTGCGATTGTGCTGGCCGATCTAATTATTTTCGCAGAAATTATAAAATTATACCGGGAATGTCCTCCTGTTATCTGATTAGTCATTGAATCACAAAACTGATTGGCTGCCTGGGTCAAGGATCTTGTGGGCGCTTTTGTGACTCAATGGGATTCCCCTCGCTAGCCGAGGAATCGATTGTGTTTAACTGAAAGTTGGTTGTTCTGTTGATTATTTCAATATTTCGGCAATAATATACCCAAAAGTTATTCTCAAGATATATCCATGGTATGTGAGATATTATATGAGCAATAACAATAGGACATCATTGATTGTCTGGGGGAAAACCTATGGCATAATGCATCTTTAATCAATGTCTAACTTAATTATAATTTACAGGGTGGTCCAAAAAAAAGTGAACCCCTGCAACAGGCTATATTTTTCTTAATACATGCATGAATTGGCTCATATTATCACATGTTGTAGAGAAAGGTCTAAAATTTTGGTTGATGCCATAATTTATTCTCAGTCTTAAATTTTGAAGAAATTACAAGCGTTTAACAAACATGCCTGGAAATTAGATATTGTACAAAATTTTACAAATGTGATTCACGGAAATTGTTGAAACACATTGGATGATTTTAAACAGCTTTCAGTTAGAGATACAAGTTTAAAACCCTACCATATGACAAAAGGGACACTATTCAAGCAGAAAACACATTTCACACTTTCATTGATCATTTTGAAGCATTTTAAACTGTTCAACAGTTCAGTATGTTACCTACACCAACGGTTAGAGGGGGGCCTCTTATGGAAGGAAGTTGCCCCCTGTGACCAGGAATCTGATAACTCCTTCATCAAATATCTTTAAAAAATCAAAGGAAAATTCAATATTCAATGTTTTGAGCCATATATCATTAGAATTGGTCCATGATTTATGAAGATATTGACATTTCAAGATCTTATAGGGGTATGTTCATGATTTCACTGGAAAATGTTTTCGTCTGTGGAAGCTTAGCACATCTCTTTGGATCACAATAACTTTGCAACTAACAAATGTAGAATGCTAGTTTTAAGCCATAATGTGCAGGATTTGAAATTGAACGAAGTCAGAAAATATTAGTTCTTTAAGACTGCAGCTTAGAAATTTCTCAGGGGAAAGGTGTTAAAGGGTTGAAGAATCGCGGATATTGAAAATCACAATTTGTCCATTTTCAGTAATGTTTGGTTAGATCTTATAATTTCTGCAAATTTCAAGACTAAGAAAAATGTATGGTACCAACATAAATTTTAGACCTTCCTCTACAACATGTGAAAATAAAAAAGAATTCCTGCAAGTAATAAGGGAAATATGGCCAGTTGCAGGGGTTCACTTTTTTTTGGACCACCCTGTACTCTATTAGTGGAGTCATCAACTTTTGAAAGAAATTTTACAATAAAACAGTTCATATAGGTTTCCTGTGATGTATGGTGTCATTCTGAAATATATTATCAATTAGTCAAGAAGAAAGTTGAAATATTGACCTTGTCTCTAAATAGTACCTTAACTTTGACCCAAATGTGTCCTTGTGATTGTGAATGTTACATGAACCTGCTTTTCAATGACAAAGATAAATTGAAGCTGACTGTGCTGATTTACCTTCTTAAGGCCTCCACTATGTTATTGGCTAGAGAATCAAGCCTGCGGAATCGAGTAAGTGCTGCAGGTATGTGACCTTGACATCATTAGCTTTTTATATGGTTCATGATTGAAGATATAAATTTTTTGTTGGTTATTATTTGTGTAGTAAAACAAAAAGCATTACTGATTACAGATTTGTTTACATCGTATCGTGGACTTCAAATGAAGAAGAAGTCCACGATCCGTATCAATGATGTTGACTTATCCCGTTCCCGGACTATGGACTATAGTCCGGGAACGGGATAAATGTTGACCAGCTTGTACATTGCCCCCCCCCCTCCCCTTCAATGCTGTATAGTGTTGATATTTTCTAGCCAAAATATGCAAAAATGTTGACAAAATGTTAAATACCTGCCTTGAACAATACAAGATCAATATCATGAGCATAAAATGATACTTCTAAATGCCTGTCAAATCCCCGGGTATTCCTTGCAATTGTATGTTGGTAATAACATTTCGTGCGGTGTAATGACTTTGACCCAGATTTTATTTTTCTACATCACTGGATTATTATGAGTTTTCTATGATATCATCCCATATTTATGAGGTAAGTTAATGTTTTTCTAAATACATATACTAAAATTATTCGTTGAAATTAATAATCAAGGAAAACGGATGCAAATTAAGGTAGAAGTTACGTGATCATTTTTTTCCTCCTCCTTATTCACTGTATTATCGCCCAATTTTTTTTGTAAAAATAAACAAAGAATTCTAGAAAGTTTGTGACCCAAATAATACAATCTTCTGCGATATAATGTATGGTCAGTTTAAATTTGCAATTGTCAATAAAGAGCTTTTATCATTCAGTGTGTTGAAAGTCAATGGATGATGTTGATATTTTGAGAGATCTCTAGTCTTGGAGAGATGAAAATGTTTTCAGACCTACATGTATTTTTAGTTCCTACTATTATTTTGCTCGTCGGAATTTCTGTTAAACTAGTGTTGAACTCATGATTTCCACCTTTGTAGTAAGGCAGAATGGCCTATGTTGTGAAAGCAAACTATGACTTCAACACAAATGAACATGGAGAATTACCACTCAAAGCTGGGGATATTGTACTTGTTACACAACAAATCGATGCAAGTTGGCTGCAAGGATCCCTAGGGAATCAAAGTGGAATTTTCCCTGCTGGGTTTGTGCAAAGAATTGATGTACCACAATTGCAGTTTGGACAAAAGATGTTTGTAGCTACTGAAACCTTTCATGCACAAGCCCATGGGGATTTGGGGTTTCAGACAGGTACGTCGAGAAGGGTGGACATGAGTCTGTTCATGTCAGGCAGAAGGAAATCTTGCTGTACAGTTCTTAAGGTACAGCTGGAAAATAATATTTTGGTAAAAATGCTATCCTGCACATGCTATTTTCTGGTACAAAATAAAGTATGAAGGCATGTGTCAATTTCCCTGCTTTTTTCAGGAAAGTATCATTACATTGTCTTCTTTTAGTATATGGTAGGAGTTCAATGGGAACTCCAGGAATTTCTGATATTACACTTTCTATTTTTCCAAATTTTCTTTCAAAGTTTCCAGACAACACAGGAGCTACCATTGACCTATTTCCAGATTTACTAAAAGTAGACAATGTAATGATACTTTCCTGAAAAAAGCAAGGAAATATACACATGCCTTCATACTTAATTTTGTACCAGAAAATAACATGTGCAGGTATAGCAATTTTTTACCAAAATGTTACTTTCCAGCTGAACCTTAATGCAGACAAATCTGTCAGTTGCATTTATGACTTAAAAAACCTAGAATATATTCCATATAATTGTATGTTATGTATTAATTTGCTGTTGCATCATTATGTACAGTATGTGTGATTGTTTCAGGTGACATTGTCATTGGGACCAAAATGGTTGATGCAAATTGGTGGCAGGGAAAATGTCATGGAAAATCTGGTATTTTCCCTCTAACTCATACTCGTATCATTGATATTCCTGCCAGTCCTACTCCTCAAGCAAATGCAACGAGCCATATGAGTCCTATGCTACCAGCTCAGCCTAATCTTACGCAGACAACTGCTAAATGCAAAGGTCGTGCCATCATGGACTCAGTTGCCCAGATAGATGAAGAACTCAGTTTCAACTCTGGTGATGTCATCACAATATCAGAAGAGGTAGATCAAGTGTTCTATCGGGGAGAATGTAATGGAAAAGTTGGAATTTTCCCAATGCACTGTGTTGAAATTATTGAAGGTAAAGCTCCTTCCCCAAAGGTTCAAGAGCCAACATTGCCATCGCGAAAGAACTTTGATTGGTTTAAAAGTGATTCAGTTGCAGTCAGTAGCCCTAATGTGACAATGCCTCATCAAAATAGAAATTCTTATGTTGATCCACAACAAAATAGAAGTTCATATACAGCTCCAGAGCAAAATAGTAATGCTTATGCAAACTCACAGCAAAATAGAAACTCATTTGCCGGGCTCACGCAAGCTTGCTCAAATGAATCCAAAAAAGTTAGTTGGAGTGCATCTGTTTCCGAAAATAAACCTGCTAAAATGATCCGTCAAGATGCAACTTCTATCGACAATTTCCAAAGTGTTGATAATTTTAGTTTTACTCCAACAAACATCAATGTGACTGAAAATAATGGTCCTCCTGTAAGCAGTTTCCAAGGCGATATTACTCCCACAGTCTTTACTTCAGACAATACAAAGTCACATGACTCAGCCATAACTCCTTATGGGAGAACACTCCATGCATTCATGGCTGAGAACACAAATGAGTTAACATTCATGGAGAATGAAATCATCACCTTGATATGTCATATTGATGATCAGTGGACTGAAGGAGAAATTGATGGAAAACGTGGGATTTTTCCAACTTCCTTTATCGAGATTATTGTTGATTGTGATTATCTAAAGGACTCCAGTGGTGATGTCGCTACTAACAACAATATGTTGTCATATGGTTATGGGACAGGCGGGGAGGAAAAACAAGGGAAAGGTATCCATACATTTGTTGCAGAGACTGATGAAGATTTGACTGTGTTAATAGGAGACATTGTTACGGTGCTGAATGAACCCAATGAAAATTGGTACTTTTGCCGTGATGACAAAAACAATACAGGACTTTGTCCTGCTGATTTTATCCAAATCATAGGGTCTAGAGGCTCAAGTAGTCAATCCATCCATGTAGATCCTTATAAAGACCCTTATCAGCCAGTATCCCCAGCACCACAGCAGTTTCCTATGGTGAGCAAAAATACTCAACAGCCTCCTCCAATAAGCAAACCATCAAAACCGAGAAGTCCTGCAATTCAAACTAGTGCTAGTCTAGATGACCTTATTACTGTACAAATGAGGAAAGCTCGAAGCGATTCTGATGAAAATAAACGAAAATCTCTACAACTTCAAAAGCCTCCAAGACCAGCCCCAGTCAGAAAGGACTCATTAAATTTATCAAAATCCCAAGGCAGTGATTACTCAGCTTTAAAAGATCCAGTCACTAGCCCATCAATCTTTGAAAAATACAAACCAGTGGTGCCTCCTCCCCCTTCGTCACCTCCCCCTAGTCCACCAAAATCACCAACGAAAACTCAGCCCCAGAGGCCTCCCCCCAGGCCTGTAAATCTCCCCTCACCAGATAAACCAGTGACATCATCAGTGCAATCTGGAAATGCAGTGCAGCCTGAGGTTGTTCAACCATTGAATGCAGCTGGTGTTGAACCTTTAAGGCCAGAGCCAGTACAACCATTGAGGCCAGAGCCAGTTCAACCATTGAGGCCAGAGCCAGTTCAGCCATTGAGGCCCACCAGACCTGCACCTAAACCACCAGTTCCGGTGTCCCCCAGCTACAATAATCAAGGCTCTTCTTACACAGGTAACACTCCACTAACTACAGATTTGAAAATGTCACCACCATATTGATATACCCAACATGTTTTTTGTGATTGACAGTCGGGATTTAGCATTTTCCACAGGTAAGTTATTTATGATTTATAACAAGCCATGTACTATAAGTTAACAGAACTAATCATCTTACACAATGGCAACATTGAAGGATTACTGCAGATCAAATACAAACTCAGTTATCACCAAACCAATGTACAGTTTGTAATAATCAACCTTGACTCTGTACAATACAAGATTAAAGCCAGTATTATCCAATTTGTAAATATCCATATCTGCAGAACATTTTTGATATATCCACTGCCTTGTTCTACAGTGTATTGATCATGAATAATAACAAGAGACGTATTACATTTATGATAACGTTCAGAAAATCCTCTATCATTCAGTATTTCTGGAGTGCAAAATCTCTCAACTCCAGAGGTGATTGTTTTTTTACATCAAAGAAAGAGGAAATTATATTCAGTTCTTTACTTAAATTCATAATCCTATAAAACAACTTTTCAGAAACTGATTCAAAACTAATTCAAAGGGTCAAACTCTACTTATGGAGAATTGCATATGATCCTTGTGTACCATAAAGCCGAAAGAAATTGCTGGGTTAGTACAAAACATGGCACGGTGTCATGGCATGCCCTATGGCATAGGCTATGGCACCCCAGCCCAAACCCCCCCAGATTTCATTTTTCCCAGATTGCCAAACTACAACATTGCTAAATGATTCTGCTATATGCAGTTCACTTTATCTCAAATGGTGAACTATGCTTTCAGCTGCATATCAGTCAATTTATCTTTTATACATATCCCAGGTTTTCTAGAAGAAAAGTCTTTATTTTTCCGTTGGCACTTAGTTTTAGGATGTTCCATTATTTGGAATTTTCTGATCAAATGCTTGATTTTTCCAGTTTTTTGGAAGTAAAACCAAACACACAAAAATTCATTTGAACTCAAAGACACCCTCTCTCTCAACAGTTTCAAATACAATACCCCTCAGCTGTTGATAACAGTTAGATAATTGAAAAGTTTTAATTTACGATGATATGGAGTTATTTCTGGATTGACCTCGAGCTTTAGAGAAAATTTTGCTCGTTTTGTTTCATCAGAGATTCAGGACTACTCGTATACTCAAAGATCAAACTTGCTTAACTATGTTTTTGATCTAATGGATGGCATTGTGAGAGAAGATATACAGTAAAAGTAAAGAACTGGTTAATATTCCACCTACATATTAGTACATGGTGAATGTTTAATAAATAAATTGAAATAAAATGCCAGAAATGATAGATTATAGGATGAGTAAATATTTGTCTAATACATTTTGACTTACTGCCAAGTCCAGGTCATATTTTTCTATCATTTTAGGCAGTTTCTGTTTTTATTTATCACTCTACGAGGACACATATTGCAGTACTATCAGGCAATTGGATTTCTAATCAAACAACAAAGTATATATGGGCATAAACATGTCAGATGGTGGTCCCTGCATTTCATTTTGGAATTATTGTAATTATTTAGTTATTATTTAATAGAGCAGAATGAATAAGGATTAGTGAACAGGTATAAAGAGGACTTGACTGATAACAGGATTGGAATTGTAAACAATAAATAGAAAGTACATATGTGACGCATTTCCATATGATATGATAGATTAGCTCATTATTTGACTCAGTGGGACTTGGAGTCTGACCTCATGATTTATTAGATATGTAATAAATCAGCTCATAATAATATTAGAGATATTTTATCAGATTTGATAACAAGAAAGCTTTGAATTGATATTGAAATGGGCACTACTATCTGGTACCAAGGTATTTATTTTCCGGTTTTCTGTAATATTGAAGTAGTTAGTTTATAAGATTAATGCACAGACCTCAGAAAAATAAGTGACTTGGATTAGACTGGTACGTCATGCTAAATTTTTTTCAGAGTGGTTCAGATTATAATTAGACTGGTACGTCATGCTTAATGGTTCAGATTATATTTTTTCCTATTTTGTTGTAAATAGAACTTATTACTTCTTTACTGTACTGTATATTAGACTGATAGGTCTTTAAGGGAGCCTGACCTTCTTGTGACAGTGTCCGCATCTGAAACAATTGCCACACTTACATGTATTTCAGTAACCATTTGCAGGGAGTGACATTTTCTTGTGTTTATGCCTCATTTTTCATAATTTGGGTTTAGTGAATTCAACTTGCAAATGTTTAATAGGAAAATGTAAATTATGACTCTGAAATTTTAAATCAATCATGGCTTTAACTACATGAACTAGGGACTAGAAGAGGTTCTTTATAATTTTGCTCATTACATGTTTCAAACTAATTTCAGACATTGATGTTGAGGACAATGAGGAGATTATAGCAGACATACAGCGTAGAATAACAGAGATAGAAGATGATTTACAGGTAAATGCAATTTATTTATATGGATGGTAAATCTTAATTTTTTCAACAGTTTTTATTTCATGGCCACAAGTGGTGACAGTTATAGTCTCCAACCTTTTTTTGGGTGGTGTCTGGCGGTTGGTGTCTTGCAATTAGGGGTTGTTGTTATGTCATTTGGCAGTCAGAGTCTGTAGCAAATGGTAGATGGTAACATTTTTCATGTTGAAGGCTTGTTAATATTTTGAAAATAATACTTACAAGTTGTAATAAGTATACTTCTTGACTTCAGTTTTGAGTATCTTAGGCAAGAAACTTGAAATGGAACATCTTTGTTTTGAATATGACATGTACCAGTACTCAGTACCGAACTACTGATACGTCAGACCACTCTCGCTTTACCTAGTTGCCACCAGATTCATTATCAGATGGCTCATTTGACTGAGTCTCTTCATCTATGACCAGAGTTCTCCCCAAACTTAGAGAACAAATTGATTTTGAGGATCAATTTGCATCACACCTTTTTGAGTTGGATAATTACATATAAGTTTTTTCATTTTTTCAGAATTGTAGGAAATGTAAGGATGACCTAGAACAGCAAGTCTCAGAGGCTGGTGATACCCTGGACCCTGAGACAACTGACAACTTAGAATTTTACAATGCAAATATCTCTGGCCTAACAACTGAACTGAATAACCTGAAAAGTAAGTACTGTACAATAATAAACATTATTATACACTTCATAGGAATCCTGCATTCTGATTTGATTATGTCTATCCAATTTTCTTAACGTTTTGACTTTCACCAAATAATTATTTTTTGTTTGCTCAATTAAATACTTATTACAGTTATTATGGGTATAGAAGAGACATGGATCTATAAGTGCCTTTATAAGTACCAACATTTTACGTTTCAGGGAACCTCTCTCAGTTGATGCAGAAAAGTTCAGCAGATGAAGAAGCGAGACATCAAGAGGAGCAGAGACGTCGACTTGAAGAGGAAATTGCACGTCGCAAAGAGGAGGATAAACGTCGAAGTGAGGATATGCGGGAACAAATGAAACAAAAACGTCAACAAGTTCTCAATGAATTGGTTGAAACTGAGCGAAGTTTTGTTCGGGACATGCATCTATGTATTGAAACTTTCATAGGGCCTGGTGTGAAACAGGTTTGTAGAAACTATACTCTTATACATTTTGTTTTTTTAAAAAGGGGTATGCGCAAGTTTCCATAATTGCTTATTGCCTTATCACCTCATTTCTAGGAAATAATATGCAGTTTTCCTCTTGTTGATTTGTACTTTTTATTATTCCATAATTGTAGGTTTGTGGATGAATCTCAAGGTAATCCTTTTCATCGGAAACTCATCATTTTACCCGATACAAATCCAAATTAGCTTTTCGGCATGATGTGTTCATTACAAGGTTGCTTTTAAGAATTAGTCAATGCAGTATTCATTTCAGACACCCAAATGACACACTGTTATTTTTTCAGAACCCCAATATAGACACTGACACACTATTTGGAAACATGGTGGAGTTGGTAGAATTGGCCGAAAAGTTACTCAACAGTATGGAGGAATATACAAAAGATAAACCATTTGAGAAGCAACTTACAGGTGAGAAAGGGGATGGAATAGCGTGGAGAGTGAATGACTTTACTTCCTTACTTTCTTACATCAAGGCTTTTTTGTGATTATGTATTCTAAACTGTTTGGTGTTATAAACTGAAATTGAATTTTAATGATATAAAAAGGAAAGTAAATGACATATATCTCCAATTGTTGAAGTCACTATTCAGCAATCATCATATTTTTGCAAGAATCCAAATTAGCAATGCTAAATAGATTTGGAAGCAAATATTCACACTATTTCCTCCCCAAACATTTGAATGCTCTGTATTGTATAATGTTACGTCCCAATGTTACATCTGCCGTTTTCTCTGATTTTAATCTTCTTCTGTTCAGGGGAATTGTAATTAAATTAACAAATAATTGCTTTAATAAACTCTGTTCTGTCTAAACTAAATAGCATTTGAATATCCTAACAGCAAGCCAGGAAGCTAGATGTGCTCTCCTGAGATGCTTCTAGTAAACTGAAGTATATGTTACTGGTATAGTAATACACACAACACTAACTATGTTGATTGTGAGACATTAATCTTGAATACATACTCATTTATATTATGAAAGCAGACTTTATCAAAGTATGACCACTTTCAAACATAATGCTAAAAATCCAATGCCACATAAAAGCAATAATGCCTCAATGAAATCCTACATGTTCTATCCCATTATATCTTCTTTTGTAATATTTTTCATCCTTTTACATCATACATTCTTAGCCTTACCCTCTCATCCTTCTTATATCCATTAGATCTTTATCCATTTTCCAGGCTGTTGCTTCAGTTGGCTAATAGAGGACATGAAGAGTGTATATGCTCCATATTGCCGTAACCATGACGATGTGCTTGCACTTCTTGAAAAAGTAAGATCTTCATAATGATATTGATTATAGATACCGATTGTCTCATTGTTTCTATGAATAGATTAACTCCTGAGATAATTCATCCAAAGCATGTTTTTGAAATATGGCAGCTCACATAGTAGTGCAGATCCAGGGAAATTATCCAGACTGCAGAAGTTGAAAAAGTATTTTTAGAACACTTTCAATGTTATATTATTTGCCTCTGAAACATATGTTTTTCTATTACAAGTTTAAAAAAGTTTAATAAATATTTTGCTTTCTTGAATTTTCAGTATGAAGGGAATGAAGCTGTCCAGGAATATTTTAGGCAAGGCTTGGACGTTATTCGTGAGAAAATTGTAGTGTTTGACATTGGGTCTCTCCTCATCAAGCCTGTCCAAAGGGTCCTCAAATACCCCTTACTGCTCAATGAACTACTGAAGGTTGGTACAGTGTTAGAACATTTAAAGTAACTGGATTGAGACAAATGATTTATTGAAGGAATTTGAAGGGATAGGGAATGTAAATTTTAAATATTGGATGCAGTCTTTTCAAAATCAGGCCAATGTTTTGTTTTCAATATCAATATTATTTTCAGAACTAAACGAAATTTCTAATCATATTTTGCAGTTTTTGAAGATTTAACATGCCGTAATATTCATTATAATTTTGCTGCCAGATAGAATTAAAAATTGAAGGATTAACCTAAATTAAAGTCATAACCGTTTGGGTTTTTAGAAAAAAGTCATAACATGAAATATTGTTGATTTAAAAAATGTCCAAAACTTACTCTCAATTTCTAGGCGGTAGGAGGTAACAAATATTATTCCAATACTATACATTTTGCCATTCATACTCACTTTATTATCTTTATAAATATAATCATGAATATTTTCAGAGTACGGAAGACAGTCACCCTGATAAAGAAGGCCTCATTAAAGCTATGACTGGAATGACGAATGTCGCTCAGTACATCAATGAATACAAGAGAAGGAAGGATTTAGGTACCTTTCTCATATAAATAGATACACAACAGCAGTAAAACATGTGTATAGATAACACCTATGGAGATGAAAAAGTATTCACTGTGTTTGGGTGTTCACTACATAGAGAATTTTTGTTTAATAAATGAATACAATACAGAAGTTAATGGGGAATGTTTTGAGAAAAAGGTGTTGAGTAGAGAGATTCAAGATTCAAGATTTTATTGTGTTTCAAACCAAACACTTGGTTTCCTCACAAAATCAATTACAAGACATTTACATATAATTATACAGTTAAAAAAACAACAACAACATGCATTGTTTCACAAATACCATCATACAATTTTTCCTTTTTCAAATAGCTCCCGACGCTGATTAAAAAGTTTATTTATAAAATGTATCAATTCGTTAACAATTTCAAAATCATCAGAAGTCATCAAAAAGTTATATTTTTCTTCATCCGACATATTATCAAATGTGTCAATAAAACTTAGTTTATTAAAAAATTCAAATCTACATTTTTTATAGCCATCACACACAAGAAAAAAATGTTTTTCATCCTCTACTTCCCCCTTATTGCAAATCTGACAAATTCTTTCATTTATTTCAAGTCGATGCTGTTTAGTGCCATCTTTTTTCTTTTTCTCGTGTCTCCCTGTTTCAATTCTTAAATTATGGTTTGCTAATCTAAACCTGGCCATTTTAAAAATTAACATTTTGTTCACGCTTAGTGATTATAGTGTTAAAGAATTTCTATATTTACAAATTAGAAGAGTTAGATCTTACTTATAATTCTTTGTTTTAAATTCCAGTATTTAAGTATCGACAGGAGTCTGACCATTCAATTGGGGACAAAATGGCAAAGATAAGTTTCCATTCTCTCAAGAAAAAGACAGCTAGAATCGGAATGAGGCTCAGCACAAACCTTGGGATATCCAATCAGGTTAGGCACAATGATCAATTGATTCGTAATTTCTTTTTCACATTTTACCGTCTTCATGAGAATGATACAATGGTCTATTTCATGTACATGTTAAATTCAGATCAATGTACAAGTGTAATAGACATCAATGTAGATCATTCTCCATATTAAATACAAGTCATTTTACATATACAGTCAATGGACACTTCAAATACAGATCAATGTACATGTCAAATTATCAATGTACATTTTGAATACAGATAAATGTAGTAGAATTTCTTGCTAAAAAGACTCCATGCTTTTGAAACATTGCATAGCCAATTGAAATGTTTAAAATGTTTTATTTTAGACGGTGGATGTCCAGTTCAATGAGGAAGAGCTGAGGTTCAGAAATGTGGAGAGATGTTTGAGAACTGTCAAGAGTAACATTTCACTATTTATGGAGCATTTACAGGTAGAGATTGTGTTACTAGAAATTGATTGATGTAATAGATCAATTCATTATATCATCCTACCCATTTCGTTTGATGCCGTTCTTACCATTTCAGTGTAAAAATAGGACTAACTTACTGCTGACTTTACTGCTGAATTTCAAAAATTCATGAAGTAAAACCTGTATATCCAAATACCTCTCTTATCCAAAAACCTTTCAATCTGAACACACTTTTTATCAGTCCCAGATTTGTTATCTCCAATTTGACTTCCATATTTCAAGAAACTTGAAATGTTCATCCCTAATCTAAACTGCAAAACTAAAAGGCAATTAATTTATTTTCATAGGAGGTGACATGGTGCCAAGAAGCCTTGGCCGCGGATATTGCAGACTTCTACACTGAGGGTTCTGGGAAGGATGTCATCCTCCAGTACCAGGTGGCGCAACAAGCCTTCTCTGATAAGCATTACAAATTATTTGTAAGTAATTTCCCTGGTTAAAAGTGGTACAGGTTGGTCAAAAAACGGATACCTCTTTATATTTTTGACCACCCTGTACATGAATTTTGATTATTGCTGGCCAGAAAGAGTCGATATTAATCCTTTCTGAAATTCAATTTTCGAATTACTTGTAATACAGTATGATAACCAAAAAACTATCAAGTGTCATCACTTTAAACCCTATTTAGTCATGCTAATAGCACCCATAATGTCCAAATGATAAGACTTTATGAATTCTTCCCAGTATTGCTCATTGTGTTCTGTTTTCAGAAAGCACGGGTGGATGACAGAGTGATTCTCTCACTTAACAGACTCATTGTTATGTTCAATGGACCCAATCAGGTTGTGAAGAAACGCTATGATAAACTGTTAGACTTTGATAGAATAACCAAACAGCTGGAAAGTCTGAGAGCGGGGGATCCTCTGTATAAGAAAGTAAGCGTTATATTTCTGAAGATGAATTGTGTATTTCTAGTACCTGTAGTTTACAGTACTGGGGTCATTATGAAGTAATATTTATAGGATTATTTATTACCCATACATTAAGGAACATAGTAGCAGAAATGTCTGATATAGCCAGTAAATAATTGAATATTTAGATAATTAAACAAACAGAATGAAATCTTGTGCTGAGGGTGGATTTGGAAAGTCAGTCCACCCAAGTGGGGATTGACCACCAACTCTTCACTATTTGGAAGAGTGCTCTACAACTGAGTTACTGGACTTGCTGATCATAGTCAAATATTCCTAATCCTGTTTATATTTGTAGACATCTGATGACTTGGATATTGCCCACAAAATGTATGAAGCCCTCAATGCGCAGTTGAAAGATGAACTTCCCCAGTTGTGTGAAATGTCACTGCTTGTCATTGAAAATTGTGCCAAATCATTCATTTCCTTGCGGCGTGAACTCTTGCAGAAAATTGTCAGTGACTTCCAACCCTTGATTCAGGTACTTAATGAATTTATTTTCAACAAAATGTGAGTTATGGTGGGCTTATTGGCATTTATTTTGAACTTTATTGTGATATCATTATGCAAGCCTTCACAAAGGACCGCCAGAACAGCTTAATTTATGAATATTTATATTTTGTTCATTATTTCAATCATTTATTTATAAACAAATTAATGCATATTAAATTATTAAATTAATATTAATTATTAAATTAATGGTATCACGGGATGTCATCGCCTGATTTGGTCAATGTTAGGGAGCAGGTCGTTTTTACAATAAATTTCAATATTTTCACACAAAATATTTTTTTTACTGAAAAACTGCTCATTCGCAGAGAAAATGTACTAGCACATCAATGTCAATCACGCTTCTGTACGAAATTCGGCGGAAGTCTTTTATAATCTAATACGAAGTTACTAAAAAAGGCGCGAACGCCCTACACTCAAAATGATCGTTTTTCCATTATAACTTTTTAACGTAATTTAACGAAGGCTTCTAATTATTATCCAAGATAGTCTAAATACCGATTAAAATATTTCTTACTTCAAACAGATACGCCGTCTTTTATTCAATTTTTTAAAAAATAATAAAAAATAACTCTTTACGCTTTCCTCCCCAAAGGGTATCAAATAATCATACAAACAAAATTGTTCAGTTTATAAATGCCATACATATTTTAAATGGCCATTTGCTACATTTTTAATATTCTGATAAAATCATTTTGCTCCCTAACATTGACTGCTCCCTAACATTGACAAGAGTTATTTTTTATTTATTGACCAAATCAGGCGATGACATCCCGTGGGTATAGTTATTTTTATTTCTCAATCCCACATAAATCAATTTTGACATGATTTCCATTCCAGAAAAAAAGCATAATGGAATTAATAATAGAATAATGGAATGGACATTTGTGGCTTGAAAGTGGTCACACTAAGAGAAATATTATGCTTCAATGAAATTGTTATTTTACTCCATCTTTTGTTCTCTAAAACTTAGATTGATTATTTTGCCATCTATTTTAGCTTCCATATATTACTACATTGACGCAAGACCAGGCAAACATGATGGATGCTTTTAATATAGCACACACACGACTCCTAGAGAATCTTGCCAATATATTACTGTGCCCTAAGTCCCTGAGAGAGGAACATGATGATAAAGTGACAGATTGGCCAGTCCATGATAATAAATCTCCCGATGGAAAAGCACAGGTACCATTGAATTTGAAATATTATACAAAATATTATTTGCAAGAGAAAGATATGCCACTTGATTGATATTCATATATGTCATCCCTAGGGTCACTCCAACAAATCAAAGATATGATCCAGATATAGAAATGGTATGATGGTAGTTCATTTCCACATTTTATACATTTCATGATACACTGTACTTTTGATCATAGATAAGAGTTTGAAATATGGATATGTTAATATACCTGTAGCGGCCAGAGGCAACAAATGTATTTCATATTCCTATCAACTGCCTTTAAACATTAAAAAATCACTCTGAGGTCAATATTTAAAACAAATTGTTATGGACTTTGATGATTTCTGGCTCACAAAGTACTTAAATTCATGTTTTTAGCCAAGTGAACCAACTGCTCAATCTGGGGTTAGTCAACAGAGCGAGAGTCAACAGATGTACATTAGACAGCTCTACCCCCCAGACAAACTATATAAGGTATTGCAACACTACACTGCGTCACACGTCATGGACATGGATGCTGTCGCGGGAGATCTTGTTGGCCTTATTAAAGATAAAGATCCAATGGGTGGCAAAGATAGGTGGTTTATTGATAACGGAGGTGAGATTTTGGTTACCTCATCAGCTCTGTTTCCATGATTTTCATAAAAGGGGAAACATAATGGTCTTTCAACAGATATATGGATGCCATCTATTAAACATGTTGAACAGTGCTGTGTTGAAGAGTCCTTGTGGTTCAAATCATATCAGATTTTGGAAAAGTGGGCCAAAAATAAATTAGATTATTGAATGCAAGTTTTTATTGCATTTTCAATGAGACATCAATGTCATTAGATTTGAATTCTACAGTTTTTGAACATGCTTTTGAATTTTGCAGGGTCAAATCATAATAGTTATCATCAAAATCTAAAAAATGAAAGCAAATGGATAATAATGTATGATTTGAAATATATGTGAGTCTGAATACATGTGACTCTTATAAACTATCTTACATGTTAATAAAAGTAAATGTCAAATAAATGGACATGTCTGATGAAAGTAAATTTTTAATCAATTTTATGTCAGTTAATGATAAGCTAAATGGAATCAGGAAGCACTGATATTTTATATGATGTTTTCTTGTACCTTATTTCTCATTCATGTTGAACATGTATACAATGGATAGTCTTTCAGAATATAAGGGTAAGGGTAAAGGGTAAGTGAATGGTACCATTGTGGTAAATCAAATAGGGTTTATTTTTATATTCTATAAACTGTTTACCTGTAAAGACACATTTCCCATTGTGTTTCAGTAAAGAAAGGTTTTGTGCCAAGCAGTATTCTAGTGGCACTCTCACAGGTACAGGGTGACTCTAATATTGGGGCACAAACAAAAGATGTATCTGCTTATGAACCTCAGACCACCAATAGCACAGCAGCTAAACCAAATGGCACAGGTAATATTTGATATCTGTACATGGAGGTATTTTGTTGTTTCCTTAATTGCCTTTACATTAAGAGTATAAGGAACTATACATCTATGTTCTTTTTCATTTGTTTACATCTTTTCTACAAGTGCATAAACAGTCACCAAACAATAGCGTTATAGATAGATACAAATAGAAATTCAACTTCTAAAGTACATGTTCTTTTATTTTCATTCATATATTTTTTTATTCATTTTCCAGAAAATGTGCAAACTTACTCAAGTGAGAAACCACCCATCGAGTTCTTGGAACCAGAGGTATATGTGCCCCACCCAGAGGTAAATGTTCCCCACCGTGAGACTCACACCCCCCAGGGGATGACAACACAATTAGCCACGCAAGATTCAATGGACGCATATTTTGATGATGATGTGCCAGATGTCTCATCCAATGAAGATGTAAGTTTCTACAAGAATTTCGTTCAGGAAATTATACTGGACACATGTAGTTTATTTCCTATATTGTCCTACATGTAAGCCTTCATACATATACGTACTTTGACTCTCGTCTAATTAAGATACTCAAGTTTGTTAATGCCAGCTGATTAGACATCTCAGATTGTCACTTCTATTTTGTGTCATTAAAGTGAAGGTTTATGTTTCAAAAAGCAATGCTAAATGTTTTTTAACATAAGATTCAGTTCAACGTTTTATTTCAAGGAACACCATAGATTGAGGATCATGCAGACTAAAGGATATTGGGTGTGTGTGGTTCAGAGGTTGATTTGTCCAGGGTTTGAGTTTTCTAGGGATATGTTGTCTAGAGTTTGAGTTGTCCTGGGTTGAACTGTCCATAGGCTACTAGGGATTGAGTGTCCTGTTACCTTGCTCTGTTGATGTGTTGGTCATTAAAAAATCATGACATCAAGGCTACTAGTATAAGTCAAATATAATCTGCAGGGAGAAGATATAATAGTATTGAAACATCCATACAGAATAATCAAAATATTACAAAACAACTAAATAACCATAATACACTATTGCAAGAAAAAGTTCAGGGTCAGAATACAAAAGAGTTCCCTGACATACAAGAATATATGTCTACTGATCAAACTACTTTACAAAATATACACAGAAATTTTTATTTGATTTAAGGAATTTCTGTATTTAATTAGAAAAAATAAATGAAACTTTTCTATATTCGTTTCAGAGACATATAATAACAGTATAATATATCTACTCATTTTCATGTGATATATAAAGAAAATTGGCCGAAACTCAATATTCTGTAATAATATCTTTTTTCCACATCAACTTTCAAAAGTATTTTTATTCCTATGTATTGTTGTCACCAGACAGACATTGTAAGATAAGAACAATAGATTGACGATCCAATATATTTCCTACTCATTGACATTTTCATTTAGAACATCTAATATCTCAAGTTACTGCTTCATTAAACCTTCAAAGCAAATTGAACTGTCCATATTATAGCAAAGACATTCAGCGGGTAGAACTTATGCTACATCTTAATTCACTCATTATTCAACTATCCGGCCTAAAACGTGATGGTGAAATTTTTATTACTCCTACTGACAGTGTTGAAATAACCAGACCGGAGGAGTGAGAAAAATGTTGTGCAGTAGAAACTGTCAAATTGATACCTCTGTAAGTGGAACACTTCAAAGGCCTGTGGCAGGATACATCTGTTGAATTCAAATAAGTAAACATCTATGAGTGGAATACTTTTTAGAGGTCCCAAAGGTGTTCCATGAACACTGGTGTCACTGTACATTAATTGTTCTGTAGTAATGTACCTGTATTAGTACTGTCATCATTTTTATGTCACCACCACAAGTGGTGACATATTGTATAGTCTCCAACTTTTTTTCTGTTAGGTGGATGGCATTTGGCATTTGTAAAAATGGCGGGTGGTTACATTTTGCATGTTATTTTTTGTCATGATCAAAATGACAATACTTTTGAATCTCACTTTCCATTGTGCAACTTTTAGTGAAATATATATTTTAAAAAAATGGAAGTCACCTCCTTTTTGTGAATACATAGTGGACCTCTTCACCCACAGCAAACACATATTTCCTGTAAGCACCTCTTGTGAATCAGATGTGTTTGATGTACATCCACGGCACTTAAATGACTACATGTAGCAAATCTTGTCTATTTTCAGATTTATCAAGCCGTCTATTCTTTTGACGCACGTAATGACCTTGAGTGTCCTTTAGTGGAGGGGGAGACAGTACGTGTGCTGGCATTTACAGATCAAGAAGGCAATGATGAGTGGTGGCTAGTTCTAACATCGAGTAATAAGCAAGGATATGTTCCCGCAAACTATCTATACAAAACTGCTGGCTAGAGAAGACACCTCTGAGCATTTCATTCTGTGTGATTGTGCCTCATTCTTTCTTTCTACAGATCTTGAATTTTCCAGGGAATTCTATTTATACACTTCAAAGTGATTAGCTAATGAATTGAAAGATTCTTGAAACTGAGTCAAGCATCTGCAGAGAGGAAGAAGGAGCATACTGAATGAGACTGCTTGGAGAATGGAGTGGAGATAAGGGAGGTTCAAGGGGAGGGGAGAGTGTGTATTGAACAAAGTGCTTGAGATAATGTTCATATGAATCATATCTCAAGGTGTATTACTTTGAATTAGCCCATATGCATTGCAATGCAATGTGATTATTATTTCAAGTTTATATAAACAGGACCTACAATAACGATTCATACTTGCTGCATAACCATGTGGACCCAACCCCCCTACTGGACTATACACACTTACACAGGGATGAGTAGTAGGGGGGGGGGGGTCACAAGGGATTGTAGCTAGACTATAGTTACTGTATTGATTTTGTGAACTCACTCACTTCAGTAAAAGTATTATATGCTTTCATTGAAATCCTAATGGTACATGCTTGCCATCCTATCATCATCTATCATCATATTCCTATGTAACTATACAACATGAAGCCTATAGAAATAATACCTTATATATATATATATTTCTTTATTTATATATATAAGGTATTATTTCTATAGGCTTTTATGTGCAAGTCTGAAAATTAATATATGAAAAGATCTTTAAAGATTTAACATCTATAATTCTGATTCTTAATCACAAAAAACAATTTTTGATTCACTTCCACCATCAATAGACTTCTTATCTGTGATTATGAAAGTTTGAAACCAATTCATTCAGAGGTAGAAATTGAATGAACTGAATTTTAAAAATTAAAAACAGTGAGAGTATAGTAAAACCTGTATATAGTGAACACATATGGAGAGAGAGAGATGTTTACTGTACATGTATTTAAATTAAATTTTTAACATGTCAGGCTGCAGCTTAATAGTAAAATGTTAGGTGAACAATCTTTCATAGTTTCAAGTTACAGATCATATAAATAAAAAATTGGGTTACTTAGAAGCAGAACTATAGGCACTGCCCCTTAAAATCATAGCCCAACGCCCCAAAGTACATGTACTGCAATGCATAATACAACAATCCAGTCAAATGTACAATAAGTCAAATCCAATATACAACAATGAGGTAATGAAATGTTTAAAATGGATTTACATGTAAAATGACATGTCTAACTCTTTTTACATCATAAATGCCTGAGTTTCTAAGAAATCTGTACAGAATTCTTTAATTAATAAATCCATTTCATTGCCTGCTAATGGCTCGTTTGATTCCTTACGATCAAATATATCTTCAGAAACAGCATTATTTGTTCAACTTAAAAAAGGTATTCAACTGATATTACTTTGTGATAACAACTTAAAAGGCCAAGCTATATTTATATCAATTATTTAATGTAAAAGGAATACTTTATTACTTGTGATAACAAATAATTAAAGATACAGTCTTTTGTATATCATAAATAAATGAAAATTAATGCATTTTTGCTAATTTAGTAACCGTGATCATTTTAGTAATGGATATGTAATATTTGTTCAACATTTTTGGTTTTCAATTATTTATGTGATTTAAGGGTCATTTAGTACAATGGGCAGTAAAACTAATACAGGACACTGAGGACATCAGTAAGCACCTTTTCTTGGAAACAAGCTGAATATTTTTATTATTATATCCTTTACAGGGAGACAGTGTCTTCCATGTAAATATTATCTGGTGAACCAGTGCATTGTTTTGTTCAACAATTACTTAATGATACATGGACGACTAACTGTACACTTCAGTGGCTTATAGCATCACTGATATATATTCTACATGTATTTACATACACTACTTTATATACAAGGGTTGGTTCAAAACTTTTTGATCATCCCTCTTACTATAAAGATACTCATAAAATATACTAATGTTGATTACAAAAAGAAGACTTTTAACACATACATTATTCCTGCACTGTGTGTACATATTATCACTTTGTTATCTAAAATGAGGTGCTGAAACAGCTTTAGTCCTCCAAGGTTCCAGAACTTGTCCACATTTTATTTTCCCAGAAAAAGTTATTTATTCTTAAAAATAAGAGGATGCAAAATATGTATTGTTGTATTAATTAACCACAGAATGTATTATGTACCAAATCTGTTAATGAAATATCTCCATGGTTTTAGTGTACAGATACAGTGGACTGAGAAGGAATGATGCAAGAAAAATTGAAGTATGACAGGGATAACAATTTGAGCGCTTACTCTTCTTGTTTTCAGGAATATACTTTTGCTCAATTTTGTGTTTTTAATGTTACCTTTTGTGCTTTCTGGGTCAATTGTGTATGAATCAAAAAGTTAGTATCTTCCATTTTCGTTCCTAACTCATCTCATCTCTACTGTTTTGTGCTGAATGAAAACCATGAAGAAAATGTCACGTGATTGTATTTTGCTGTTTGTGTGAGAAATGTTGTATTATCTGTATATACAAATGCTTATTATTATATATTGTAAAATTTATAAAAAATATGTATTTATGCTTTTATATATTGTATACATTGGCTCTATTAAGATGTGTGTTTCGTGCACATGCTTGCTATGAAATGTTAATATAAAATTATTAAACATATTTTATTGTATTTGTTTCATGCTTTATCTTTATTGCTGAATTTCACGTCAAAACATACTTTGGTATAGATGTGAAATCTCGTCTTCAGATTTTTTGCCATCTATTTATTCATCTGTTTGGCAAGTCCTCTGAACTTTAGAAATAAAAAGTGTTATGTAGGACAAGAAAATCGGTAAAGGCATCCATGGTTTTGTTAAACACCTTTGAGCAAACGTTTTGTCTGATGTTTAGAAACAATTTCCTGTTTACCTTATTGTCAAATATTTCTTCTTGGGGCAATGATGGGTCTTAGTCGATAGTGATAGCATTTAGATTTCTTACAAGGTTTGTCTACATCAGCACAGTGTATATGTGCCTAAAGCCTAGTTTTATTGAATGGGCGTGAGTAGTTTAATCTATTGGAATAATTAATTAATCCACGATCCCACATTGCATCGATTACCAGATAACAATGTATTAAGGTATAATATCATCTCATCATTTCAGGATCCATCTCAATTGTTCAAAAATTAGAAAAATTGTACAGACGTTATTATCCGGCTCCACTCGATTGTAGGATTGCGTTCAGTTGAAATATAAAAATAAACGCTTTGAGAAAAATATCACATAAGTACAAATTTCCACGTGGAAAAAAGGAAATGGGTGAGAGGCATGAATGTTATGAAGTTACAGTCAACATCTGGGCATGGTTATAAAAATATTTAGTATCCTAATAGTTTCTTTTCATAGATATTGTTTTATAGCAAAGCAATTACGTTCTATGCTGATTGTTATGAAACGGGGACGAGATCCTGCTTTTCCGGTATTTATCCATCAAACCTAACCACCCCGCCTCCCTATGAAAATAGAGAAACAACAAAAGTTTAAGAACTGTCGGAGGTGTAGCCGGGATCTATAGTTGCAAAGTCAATAGGCAAAGCAAAGTTAGGTTGAAGGAGGCATTGCGGTTGCCTCGCCAGTCTCATCCCTGACTACGCCCACGACCTTGCTGGCTATTGGGATGAACCATAAGTTTAATTTGGGATCCATTTATATAATTTGTCTTAGTTGATCTGGAGTTTATTTTTCAATCATGAAGAAGTGACATTTTCTAATGTTATCGTATCCCTGAAACAGTGCACTCAATAACTGATAGGTCTAAACAATTCAGTATTTCACAAACATTGAAAAAGCTTATAGCTGTTATTCTGTGAGTAAATTAAGTTGTATCGGCCATAGGGGACTTTGTGTCTCATCGCAACCCTTCCTTTGGCTGTTTATGTACAAAGAATCACAAACGAGGGTTGATCCAAAAATAGTGGACAAACAACTTTACACCAAATTTTACACTCGGTGTTCCATGACGGGCATCTAATGCATGCTGCTTACAATCTTCTCATTATAAAATGATAAAATAAGACTTGCATGATCACGAGTACTGAAAATGAAATTGAGGGCTAGCAAATCAAAGGTCATTTTTAAAAAGTTAAGATCACAGACAATAAACTAGGCCTAATCACCAATTCTATCAATAATGACCCAATTGAACGTGTTTATTAATCAATCAGAGTTGCACATATGCAAAACTAAAGTTTGAACAGCATACATTAGGTTTTCGAAAATGGCCGACGAAAACTCATTATTACCACCCTGCCAGGCCAGTTCTAGGGGTTTTAGTGCTAGTTTAGAAGGCATTCATTTAACTATATCGACCTGAGCAATATGTGACGTCATAGTGGTGGTCCATATTGCCGGTCAAGAATGCAATTAATGACCGGCAATTTTCCCCGGGAAATTAGATATCGTTCAGTACGTAAGATTTTCTTGCTGTTTCAGTCCTGGTTATTAACGGTGGTAATAATACTAATTTGCGTCATTTCTTTGGGCAATATAGTGAAGTATTGGGCCTCCGGCCCTCGATCCAAAATTTCACTATATTGCCTTTCGAAATGACGTTATTGTAGAAATCTTAATTAGAAGTAGTCTTGACATAAAACATGATCTTACTTGGTGATTCTCAAATCTGATAAGTGATCAAAATGTTATAATTATTATGAAATCATCTGCAATGTTTATTGATAAAATCCACAGGGGCTTGGCTTGAGTGTTGGGCAAGCCCTCGGATGTACTGGTCTAAGAAGTTACTTATACTTTTTAGAACAGCTATCTTATCGGAGGACTTGCCTGGCCTTCAGTCAAAAAGCCCCTGTGATAAAAAAAAAAATCATGAAGAAATTTCGCCTACTTCTGAATGTTGCAGATATATTCATTATACATCAATTCTTCTCATTCCCATTACTGATCTTCCACCGTAATTTGGAGCAATTGGATATTGCTATTAGGTGCACCATCCGAGCTTAAAAATGTAATTTAACTACACTCCGAATGTCAAAAGACAAGAAGGTCAACACTGTAGGCGAAGGCATGTCATGCGGCAGAAAGTGGAGACCTCAACAAGCTATCAGGGAAGCAGAGGAGAGACTGCGACACAAAGACATAGTCGGGGTTGTATGCAAAGGTCGTTTAGGCCTGGGACACTATGGTCCCCAAGCAGTCACCCCGAAGGAGTAAAGGAGCCAAATTGTACAGGAGGTGAGGCGGTCTATTGAAGAAGAAAGACACGTCAGAGCAGTAGGGCAGGCCAAGCAAGGGAGCTGGACTAACTGGGAGGCAGCCCTTGGGAGGCCTCTCACTTGGAAAGAGCTTTGGACCCAGGACCAGGGCCGCCTAAGTTTTCTTCTTCGCGCTTTTGCAGATCTTTTGCCAACTCCAACCAATCTGAGGGTATGGGGCAAAGAAGAGTCTGACAAGTGCACTCTGTGCAAAGGTGACTGTTGCAATCTACGTCACATCCTAAGTTCCTGTCCCCAGTCCTTGAGTGAAGGAAGGTTCACATGGAGACACAACAGAGTGCTCCAGGAAATTGCTAAATATGTGGACCAGCAGAGAGGCGTTGCCAACAGTGGTTTGATCCCCCAGCAACACCAGAGCATTGGCTTCATCAGGGAAGGAAAACCCAAAGCTGCAAACTCCTCCAGCAAATCACAGCCCAGGTCTAGCATCTTAGCGAGCGCAACAGACTGGCAACTCCAAGTGGACCTTCACCAGAAACTTGTCTTTCCTCAGAATGTGGCAGTAACGACCCTACGCCCAGATATGGTTATGACTTCAAACTTGACCAAGACTATTCTCATTATCGAACTGACAGTCCCTTGGGAGGATAGACTGGAAGTCTCACACGAGTTAAAAGCAACAAAATACCAAGGCCTTGCGGAGGAAGCTGAGTCCAGAGGTTGGCACACATCTGTCTTCCCTATTGAAGTTGGCTGCAGAGGATTTCCAGCAACAACAGTTAGAACCCTTTTGTCTAAACTAGGGCTGCAACCCAAAGAGCTCAAGAAGGCCCTTAAGTCTATAAGCTTATCAGCAGAAGACAGCTCCTGATGGCTATGGATCAAGAGAAGAGAAACATGGAACCCAAAGGCGACCCATTCCACCTAAATCCCACTGGAACCCTGCTTGTATATGTGGCCAACCACCAGACCACAGGTGTTCCATATGCTTGCATATGGGCGGGGAGTATACAGCAGGAGGTGCTTACTCGGCCGAACCCGACCTCACACCAATATTCAAGCGTGTTCCAGTTTCCCCCTTTGGCATGCCATTCCCATTCCCAGTCCATTATAAGTCATGTAGCAAAGCATCGTGGATGTTTAATGAATGACATAAAACATGATCTTACTTGGTGATTCTCAAATCTGATAAGTGATCAAAATGTTATAATTATTATGAAATCATCTGCAATGTTTATTGATAAAATCCACAGGGGCTTGGCTTGAGTGTTGGGCAAGCCCTCGGATGTACTGGTCTAAGAAGTTACTTATACTTTTTAGAACAGCTATCTTATCGGAGGGCTTGCCTGGCCTTCAGTCAAAAAGCCCCTGTGATAAAAAAAAAATCATGAAGAAATTTCGCCTACTTCTGAATGTTGCAGATATATTCATTATACATCAATTCTTCTCATTCCCATTACTGATCTTCCACCGTAATTTGGAGCAATTGGATATTGCTATTAGGTGCACCATCCGAGCTTAAAAATGTAATTTAGCCTGAGGCTTATCTCATCATACATATAATGTGATTAATATGAAATAAAATAACTAAACAACCCAGTAGATCATTTACTTAACCTATTTATTGTCACATTTTTATTCCATGTGACTGAATGGTGTTTCAACTTTTCTTAGCCAGGGTAATAGCATGGGATTCACAGTCGCTATGCAGTTATGTTTTGGGATCTATTATGGCTTGCCCCAAGTCATAACTTTAAAACCAAATCAAATTTAAAAGAACTGTTTTAAATCTAAATAATAAAAAAAGAAATTGTGCTATGATTTTTACACAACTATTATAATTACTGAATATTAGCTCATCTTGATATATATACAAAATTCAACTTTGCCTAAACAATTTTGTATATTACTTTTGAATCATCCCACGTATATGTGCCACAGTACAGGGTGACGCAAAAATGCCACCTTTATTTTTGGATTTCTTTGATACACATTGCCCTGGAAGTGTCCTCTAATGCAGAGTCTACAAACTAAAGGCAAATCAAAATTGATGTGACCTGATGTTGTAGATTTTGAAATGACTCGAACTTGGTTAGATAGGTTAGGTTCATGTTTGACACTTCCCAGTCAATGCAGGTATATGCAATCTAAGACGAATTGCATTCAGTATTAACGAAGTGCTGTATACTCATAGATTCATCAATTAGAAATTTTTTCGAGCTAATGTACTTTTTTACGATTTTTAAATATCAAAAATATTCCCAGGTGTTATTCACTTGGATAATATATTAGGTGAATACCTGTGACACTTTCACAAGATGATATTCCAAAAAAATAGTATTCGTCCCGCCCAATCCCGCTCACGAAAATCGTATTCACCTCCCGGGAACACTTGGCTTCCTATTTCCTATTTCGCTCATTTGGGTCGATAGATGACATAATGATGTTCTTAAGTCAAAAACTATATTTTCCAACAAACTTAAAAATAGAGTTTTGAAACTAAGAAGAATGAAGCTATGTCAACCAAACGCAGGTTGGTTGTAATTTCATCCAGTCAACGTCATAGCTATCTGAGCAATTAGCGAATGCCCTGTAATAAATATGTATACGTATTGCTGATTTTTTGATGTTAAGTGTTTATGTTATAAAATAAAAAATTTGCTTTTCAATATGTCATAAAGTTAAGTTATATTTTATAGAAGACTAAAATATAGTCTGGTTTTGTTTCATACAAAAATCAGATATGGATTTTGAACTAATGGTTTCATGAAAAGAGTTACGAAACCATGGGATAAAAAGCTTATATCCTGATCAGGATTAAACATGGGTTTATTCCACGTTCATTCCATCTATTTTCCATTTATATGTGACCTTTTTCCATGTAAATGGAAAATAGATGGCATCATGGATATCCTATTGGTAGGACTAGGGTAGGGCTAGAATACATGTAAATGTATTGTCAGAGTCATTCAATTTCTTGATTTGAGAAGTAATTCCATTTGAATCAACTTAAAACATTATTTGAATGTAACTTTATGATCTTATTGACATTTGGATTGTGATTTCATATTAAAGTTTTGATCCTTGTAAGAGGAAATGAACTTTTAAAGGTTTTTCAGCATTGTGTCAATGGGGATTTAGCCCGACCTTTTTTAGATCAAAACCATAAAACCATTAGAATTTGAATAAAGGTAAATAACGGTGCAAATCAAAGTTGTTTTGATAGAAAATTACACACAGAATTCAAATATGCCATCAAATAGAAGAACATGTTAGTCTTTAGTGGTTAAAAATGCAGATCTCCTAAAATCTCATTAAAACGAGACCTCAACGAAATTTCAAAGTTATATGAAAAAAGACCAATGGTCGTATCTGACATTTCATATAAACATCATATTGTCTCTCGGAATAAAATCCATCTTTAGTCCCTCCGGGAAATACCCTCTACAGTATATGTGTCCTGCTTCCCCAAGATATTATTTATATACCCCGCTGTTATGTACCTGAAACTCGAAACATGGATAAACATTATATCCCATACTTGGACGTGTTTGAGGCACATAAAAGCAGGTTTGTAAAGTGTTGTATTTTCATCAGCGGGCAGGATATGTTTACTGACAATGGGCTATGATTATTTTACTCGTGCCAACCACATATCGTGTTCTTATTATTTTCTAACAGTGACATTTGACACATTTCCATTTGTTATATCAATAACTCATGATACATTAGTGTTCATTGAATTCGTTTATTACATACGATTTATTACGATGACCATACTTGATAATTGAAAAAAGTAATATAACAAATCACCGCATCAATTCTCGCACAGTAGGCATTCCGAGAAGCCTGCCTACTGTAGGTGGTGTTATATGAACCGTTTCAATTACCAGACCAAATACCATGTTACGCAATGCAATGTGCAGTGATGACTAAATAGAGTCTTGTCTGCCAAGTTTCTCAATGTCACCTCATGTGATTCTTGTAAACAACCATACAAGGAGATAATGGCATTATACACTCACACCCACAAGGTTGACACACATCATACGCTAACACTGTTTTTTTGTTTTGCAATTTTAATGAATTAATGAAAGTGTTTCTGACCAAATTAAAAAGAGGAAAACGTAAATTTAAACATAAACAGGCCTCACTGGCTAATTAATCCTATTTCAATCAGTGTTGCAAAACTTATGTTTGAGAGGGTGTATATTTTGACTTTACATCCAGGAAGGAATACTGGGAGGGAAACTAGATTACTCTATCAATTACAAAATTCGTGACGGTTTCACAAACTTTTTATAACTTGCAAGCAAGAAAGTCATCACACGTTAATATTATACTGGTATGGCTTATAACATCACTAGTGTTTTAATCCTAAAATACAATAGGCTGGGGGAATAATATTGTCCAAAGTGACTTTTGGCAAGGTGTGCACCTATAGTCAGAAAAGTTAAGATTGCAGCTGATGTATCTTTTTCGTGTTTTATCCCTTTTCAAAATGGCCGCAAAATGCTAGCTACCACGGGCACGGGCGTCGGTGGGGGGGGGGGTGCGTTGGATGCGACCTAATTTGAGTCAATCCCAGGGGATTTCGTTCATGATAAGGAGACCCAGAGGAAAGAAGAACGATGTGCTCTGGCGAAAGAGGTGGAGAACCTATAGGCTTCAAGTGCATGCTCTGTTGATGGAGACGTTTTAATGTTGAACGATGAGAAAGAAGCGAAGAGTAGTGTTAAATAGAAAAGCGATCGTGTTAGAACAGTCTAAATTAATTTGTATCGTCCATGATTGAATACTTTAAATAATAAAAGACTGATTCTTATGCAAACAGTTTATTACAGTTTAGTGAACACTCGTATACATTCAAATCAAAATAACAACATTAAATAATGAAAACAAAATGTGTCAAGAAAATATTGCACAGTATCTATTCCCTAGAGTGATATACGGATTTTTAAAGTTTCTTCCAAATGCAATCAACATTTTAGGCGTCAAGAGCTTCCTTATCCGTTTCGCAAGTGACTTCTTCTTTGGCGATCGTTGTTCTGTATTTAGTCTATTTATTTCGTGGTTTGACTCCTCTATCCCCCGTGGAGTTGTTTCTGTTATACTAGCGGTATTGTTAATGTCAACAATTTCTCTTGGAGTAGACTCTGACCATGTGTTTGAATCGTGGATGTCGATTATGGGTGCCTCGTATGCTACACACCTCAACGCAGTGATTCCGTGCTTTATTTTTGGCGTAGAGGTCAAACGTTGGCGCCGCATGGTATTATAGATATTAGAATCGATGTCAAAGAAATCAACATCTGTCGGTGATTGTCTCAAAGAACGAGTGCCCATTTTTATTTCAGGTGATTTATAGGCGCTTCTTGCCTCCGTTTCAAAAGAGCGACTCTTTTTTAGTGAGGGGCTTACTATTGCAGCACCGACGATGTCTTCTGTCGATCGTTCTGAGTATTCCTCATTCGTATTGCAAAAGACAGTCGGTTCCTTCACACGGTCATCTTTGCCAGTTTCTTCGGTTTGCACTTGCGTTGATGGTGCCGCGTGGGAACAGTCAATAACTCCTGCAATCAATAAAATAAAAATAAATATGAATTAAAAACGCCAGAATTTACTTTGAAATAAATAATTCTACATATAGTTAAAAAGATTATAAATTAAAGTAGGTGCATATTCGAAAAAGCTAGAAACAATCACCTTCGTTAAGATAGTCTTTCAAGTATGCAGCATTTCGTTGGACACATAGTATGAGTTTCAGAAGCGACGCCAAACAAGCTGACAAACGACCAAACAGACTGACAAGATCCGTATAGAGTTGACTCTTCATCAAACTATAATAAATCAAACATAAGATCAGCGTATATGTTTAATGTTACTGGTCGTTTCAATAACATTCTAAATTGTGACTGTCCACATCGATGAGCAAACAATTCATTGGGTAGAATAACAAACCCTGGGTTATAAAAACATTTGGGAACGATCAAAGAAAACAACAGAAGAGAGGGAGTAAGAAAGAAACAAAATAATCAAACTGTCTTGCGTGGAGTACACAAATTCTGCATAACGAAGGGTTTTGAGCTATGCTATAATTTAAACTTACCTCGCGATGGTATCAATTGCATCCCATGCGACAGTCTGTATGAACGACATTATATCTTCCAGCATTACAAAACAGCTCTCAACGAATAACATCCTTGCTTTTCTATTATCAAAGTTGCGATAAACACGTCTTCATAAATAGATTGCATAGACTTCTTTGTTTTGTTATGTTGCTCTGGGAAGCATGTCGTTATAGACAACCTTCATGATGTCATAACGTGTGGATATAACGTCACAGTTAAATGATTTATTCCAGCTCAAGGTTATGTCAATGTGACCTGGATATATCATGACGTCACGTTTGCGCCACCATGGCTGTACAACAATTGTTTACAGGTGGAATATTAGTGTTCAGTCGATCAAGTCTTGTTAGAACGTTGTCTTAACTTAGTATAGAATAGCGATTATGTCAAAATGCTGTTTTCAAAGCACATGGTAAATGTACATCGGATCATGACCGTTATTAAAATTCAAGATGGAGAAATGTATAAATTCAGAATTGAGAAAGAGGACATCCACCTTTTTGGAGTTGACGAATAATCTTTGAGATCGAAGCCTATTTTTTAAAATGGAGTAAGCACTACCTATAATACAGGGTGTCCAAAAAAAAACAGGACCGTAAGAAAGTTGAATAACTCGGTCAATTTTGCATATTTTGCCTTGAAATTTAAGAATTATTTAGTTCATTCAATGTGAATTTTGTTCTGAAAGTTTGATGATAATCTGTTAATTGTGTCAAAAACTACAGTCCTTTACAAAACATGCTCAAAGTGGGCACTTCTCTCTATGCACAAACGAATCCTGCGAACAAAGTTGTTAATGACCCTTACCTATACACATTAATGTGGATGGTAAATATTGGGGTAGTTATTGCCCTCTTAAGATTGTTAGGGGCCTGTCAGTATACACACTGGCTTTGAGAAATCCTCAAAGATAAAAATTTGGGGGATTTAGATCAGGCGAATGAGCTGCCCATATGGTTTGCGTTCTGCAACTGATGAGCTGACTACCAAAGCATTGCCTAAACCATTTCAGCATATCATTTGCAGTGTTGGGGTGGTATTGGCTTGTTGAAACCACTGCTTAATTATCTCCTTAGATGTCCCTTCTGGTGCTTACTGACCTCCAAAACTTGGTGAGAACTTACTGGTCCTTGTTCATGGTGATAGCAAGTCCCCAGTCACCTTCGAACCAAAAGGGACTGATGATTCCATGTTTCCTCATTGCCACCCAGGGAGTGCAATGGGTGCTGTAACACTTCATCAGGAGGATGTAAGCCCCAGTAGCAATTGTTCTTGGAACAAACTTGTTCATTCAGATAGACATGTGTGTAGGAGGATCATCAACAGCTTTGTTCGCCGGATTGAATCGTGCATAGAGATGAGATTTGCACATTTGGGGCATGTTTTGTAAGGAGCTGTAGTTTTTGACTCAATAGGTAGATTATTACCAAACTTTCACAACAAAATTCACATTGAATGAACTAAATAATTCTGAAATTTCAAGGCAAAATATGCAAAATTGACCGAGTTATTCAACTTTCTTACGGTCCTGTTTTTTTTTGGACACCCTGTATAAAAGCTTCTGATAAGTTTCCCGTGTAAGCCCTGATGATTGTAACTGCAAATACAATGCTTGTGAATTCCTTCGTCATCCAAAATCAAAAGGTATTTGGTTATATATTCTTGAAGACACTATACTACGCGCAATGGGAGTTCCATAAACGGCAATAATACAGTTAAACTTGTCTTAGTGAACACCTCTCTCTTGTGAACATCTATAGTGGCCATCCTTCCTCCGCACACACTCTACTGACTTCTGTATAAATTACCCTCTCTGTAATGAACACCTACCAACAATGAACGTTTTTTCCTCGGCAAAAAATGTTCAATATGCACAGTTTTTACCGTGCAAGAATTTCTCTATTTAGAATTCAGATCGCACGTAATCCTGATTTCTAAGATCTAATTTCTCGGCGTGTAAACTTTCCATCAACTGTATAATGGGTATGTGTAAACGTTAAATCCATTTATTTCAGATTATGTTGCTATCAGGATTCATCCCATGGCCAGAGCAATATCAGGTATATAACAGCAAGTGATAAATCACATATTTGGGAGAGGGATGATATCAGGGATGATATTGGGATCAGAAATATGATATCAGGGATGATATGGATATCAAATTATTAAAAGTTTAAGTTTTTTCAAATATTTTCAATTTTCTAAAATTCTAATTTTTACAAAATTTAATTTTTTCAAAAATGTTCATTTCAAATCCTGTTTCAAATGTAAAGACTAAAGAGGCGAAGCTTTAAGACGACTTGCTTAGCGGGAGCATTTAAATATGATCTTTAGCCAGCATGATTATGCTTGAACTTCACATTGAACATGTGATGATATAAAATATAGTCATTTAATCCAAGATGACCATTTATTACCATAACCATGTTTTATTAATGATGTAAGCTGTATGATACTAGTAACACTAAACCGTATTTAGGAGCAAGGTTTAGAACGTACTTAATGACCACTATTCCAAAAGTTACGAGCACCCTCACATGAACTGACATATAAACATTTTGATTTTTGTGACTTGGAATACGGATTCCAGAGATATAAAGATTTCCACTTAATTTCTTATATTCTTTCTCTCTGTCCATCCGAGTTACCACGGTGACCATAACAACATGGCATTATTTGTAGGCTTACGGTACGAGAGTTTGAATACGACATCCCTCCAAGAAAAAGCTATTAATTTCTTAGGCGTTTCAGAGGACGTTTTATGATTATCCTAGATTAAAGTAATGTTATCAACAACGTGGTAATTAATATGTAGCCGTTCATTAAGCTATTTACCACACTGTACGACGAGGTATTAATTAAATTAGGGGCTAGTTTGAAGTGGAGGGTAAAAAACAACTGATACGCTTCCTGAAATTCTCAAATCAAGAGGATATCGGGTGGTATAAAAGACAACTCAGTAGAGGAACGAGATCACAAGAAAACGTTGGATACACCAATCGCAGGTAAGTCCACTTGGTCGTCTATATAATGGGATCAAAAAGAAAATATATTCACCTGAATACAACCGGAATAAAAAGGCAAATTGATTTACCATAGCATGACAGTTAGGTAATTGATTGATTGAGAAATTGTGCTTGACCGTGTTGGCCATTGAAGGGCTACAACTTTAAGGGGTAGTGAACGAGGGACTATTTGATAGTGTCTCCATAAGTTTCTAAAAATCAAAATTTATGATGTTTTGATTTAAATGTTGTTTGACGTCGCTTTTTCAATTCTTATGAATTTGAACATTAAATTGCACCTCATATCGTCAAGAACCCTATTGATCGGGAATATTTTCGTAATGCTTAAAGATTGTAACAGAAACACTGAAATGCTTTTCTAATTTGTATCATTTTATAAATATCAGAAGTATAATCTGACGTTCGTAATCAGAACAATCACACCCGAAAGGAGGCGGTCAGCTCGTTATGCAATAATTGCGTGCGTCTTGCTACTGTGTCACATATCTCCTACACGTCTTTAAAACATCATGCAAGATTTTATAATTGATAAATAGAATACCAATAAGGTTCAAGGCAGCAATTCGGGCGGTAGCATGCAGTTGCTAGTGGGAGTATTCTGGGATTAGCAGTCCTACAGTATCTTCAATTCTTGACAGTGAAAACGCTCAGATATAATACTATATTATAAAATTTAGAATTACTTTTTGTATTTATATTTACTTAAACATTATTGACGCTTTACACATCACACGTATGGACCATTTTATATGGTTCGAGACATCATGATACACCATGACATCTCATTTCTTCTCAGCCCTGAGATGCCATGATATAATGAGCTTGATTTGGCGATCCAGGAGAGCCCAAAATTGAGGATTTTTGAGCTCTTTCATCCCAGCTCATATTTCATTATTTGGGGTCATTAAACTTGTGTACACATGCCTGTGCTAATATCTGCTGTTAAATACAATGCCTATTATGTAATAAATTGACATTTGGTAAATGATTACATGATAACTATCACACTTATTGACAGTTACAACTCTTCCCATCTGATGTGCTCAGATCACAGAATATGCCTCATAATATCAGAGCATGTTTCAGGTGAAACAGAAAGATGCTATGAGTATCAGAATGGGTTCGAGAGGGGGACAAAGATTGACAAGCTGGGAGTGTCAGGATATAAACTATTTCATAGCCAGGTCGGAGGTTAATTTAGTTTTCAATTTAATTTATAACATACAAGGTGTCCCAAAACCCATACTCATGTCAACATAGAATAACTCTTGAAGTCTCAAGAACTTTATTCAGTTTTAGAAAAACCTTTGTTTTAGTACCATCACCTATATTGAGTGACTCAACCTTGAATCAAAGTCAATGATACACTGTCTGTGAGACACTGGTTTTAAGTTTTTAATCATTGGTAACTTTTTTAAATTTTAATCTAAAATTTCATCACTTACAATATTTACACACAACATATCTTCAAAAGTTTGTCATATTGTACAATATATTGAAACTGTAATGGTTGATAAAACACCATGTACTTATTATGAACTCAGTCGAGATCATAATCTCTATTACGTTGAAATTCAAGGTACTCTAATCAGAATCACATGATATCAATTTCCTCGAAAAATGAAAACCCAGGCTCGAGGACACCCACTCAAACGTGACATAGGTTCTTTATGGGCCCTTCCGTGTATAAAGCATAATTCTCCGTTATTAAGTTCAATTGTTTACATGTAGGTGGAATTTAATGTCATGCACATACATTGTTTAATTAAAAGTCGTTCAACTTAGACCTATCTTTATGTCACTGATCAATGTCACGATCTCTTTGTGTTGGAGCATCGTTTCTCAAGGGACACTCCACGCATATAAAACGCCAAAATGGATTCTGTCCGTCGCCAGATATGGTTGATTGGTAAATTACGAAATTAAATGGAGAGGTTTAGACATCTAAGTAATATTTTCTTCGATTAATCACATCAGCAACCCCATCATTGTACATTGTAGAAACGTAGGTAAACGCACGGAAGAATTACACGATCAATCTAAAATCTGATTAGATTGCAATCTTGTTATCCCTTGTTATTCAACTACCCATTTAAACGAAGCACGTTTATGCAATCGCAGTTTATCCAGATGGCAATCATATCTAAAAAAACAAAAAGTATGAGGATGGGATGGCGTTACATGGGTGTGCTTTAACTGCAGAATCAAACTACAAAAAAAAATATTTTTCAATTTTTAAAAAACTCAAACTGATGAAATGAAAGCCAAAATAATCATACCTCATTTAGCTTAAATTCACTAGTCTAATTTATCCTGTAAGAGTTCAAAATGGAGAATGTTGGATAACGTCTGGGAATGTTGGATAACGTGCGACACGTAACGTTATAGTCATTCATAATCTACGGGTAGATATCAACTTGAAGTAACAATTAGCCTAAATAGCTGATAAGTAATTCCTGTAACCATGATCTAGTATAGCGATAGTTTATTATATGCAATTATTTTTGTTTCTCCATCAAGGTATGTCTTACTATAGTACATTAGCTATTATAGTACATCAGTAAGGATACCCCCCGGGGGATACCCTCTGCATTCATTCGACTTCACTTCTTAAAAGAGAGCTTCGTTTTCAGTTTATAACTAGACTGTGCGCGCTGGATACAGTAGGGATGGGTCTCGAAATTGATCAAGATGAGATCCAATTGCAAACTGAGCTTTTGCGAAAGTCCCTTCCCTGAAAAAATATCGGTTTGTTTTAATAAATGTGAAATATTTGAATTGACGAATCAAAATGAAATAAACGGTAGAATAATCTGGGCGAAATGGTTGATCCAATATCTAGAAACGACCACGCTCGTTTTTCTTCCGCCCATTTTATCTGTTAATCACTAAGATCATTTTTAAACGGGTAGGAAAAATACGATTGAAATGATTGGTTGAAACAATCGAATCGATTGAATGGATCGTTGACGGTTGTAGTCCCATTGGACAATGCGACCTTGATCGAATGTAAATTAATAAAAAACAACATTTAATTCAATAAATGTAAATAAGAAGAAAGGAAGAAATCTTAAGCCTTAAGAAAAAGTAAGTTGCATATTTCATAACCGTTTTACAGGCGTTGCCTAAGGACGTTTATCACCTGTAGGGGAACGAGAGTTGTCTCAGTTGATTTAGATGTTCCGGATAAATAGCGTTAGATCATGAATTCGAATCGGCTTTGTTGTTTGAGACTATCCATTCTTCCAATATCACCCCTACTTGTTTTACACCATGAAAGTTCAATTATGAGAAAATCATCAAACTTATATAATTTTGAAAATCTCCGATGGGAACTTTATTGTTCTCACTGGCGTTAGTGATGATGATTTTCAATTGTGAAACTTGTGAAATAAAATATGTTTTGCTACACTACGCAATACACAAAAGACAATATTGAATCAGAATAAAAAGAGAATAAAAAATTGAAATCAAAGTTTCAACTTAAAGGTTTTCGGAAAGAATTATTCATAAAAGGTATGATATACTCTTTCGATAAAATGATCGTATCTTAATTTTAAAGTTTTCGCTGGTTTACTTTGGTCGTAAAGAGCAGATATGGTTTTGGATATTCAGTGGATCCTGTCGTGGATTTGAGAAAGTTCTACACTTACGGCTGTTCATGAATGCTGTAAAATATCTCAGTGGAAATTACATGGTATAGCATTACTGAATTCAAACAAATTATATTATTTATAGAAATGATAAATAAAATGGGATCAAAGATAGTACCACGTGGAACGCCAGTGTAATATTTAAATTCGGCTTCAGCTTTGCTTGCGAGTATTAAGATTACTTTGTAACCCTTCTAATTAGCTAATATTTGGCGTTTTTCTGCCTCTATTAAATTTCTTGCTAATTTTTACCCAGGTTCCTTTTATTTTCTTTGAACATTGTTGGCATTTATTTTTATTTTGCAATTTTCTGAACAAATTTTCTTTAAACACGTTAGTGATTTTCATTTCTTCCTTTTCTTTCTTTGGCGCTTGATACACATATATTTGATACTAAGGATAATAATGTTTAATAGATGTCATAATACTATCAGTGGGCAAGGTTTGTTATCAATGGTTTTGATGGCAAAAAAGGAAACATTTGACAAATGGTTGAGCTGAAATGAATGAAGTAAAAATGGCATGACCTCTTTTAACCTCATTGATCTTTTTGACAAGTACTTTTCAATTTTGACCCTTCTTTAACGTTATTCCGTTAGTATTCTATACAGATTTTATATGGCACAAGCACTGATATTACAAGTGTTACATAATTATGTTACATAGTTATGTAACTCTTATACTCCTCTGGGATGTTCTGGCTACATCCCATGTATGTATTTGAATTATATTCAAAATTAAAAAAGTCATCTAAATTGTTCCCTTTTATAAAAGTACTATTGAATCAAATTTACACGAATCGATATTTCATGATGGTAATTAGTTCTTTATTCCCAAAATTTGAGACCTCTTATTTAAACATATATGAAATTGAAAAGTGAAAGTCCAATCATTCATCAACTAGATGCGAGTATGTAATTTGATTTACGTCATTAAGTATTCAGAATTCAGTCATGTCATATTTGAAATAAAGTAAAAGTAAATCTAGAAATAATATGGTTTCGAAAATTGTTTATCAACTTTGAAACGCTTACACCATGATTAAATGGTCTTGGTAAATTGATAACTTCTTATTAGCTACAAATTATATAATCTTTCTAGTGGCATTATAATTCACTGTCATTGTCTAACCTTCATACCCGGAACCAAATTCCAAGAAACCCAAGTTTCCACAGCCTTTGTTGGAAAACGATTCGAATATTGCGAAATGAATCAAGAGAGTGTGAAGATAGACCTCTAATTTATATGCAACAACGAGAAAATCAGTCATTTTCCACACGTTTAGATAGACAACGGCTAAATTAACAAGACCAATGCAAAGTTTCATGCATCGGATATAATATCACAGGCTGGTCGCCGAGTTCTCTACGTAGGGTGCGAACATGTGACAGCTATTAATTTTTAATGACGTCATTTGCTGAATAAAATACGAAGTTCCAGAACCAAAAGACAATTCGGTTTACGACAGGCAGAGCTAGCGGTTGACAAAGCATCAAGAGTCGATTTCGCGCGTTATTTTATTAAAGTTACGCAGCAATACCTTTAGATTACCAGCGATTATCGACGGTTAGATTGTTCATATTCCGCTATCTCGACTCAACAGCGCATCTATTTAGGATTAGCGCAATATAAAAGTTACATTAAAATCTCAGATACTCTACTTTATTATGTCGCCTTTGATGAGTACACGACACGAATCAAAGAACTTATTTTAAATTAAGAAATTAAGGATCCCACGGTAAGTTTTCGAAGGTAATTACATTTATTTTACTAGAAAATAGTTGATTTGTATTTTTGTTTGTTTCGGAGAGCTGGGCCTATATATAATAATAAATACCGTGTTTTAATTCATAAGTACTGTGCAGAGGATAGGATAAACATCATGGGTTAATATTGGATATGTTTTATAGCTTGCTTTTATAACTTAATCATTTCCATATATAAATGATTGCATTTATTAGCAGTGGGCATGTTTTCATATCGTTTGTCCAGCAATGATAAACGAGCGATGATATGCACTCTCTTTTAAATCTCAATAGAATACAAGAGTCGCCTTGACGATTTTGAGGTATTTTTTACTGAGAAATCGTTTGGAAAGACAATGATTACCATGGAGAAGAGTTTGACGGACAAGTTTTATTTCCCAGTCTCCTATCCACTGACTCATATCACCCCGTCTCGTTAATTTGCTTATTGTTAAGTCGGCACACCGTCCCGTGAATTATTCAAATCTTGTTAATCATACATATGGTGTGACTAGTGAGGTCTCGAGCGTCACCTAGGCAGCAATTTACCTAGGCAGCAATTTGTTCATGAAAAGCAACTTGCTGTTGAGCACATATTGATTGAAAATGACATTATTAGGCTTGCAAACAACTAACACATGCCGAATATCAAAGAAGTAAATAAATATAAAACAAATTAACAAACAAATTAGTAAAGTGATCATATTGACATGTTAAACTGAGGTCCTGGTCGTATTCTCGAGACATAAGGGTCACTATACACGAGTATTACATGAACGTGAATCTTTTTACCAATTTAGATGACTCAAAATACGTTTTTATGAAGAGAAAGCACAGCTTAAAATTTGGACTATAGCTCCACAGTGAGTTCTCCACTAGATTATTCCTATGTTACGATTTGAACTGCTACTTCGAGAAAACAGTTTTTCGCACACTATAAATTAGAATTCATTCGCACGATAGACTATAAAGGATGTGATAAAAGATGCAAATGAATAATTTGGTTTCCGTAAACAACAAAACTCGGACGGTGGAGTATACATGTGACAGTCGCTACATGTAAATACAGGTCATCATAACGGAAATAATATTAGAAGAAGTAATGCTTCCAGTCAATATCAATATTTACTTTATTAGAAGATATGTTTTTCTTCGATTCTTGATCCGGATGGATCTCCACTTTGATCTTTTCAGCATACAACCTATCTCCCTCTTTTAAAGTTGAACCAAGTTCCAGTCTTATCAACTTGAACTCAGATGTTATTCAATCGTACACGCTTTTGTTCTTTCTTATTGTAATGCTCTATATTTTGTTGATGTTTTGCTGATGGATTACGTTAGCGTAGGTGTCATACGTTGTGATTTGATTTAGACATTAACCGATAGAGAGAAACGTCATATTATGGCATAAAATACCCAGTGCCGCATTTCTTTATTTTCCAGTGGAGACCATTTGACGTGAAGTCACAGATCAGGGGACCTATTTCCATCTCAGATAATTAGTGCGAGAACGAACACAATTCACAAAAGGGGCGTGGTGTAACGACACAGAAATTGACTCAAATTCAAAGAATAAAATTTACGTTACGATGCATTGGAAATGGGTCGCACTTGCCAATATCATTTCCCTGATGATACTTTTTACAGGACTTACACAGGGAGCTTCGTTATCAGACTATCTTAGACTTAAAAATAAATTAGATCTTCTTAGGGACTCTCAATCGCGATTAGCAAGTGTAGACTACCAAACACGCCAAGAAAACAAACGCTTCTACAATGGACAAGATAGTAATCCTTTAAATGGTAAGTATTTCAATGCCTCGAAAATAAAATAATAAATCGAAAGTAAAAAAAAATACGTTCATTAAATCAAAGTAGTGACCAAAATTCCAAAAAAGCTTTTAGGGGATTTTTATTCCCCACTTAAAGTAATTTTTCAAAGCACAATCCATATGTGGTGACATTTTGACAACTTTGACTAAGCACATTTGTAAGATTATTCTATTAGTAAATTAAAAGAGTAATTCCTGGTATCATGAAAACTTTCACGTCGTGAGTATAACAGAAAGACAAGGATTAAACAATAATGAATTGCACCACGCAATCCGTTAAAACACACACGTCTGATTCAGAAATATCCGCATAATAACGAACTGCGATGTAGATGTAATAACAGGGGTCAACGTAACAACAGGAGGGAGGCCGGGGGGTCATTGCACCAGTGGCGTATTGCACGTTTTAACCGAACGTTGATTGTTGTATGCTTAGATTGCATGACTTATTTCATCATTTGACGAGACGTATGCAGATCAGGAGATAGTTTACATTTCTTTTATTCCCCATGAGGTTCTTAGCTGACAATCCATAAATTCTATGATGATAATCTACGTTCATATTTCCCCGATCGTAGTTTTGATGCTACGCATTATATTTCGAAATTTGCCATTGTTAAGATTCTATAAAATACATTTACCTGGCTATATAAAAACGTGTTTGCTAAAAAAAACGTACACCCACTGGAATTTTTGCAAGATTGTTTTCAATATCATATAAATTGTTTCTATCCATATAGTTACTTGATAGGCAGTTTTATAGTCCATCATTTATTCATTTTAGCGCGTTGAATAAACAATACGCGTTAATCCGATGACAATAAACCACATGATGAAATTCAGGTAAAATCAATACCTGTCATATTAGGTCAGAGGTCCTCTCAGCTCAGAACTCAATGTGCTCCGGTACACCATTTTGCGCTACTACTAACGACTATCATATCAGTGGAGATGAATTGATGCGAAATGATATCTAGTGGTCATTCTTTTCACATCAGTGAAATTAATTCGAGTGTAACTGAAAGAATAATCGGAAAATTGTCAATGCGCATGATATGCCACTCAAAAATGTATAAATACAAGAACGGACACATTTGTCTTACTTCTCTCTTTCTTTGAAATATTGAAAACTTGATCGTCTTCTGTTCTGCTTGATCCCCTGAGTGCTTGTCTTATGCCAGAATAGTTATCCCGATAATCCATATTTCCTTCACAGCATTTGAAATGTGAAGAGCAGCACGTCATTTTTCAGAATTTCTTCGTTTTTATTCCAAAATTAAACGTGTTACAAGTATAAGCTCCTTGGTTTATAAAAACATAATATGTAAAGACTAAGTAATAACTCAATATAGTCCAGTCCAGTGACAATGATTATCATGTGAAAATATAACCTCAAATATGTCTGACTTAGTTAGGGAAATTCGATTTACATTAATTTAGTATGATTATAATTTGATTATCCCCTTTTTCGAGGAAATATACTCTTTAACAATATAATGTCGCAATAATATCGTCAAAAATACAGATAAAGACGATGAGAAACATTGAAACTAATGTTACCTTGCTATCAGCAAATACTTTGACCGATTTGAAATGAAGAACGCGAACTAGTACCCAGCTGTGTCAGAACAATGCTCTAAATTGCACAAAAGCGTAAAAACAAAAATTTGGCTTCCAGATCACTACCATTTTTAAAAGGATATTTCTGAGAAAGAGAGAGCATACAACTGTCATTTATTATTGTGTTAATCATAAGAGCGACACATTTCAATTTTCCTAATCGCAAAGTTTATCTGAAACCAATCGTGATAATCTCAACAGCATTTTGATCCAATTCATTAAACGAGTGTTATGATAAATTATAGTGAAACGCTATTTCACAAGATATTACGATACGTTCTACTAAATTTGTTATCTTAGTGTAATTAACGGCCACTTCAAGCGAGGACGAAATTATTTTATCCAATCATGTAATTAATATTGTCTTGTCGGTTGTGGTACACGATTCCTCAGTTGAAACTAAATGGACGAGGATAATATACATATAAGGGCGTATACTTTTTCGCGGTATTGCCAAAGAGGATTGGCTCCCATGATCGAAACTCGAAATTTTCCAACAATGAAAACGTCGATATGTCGTTATTTTCTGAAATTATAACCGACTATAAATTCAAAATAAACAGTTCGAAAGATTCGAACCGATATCTCTATCATTTCTTGTGATTTTTGGAATTTTTCTCTAGAAATAAGACCAAATTCATTACTTCAATGGTCTCTACTCTCTAGTATATACATGTGCAATAAACTATTTTAATGTTATCTGTTCTGAACAATGTATTACGTCAAGAGTGGCTCATATATACAATCAAATATTTCAATGGTCTCTGATCTGAACAATGTATTACGTCAAGAGTGGCTCATATATACAATCAATTATTTCAATGTTTTCTGATCTGAACAATGTATTACGTCAAGAGTGGCTCATATATACAATCAATTATTTCAATGTTTTCTGATATGAACAATGTATTACGTCAAGAGTGGCGCATATATACAATCAATTATTTCAATGTTTTCTGATATGAACAATATATTACGTCAAGAGTGGCTGATATGTACAATCAAATATTTCAATGTTTTCTGATATGAACAATGTATTACGTCAAGAGTGGCGCATATATACAATCAATTATTTCTATGTTCTCTGATCTGAACAATGTATTACGTCAAGAGTGTCTCATATATACAATCAATTATTTCAATGTTCTCTGATCTGAACAATGTATTACGTCAAGAGTGGCGCATATATACAATCAATTATTTCAATGTTTTCTGATATGAACAATATATTACGTCAAGAGTGGCTGATATGTACAATCAAATATTTCAATGTTCTCTGATCTGAACAATGTATTACGTCAAGAGTGGCTCATATATACAATCAAATATGTCAATGTTTTCTGATCTGAACAATGTATTACGTCAAGAGTGGCTCATATATGCAATCAAATATGTCAATGTTTTCTGATCTGAACAATGTATTACGTCAAGAGTGGCTCATATATGCAATCAAATATGTCAATGTTTTCTGATCTGAACAATGTATTACGTCAAGAGTGGCTGATATATAAATAAATTATTTCTATGTTCTCTGATCTGAACAATGTATTACGTCAAGAGTGTCTCATATATGCAATCAAATATTTCAATGTTCTCTGATCTGAACAATGTATTACGTCAAGAGTGGCCGATATATGCAATCAACTATTTCAATGTTCTCTGACCAATACAATGTATTATGTCCATGGTCTCTGATATACACACTCACAATGCAATTAATTGCTTCAATGCATCCAATGGTTTCTGATATGTATGCTATCAATCGTTTTAATGGGCGATGATCTATGCAATGAATTACTACTTGGCCTTTTATCTATAATATATTTATGCAAATAATTGATTGATGCAATTCATTACTTCAATGGTCTCTGATTCATGTAAAAAATAATTCTGTGCGCTTCAAAATTAATTCAATAGTGCCTGGTCTATTTATGCAAACAATTCTTAATCTATGGAATTAATTACTTCAATGGTCTCTGATCCATGTACATGTATGTAATAATTCTTAATTTCTTGATCTACGCATTTAAAAAATGACTTCTATGATCTCTGATCTATTTATGCAAATAATAATCTTAATCTATGCATTAAATACGTCAATGGTCTCTGATCCATGTATGTAAATGAATCTTAATTTCTTGATCTATGCATTTTAAAATTACTTCAATGATCGCTATGCAAATAATATTCTTAATCTAAGCATTAAATACTTCAATAGTCTTTGAACTGCGCTATTAATTGCTTTCTCAACGGTCGACCTATGCAAATAATCATTTCAACGGTTTTAGGAATTGTAGTTGTTCAATGGGTGTTTATGATTATTCAAATGGTAGCAATTGTTTCCGAGCGTCAGGATTACATTGCGACTACAAATTGAAGAGCCTCGACTGAATAATGTTAGCTTTTGTAGCATTCAATGTTTAGCAAGTGCACTTACTAATCAATATATTCTACTCAATCAGCTTATTTAGACAAATCGAAGCCCCATCAATAATATATTCATTTGATAAAAGGTATTGTGACAGAATAACATCATTATTTTGTATAGCCATCAAGTAGCAATCTCAGAGAAGTGGAATATGGCTAATAGCACTACATCATGAGCGGACAGTGCATCTTGCCCCGGGAGCTTGCCAACCACGTTCTCCGGGGGGGGGGGGGGGTTCAGAGGGAATCCGCTTCACTTAACAATTGATTTTGGTCGTTTTTGAGTTGAAGTTGTCAAAGATGAACCCCCTGAAATTTTTAAAAAGTTAACCCCCTTATCAAGTCCTGGCCAAAATGAAGTATTTAAGTAAGAATTGAATCTGAGTTGATTTCAGGTCATGTAATTTAATTCTGAGGTAATGGGTAAAGTGACATCACTACTTGGCTGCCACCCCCCCCCCCCCTTGACCCACGATTGTGACCTCGTTAGTTGCATTGTCTACGTCAAACTATAGCTGTAGCTCCAGTGATTGTCCATCCTCCGAACGCAGGGTTCCAGACGTCATCCACTGAAAGATCCTTCCTTCTCCTGTAAGAAGGTGCGAGTTCTGAAGGCCTGTGTTCGGAGGATGATGGTTGTCTGGAACCAACAATGAGGGGTAGCTTGCCATGGGGAAAGTAGGCTTAAAGTTAAAGTTTCAATTTTAATCTAGAACTCAAAATTGTGGAGAATTATGGTTTGTCTAATAACAAGCCATGGCAAATATGTTTGAAACATACCTTGTCAAGAAGTTAATAACTGAGTTTCAATTCTTAGGTAACTAATACGAGGAGTCACGAAATATGTTTAGAGGAAGAGCTTACATTAAGGTCTCATGTTGGTTAACAGGAAGTGACAGAACATGCTTGATTTTTGAAATTTTATGAACTGAGATGACAGAGTTCTAATTTGATTTGATCAGTTTTAGTAGTTCCACATATCATTTGTAATGACCAGGATCACAATGGGCATCGTCAGACTGACACTTAACATGATGAAATAGCTTTTGTTGATATGAGCTATGAATATTTGAATTAATTCCTAGAAACAGAAAAAATGAAAAAAATGATTTGATAAGTGATCTATGTTCCTTTTTGTGACCACCATTTTTGTTTCAGACAATTTTCAAATTTTCAAAGTTCGACTATCATTGAAAGCAGTACAAGTATATTGGGCACAATTTCTGAAAAAATCAAACTATTCTATTCAGTAGTCTTTCCGAAAGTAAAACTGTTAATTATTTTTCAGTCACAGTTTCAGAGGACTATGTTTAGTGTCATTCTGACCACTGACCTGAGGTCAAACAGAACTCTTTATCTTAGTTGATAACGTTAAAAAATCCACCATGTTTATGTCACTTCCTGTTTTGGAATTTCATGATTAAGAATAGAGAGAACTTTGAATTCATGATCTTGTTATCAGTCATCATGTTCTAGAGTAAAGGGGGAACCGTTCTTTTTAATAATGTGACAAATGCGTTTCATAGCCCCGAGTCCATAGCTGCTTTGTCATGTCATAAGCCCGATCATAAGTTGGCGCAATCCAATTATCAAAAACGTAAAATAGATACTTTGCTCATTCTGCAGTATCACCAAACTATCCAGCATATTTAAAGCATAACCATTTATCAATAAAGTGCCTTATTTTCTGATATAGGTTTCAAAATGAGCATATTCGTTCGGTAACAAATTAAAAGAATTGAGATACTATTGCGTACCTATACTAATAGGTCGGTTCGGTCGGTTAATGTGTCTTTTTATGGGTTTTCAAGTTTGATTAGTCTTCCAAACTGTAAACAGAAACAGTAAGCAGAGGGAATTAAATAAATCAATCATGTTACACCTTTGTTGATCTATGGCGAAGTTAAGTCAAGTATAGATAAGTACATTATTTTCATAGAAAAAATGCAGTAGAGCTATTGAGTACTCATCCTTATAATATTATTAGCTAATGTGGGTTGATTAAGACGTGATAAACTATTCGACTTTTAAGACATTATATACACAAATACTACTAGAGTATCAATAGTCGCACCATCACTTTGGATCAGAGTGACATCATACACCATCAGTTCATTGTGATCGTACTACATGCGATGACTAGTAGTACGTGTTATTAAATACGAATAGTACGCAGTAAAAGTCATCATAGCCCCAGGATCATAGCATTATTCTTAATGCAAATTTACGTCGGTAATCCCGGATAGGTATAGGTTTATCCTACGGATATACAAGTACTTCAGAATACCTGTAGTGTTCCAGATCTCATTTAATTTACTACCCGGCCGTGAATTTAATTACACATTGCATTTGGCAGACATCTTTATATGCTGTTTTTGAACGTGTTAGAGTTCATTCCGAGGGATAAAGATGTTCACAGACAATTATTCCGCTATTCCTAAGCGAATATATGTACCTGTACGATTATGCGCGATTAATTCGATTTGAATCTTTATACAGTACTTCAAATTTCATTATTCCTGATTCAATTTATCCAATTCCTCGAAGAATTGTTGGCGCAAAGCAAAGCATGATTTTTCTTCGCCCCCGATTGGTTGCATTTTTATGCAGACATAAAATGAAAGGTGTGTGTAAATGAATACGATTTTGAAAAATTCCCTTAATGCTTCTTATCAACAAATTAATGTTAGTTCCCTTGTCTCGTTGTGACACAACTAGCATCCTTCTATTTGAGTCATTGTCCTACAGTGCGTACAAAGCAATCATCCTTCAAAACAGGTCCATGATTGCAATAAACCTGTCGTCAACTGTTTCATTGTCCATTACGCATATCGTTATTATTCATTCTGGCCATGGTTTTGAATGACAAAGCAATCCATTGACGGAACAGATTTCGTTGTTACATTCACGGGGGATAGAGGGGATGTAGTCATGGACACAAACTTACTAAGTGCATTAATATGGTTCAGAGGTTTTACCTACAGGTGAAATGATGTACATATGTACACCGATGCATGGCATATCTTGAACGGGTATAATATAAGCAATGAAATCATCTCGGTCATCATCATCATCAAATATCGCTTTACCTATCATTTCATGTCATTTGGGAAAATAAATATGTAAATGAGAAATGATTAAAGTAACATAATTGTAATACAGGAAGAATTGCCGACTTGATATTGTCCAGAAGCAAAGTGTTGATGAATGGGTATTTGATCAAAAGATGGGCATGAAAATTTGAAAAACTCTCAAAATACCGCTTGAATATAAATATGGAAAATCGGTTTGTCAAAACATAAACCTACAAAAGCTACTCAGTTTTAATTAAAATCACTATTGACGATTGTCGCAAGAAGCACGATTCTATGACATCACTCTGACTCTGGCCCATATCCAGGCCATATCTGATATTTTAAATATGAAATAAATATTACAATAAGACCTCGTGTATTCAATTGTATGTGTTTAACTTTTCAGGGGATGATGCCACATTTGAAAGAATACGACGGCGTTGTCCACCAGGAGTCTCTCTAATCGATTGTAACAGCGTGATAGTTGGCCCTTGGATCCACCACAGAGCACCCTGGGTGAGACACGTGACCCTGCCAGGCAAACGCAATCAGACTCCGGACCGCCTTGATCTAGAGTAGAAATACTCGGATAGAAAGATGACGCTATCTACTTCCGTCGGTTGATCCATGATAAAGATGGCGCTTGAGATACAAAACGATTCTAATAATGTTCATTTGGACTGTTGGTTATTCATAAAATAAGTTTGGACTCAGGTCTTGGCTGGTAAAACAAGTCTTTAAGTTTATGGCTTAAAAATGCCAATTTTTCCATTGTAATTCAAAAATGCAAGCTTAATAAATTATTCTTGGCTTTCTAGAAACCTCATAAAAAATAAACTGCCATATAATGTTTTTTCCGAGACCTGATATGGTCGAGAAAAAATAAATTATAGAATCAATAACTGAACAATACTACTGATCATGATTACCAAAATATCTCTCATATTTAGGTCCCATGAAGTTCTAGATTCGAAAAATGAATTAAATAGTACTTTAGATTTTTATATTATGGAAAAAGTTAAAGTTCCGAAAATAACCCAGTGATATTTTCTACAAAAAGTGATATTTCAACGACCAGTTTCTGTTGAAATTATGTATGCTTAAAAGATTTATAATCTTCGATCTTTTTATGAATAATTTATATAACTGACACGGAAAATAAATGATTTTTATAATTCATGTTTGAAAACAATTGTTGTCAAAATATTATGAATAATTTGGGGGATGGTATACAGTGCGTCCCGAAAAACGCAACAAACAAAGACATTGTAAAATCACAAAATCAGTGATGATTACATCAATTTGATTTAGTTTACCAGGAAGCCAAATGTCTCCTCTTTCCAATGGTATGTCAATCAAAACCATAATACAAATATGTCTAACATGTCTTAATGCTGCAATTAAAAAGGATTTTTTCGAAATAAATCACATTGAATTCCTTATTGAAAGTCCGCCCGCCCTGGCTCATTAGCAGAACCAGGATTACCACTATCGCTTGGTCCTGGGTTCAATTCCCGGTTCAGACGAATGTGTTTGTGCGTGATGTAATTCAGGGTGTTTGACTCAGTGGTTCACATCTCATACAATAAGCTGTGTATCGTGCAAATAATAGAACACAGAGGTCCTCGATTTAAGGAGGGGTGTTCTACTGTCCATGAGTGTAAAAAATACGTAATATACCGTATGAGGTATTGCTCGCCAAAATATGGCGGTAACCAAATTACAAAAAAACTCCAACAACAGTACAGGACCTTTTATTGTTTTATTGAATAAGCTTTCAAAATGACGCTCATGGGCAGAAAAAATTATAGTGTTTCCATTCAGACTGATTCTCATAAATATATTTAGCATCTTTTTCCTATTTTGTAACGCCGTTTTTATTGCCGTTATATATTGTTCAGAACATTTTGGTACAAAAGTCAGTTTGTATTAGGGCGAGATAGATGATGTTAACGTAAATAAATGCACACACGCTGAACCACGAGGCAACACCCACCTAGGGTCTTGTATTTCCCACGACAAAAGCGTTCTTTACAAATTTTGTTCAAATTATTTTGGCCGTACAGAAGTCATTTTAACTCCAAACAATAAAAATATAGACGCAAATTGTTATTCTTAAGAGTGGATCCGGGATATTTGAACTTCTTGGAATAATAATTGATGAAAAACTAATTGGAAGGAACACATTTTCGATACCCCGTAAGATATTTAATATAGTATCCAATTCAAGGAGTTCTTGCAACGATTTATAATTTTCCCATCTTACTTGGGTCATGCAAATAAAATTAATTGATTACTATAGATAACAATTACTATAAACTGTTTTTGAAAACGTTTTCCAAAAATCAAACACATCAGAACTGACAGGTCTTGGACTTCCAAATGTATAGTCTAATTCTTGTTAGAAAAGCATAAGGTGGTACGATTAGGTTGCGAATAGTATACTCTTCAACTGTGTTAATCCATGTCACGTTTTGACAGATTTTTACGTTAGCGCTTCATCCAAGAAGGATTACACCCCCAATCCGATCCACGCGGAATCAACGTGGTGTGGGTTCCACGTGGATCTGGATTGGCTGTGAAGCTATGTGTTTTTAAAATAACTTGTACGTGAACAATTAGAATTGTTGTCCTCTAGGATTTTTTTCTCATTCTGTAGTATCGATCGATTTGTCCGATTGAGTGTAGAGGTTCAAAGACAATACTTGAATTTCAAAATCCTCGTCCTCGAGGGTCTTAATATCTGAATATAACGCGTTCTTGAATAAATTCTCTTAACATGTGTGGATTGACGTACATAATTACAATACATGTATATAAATAAAAGACATGCATTTGCAGCATGTTATCACAATTTATTCATTTTTAATAATTTAATATAACATACATTCAAACCAAGGTACAGCATCAATAAATAATCATTTAAACAACAAGAGGTATATCAAAATTATCTCAAGAAAACAGTGAATATCTATTTGTTAGGTGATATACGGGTTCGTCTAAAAGCAATGAACTTTTTGGGCGTCAATGACTTTGTTATCCGTTTCTCAAGCGACCTCTTTTTGAACTGTTTCTGAGTATTACTATTAAGTCCTTCGTCTACGTGCTTGGATTGGGCTGTTGTAATGAGAGGCGTTTCTTTTATGCATGGGGGCTCATGTGCTCCAGGCCTCACTTCACCGATCCCGAGCTTTATTTTTGGTCTCGTGGACAAACGTTGGCACATCATGGCATTGTAAATCTTAGAATCAATATCAAAGAAGTCAACATCTGCTGATGACTGTCTCAAAGGACGGGTGCCCATTCTTAGCTTGGGTGATTTACAGAGACCTCTTGGTTTGATACGATCGGATGTGTCTGTTTCAAATTGGGCGAGTAGTTATGAGATGGCTAGTATATAGTGCTACTTGTCGCAACACTGACGTCGTTACCAGTCGATCTATGCGAGTATTCCTCCTCCGTCCGTATAATGTCAGGGTATGTTGGTTCCTTCACATGATCACATTTTATCTGTTCATCTTGCACTTGTGGTGATGGAGCTGCATGAAGACGACCAACAACGCCTGGAGTAAATCAATTAAAACCAAGTATATATTGATTTGTTAACCAAAGTATGACATAGTCACTATTTCGCAAAACCTTTAGAACATGCAATTACCTCTAGAAATTTGTAAGCAGGTGAACGGCACATTTTGTCAGCAATCTTACATATGCATAAAAAATTAAAATCAACTGAAAGACTAGGCGTTACTTTTAATTTCTTGAAAACAGCTTATTCGAAATACCTGGAAAAAAAGTATAGAAATACCTTTTAGATACTCTTCAAAGTGTGCAGCATCTGTTAGGACACCCAGAGTAAGAGTCAAAAGTGATTCCAAATATGCTGATATCCGACGAACGAAACTTGCAACACCCGATTTCAAGAGATGACTTTTATAAATAAGAACATTGTTTAAATACTTAGATAGATTTTCTATATTTTTCTTAAATTCAGGTAGCATTCGTGGATGCAACTGCTGATTGATTGCTGTTTTATGGCCTACTCATCTAAAAATAAATTGTACTTATTTATCATATTTAAATGAGACATGAAATAGTGGTCAAACCGTCAGCCAACAGCCGCCAGTTGAATTCGTGCATGCCAGCTTCATTTCGCATGTTAACGTTCCCAATCGCCAGTATTGACTTTGCAAGACTGCATTCGGTGGATTCCTTATTTCATTTTTTTTAGGGGGGGGTGGTCTTTATAGAATTGTTTTGAGCTATAATACTTTAAACTTACCTCACGACGAGGATATCAGTTGCATTTGATGATAGAGTCTGGACAAGCGACATTAAGTCTTCAAGCATTTCTAAATACTACTTTCAACGTACAACATCTTTGCTTTTCGTGATCAAAGATGCAATAAACACGTATTCATAAAGTAGATTTTTCAGATTTCTTTGTTTGTTTGGTTGCTCTGAGACGTATGTCGTTACGGGTAACGTCCATGATGTCATTAAATGTTTATGTGACGTCACAGAGAAATAATTGATTCAAGTTCAAAGTTATGCTATTGCGATTAAACTAAATTATGACGTAACGGATATGTTGTCATGCCACAAATTTGTTTTCAAATGGAATTTCAAAATTCAGTCCCAAACGTCCTATCATACCGAAGACCACTGAATTGTTTAAGGCCCCGTGCAAAGTTTAAAATGCTTTTGGATTGACCTTTGAAAGTTTATAGATCTTGGATAGAAAAATCGTCAATGAGTAAAATGCAAAAATTATGATATTTGACTTCATGGCATATTTGAAATCAGTGAACTGTTTTCTACTAGAATAACTTTGATTTATACATTTATGTTATTTAAATCATTTTCCGTGACTTTTTAAAAAACTTAGGCCAAATCTCCATTGATGCAATGTTTAAATTCTCTAAAAACATTGGTTTATTAGTTTAACAACCCAAATTTTGATGATAAATCACAATAAGTATGTTAAAAGGATCATCACATGATATATCAATCAAGTTTTAAACAGATTCAACCAACACTTTTTGATATATCATAAAATAAAGTCACTTTTCGAAGATCTTAATATGGAAGTCAATGGAAGTTTAACCCAAGAAAATAAAAATGAATAAAAGATGATAGCACTGGATTTCATTCATTTTTTCAGCTATTTAGAAACTATCTTATTGTACGTTTTGTTTTGTCACTGGTTATATCTCAGAGTCTCTCTCTTTATATAGTCTCTCTCTTTTTACAGTAAGTCAGATCCTACATAGCAAGACCCGACTTACAATGCCTGTTATATCAGTAAAATGAATCCAGCACCATCAACAGGTTAATAAATACCCATAATAAATATCAAGTTAATGGGGAAAGTGTCCCTCGAGTATTTGTGTAACAAATAATTAGTGATCATGAGACAATGATGATAATGAGAATGGAATGGACGTATTTGATGTAATCCTATGCAAGGCCGCCAACTTGAATATAACCAGGATCATAAGATTGATTGGTGCAATAAAGAAATACATAAAAAAATAATCGGTGTCTATTGGTTGTTTTGTTTAGGTGATGCGATGTAGGCCTAGTAATCAACTCAAATTTATCCTATTGTCTCCAGAAGAAGCCTCTCAGGCCGATGTCATCCATTTGCCATTAACCTCTCCCCATTTCCTTAGTAACTAGGTATGGCTTCGACATCCTCCCTTCATTCCCTTTTTCCATCTTAATTTCCATCCCCTACCATCCCCTACTTCAGATCAAAAGGTAAGGGCCCAAGATCACATATTCTACCTATTATACACATATATGTATTACAAATGACATTCAAACTTAAAACCATGAGGGTACCACATGTTAGAACATGAGGGGAAAGACAGCTACATTGAAATAAGACAATCACAGGACTAATTGGATGTCATATCAAGATTATTACGTTGATTCATCTTGAGCCAAGATTGGTTAAATTGATTGTTTATTGAATATGACTAGTTTTCTCGGAAACTTGATTTTAATGGCAAATAATTGAAGGTGATGCAATTGATGTTTATTGAATATGACTAATTTTCTTGGAAACTTGATTTTAATGCAAATAATATTGAAGGCGGTATCCTATATAAAAGAGATATTATTTCCCAAATATCTTTGAATGAAGGAACACAATATAAAGCTTTAAAATTGTATATATTTCTTTGAATATAAAACATATCAAGCATATTTCACTTGTGATAAAATACATGGTTTAGCAGCATGTGTTTACATATAATAATTGAGCTCCACATTTACAACAAATATTTTCTTATAATTTTGTACTACACTAAAAAATATTTTTAATAGCACTTGAATCGCTATGGCACATCACTTAAATTCTCTTAATGAGCTCAATGCAGTAGGTCAAATATATTGATGTTGTCTGAAAATGTAATTTCTTACATTTAAGGATGAGCCCTCCCTCCCTATATCCCTTTTATAGAGCCCTAGCTGCTGATTAATAGTGTGTTTATTTAATGCAATGTATATCAACAAAACAAACTGGTTTTTAAACACAAAAATATTTGACTCTAACCCTTCCCCAAATGCTATTTTAATTTTGAGTGCACATTGGTTTATGATATTGAAGTATATTCTTATGTAAATTGTGCCACGTTGATCAACACAAAATTGTAAAAAACTTTTCCAGATGAACCACAACAACATACAAGTTATAAATACAAGTACATGTAATGACAACAAATGTGAAAAATATTCATGTAAAATTTATGTAATAAATACACAACATCTAACCTGTGACAAGTTAATAAATATAAGGCTACGGTAAGATCATTCTCTAGTTATAATACCTGTGAGACACCCACTATTTTTCATATGTGTCCCTAAAACTACATTGCATCCCAGGCCTTGCATCCCCAATTCCCCATCCGCATTGATCATTGAGTTTTACAGTCACTAAAACATCAAGTAAAATTGTTATCAACCAGACAAATTAATTTAACTAGGTACCTACTTCTATGTTCTATTTTATGATTTCATCTGAAAGATAGCAAGACATCGCTGTCAAGTTCAAGCTAAAACAAAAAAGAATCAGAGCCAGATAATTAACTTACCTTAGCCTTAATACTGCATGAAATATTGCATGTTTTAAAATGTCTTCAACAATGATTCAATCAACATCATCTCTTACATATATCACACTGTACAATAAAATAATTTAATAAAAAGCAATACAGCTAAGCCTGAATTGTGATAAAAGATTTAAATTTCTTAAGTACTTATTGTGAGTTCAGTGGTGATTCACAAGGTTTCAGTTGTGTTACCATCTTGCAAGTCAAACAATTATAAATTCAAGTTTTATACAGTATTGTGTACAGCTCCAGGAAATGCTGCTCTGATGATCTATTACCTTTAAGTAGTTATGTTTTGTTGAGGCTGGGCACTAAATTGTACTCTTAAAATAATCAAATAATTATTTTTTGATTTAAAAAAATGTTTCCCAATTTCATTAAGTACATGTACCACTTAATTACGCAATTATTAAATATATATATATCATTGATCTTGTACTGCTTACAATTTATGATGACATAGTTTCTATGAACTGGCTTTAGAAATTGGCATGCTTTGAAGAAAGATGCATTTAACCATACAGATATATTGAATCATAAAGCTCATTAATTATTTCTTCAATATATGCACAGCACCTATATCAAAACTAAACAGCACCTGCAATGTACTAATATACGGGCCAGCCCAAATATATCAATTTGCATTTCTATTGCATTAAATATTCAGTGTCAATTCTCTGCCTGGAGATTGCTGAACTTTGTACAACACACTGTCATTCTCCAGGTCATATTAATATCATACTTTTTCCTCCATCTTCATTTAAATCCTTTCAACTACGTCACAGCCTCATCTGAAGGAATTACTCTGACTATCCTTGTCCATTTTACTTCTTGTAAATATCTTTTGATACAATCCTTTGGTTGGATCAAAGGAATAGAATAATAGTATGACCTGTAAGCTTAACTAGTTTATATTCCAACTAGTTCAATTCTTTACAAATGCAGATCTCATAAAGCAGTCCGTTCGTCATAAACTACCACGGATTCATTATTCACAAGGGAATCAGTGTCTTGGTATAAAGCACTAGCTCTATTTCTTTGCGCTGCAATAGCTGCTGCACTTCGACTACGCATGCGGTTTTTCTTGGCCCGATCAACCTATGTAAAATAAATTGCTTAGTACATGTATGGTAACAGAAACAGTGGTTAAATAAAAACATACAAGACATAAACATACAAAATGTCACCACCTGCCATTTGTTACAGATGGCAAACACCAAACATCAATTGCCAAAAGTTGGCCACTGAACACCAACTGCCAAACACCATTCAAAAAAATGTTAGAGACAATAACAACATGTCACCACTTCTGGTGATGACATAAAAATAAACATTTTAGTTATATATATTTGTTATATATTTGTTCTTTTAGATCACTTCAAAACTACTTAAATTATTATTTTTTGGTCAATATAATCTCTAAATTTTGAGAGAGAGAGGCCAGTCTGATACGGCCTGCCTACCTGTGCATAGACTGGATCTGTTGGAACTGTTGGAACAACATCAGAGCCACCTGGTGGACGCTCTATAGGGAGATCACTGGCCCGGAACCCAGGATTTGAGATGCCTGAAATCAATGTTACTCAATCACCTAGGTGCTAGGAGGTAGTTACAAGTTTCAACCCTGGACTGCTTAATCATACTGAGATAAAATGGAAGAGATAACACACAGTTCCTCTAAAACATAGTAAATAGATTAAGTGGATTAATTTCCATCTAATCTTTTTATCATTTAAAATTTGTTTGATGAATGAGAGAACATATCGTTTTACTTTGCCTGATTATATACCATTTATTTTATTATTATTATTTTTTTAATATGACATCACTTTGACTAAAATATCCAAAGATGAAAATCAAGATTATTACTAGTCTAAAACAAGAACAATCTACATATTGTCTTTTTAAAATGTGTGTACGCATATGTCTACTATTACATGTATCAAATTGATATCAAATTGTCTAATGACAAAACTAGAATGACATTTAGATGTCAAATCTCAGTCCATCCCACTCATGAAAAGCTGGACCATAATACTGGTATGTAATTAAAGCTTTATTTGACAGTACATGTATTTTGTTATGGCATAAGAGGAAGTAACAGTAGTACCCTACATTGAGGCACAAGCATTCTGAAATTCATCTTGAAAATGAGACATATACCTTCTTACCTATTATACCTTAGAACTCCTTCATCTGTTATACCTTCTTACATGTGATACCTTATCCCTCCTTAATCTGTTATACCTTCTTACCTGTTATACCTGTACTGGTCACCTCAAGCTCCTGTATGGTTTCATAATCTTCATTATAGGTGTCCCCCCTATCAGATCTCTGCAAAAAAACATGAATCAATTTCATTTTATGACATCATGACAGCAATCTATGGAAGCTTTTGTTCATGCAATACAAATAAAGAAAATATTTGGGTTCATTAATTTGATAATTAATTTATAAGCCAAAGAGAATAACAGATGTTGAACCATCTATACTCTACTTTGATTTTTAGCGAAATGAGTAAATAAAATGTTCACTGTATGTGCTTGTACCGATTAAGTGACACTGACCCACGATTCAATACTATTGATGTATATTCAGTGAATTGCATATTGTAAAATTAGTGGCAATTTCATCACTTTACAAAAAGGAAAGCATTATACAAGGATGATTCATTTGTATGATATAAAGTAAGTTCAAAATGAATATCAACTCTTAAACCATTCAAACATATGCTTTGTGGATAGGATAAGGACTGTTGAATTTAGGTGTAGGACAATCCAAAGCACTGAGATACTTTCTTGAATGTTAACAATCTAATTCAATGATATAATGCATCAGTTTGATTGTCAATATTCTTTAATGGCTGATAAAGACATTAAAAACACAATATGAGATCTTATTACTGCTAAATATGGTTATCTATGGTACTGTATCTCTTTCAACAATAGTTTGCATCCCTCGTAAAAAATCTAAATGGTCATTCTTTTCAACATCAAATTCTTCCTTTCTCTCCAATGAAATTAAATAATGTAGATTCCCACTTAAACTGGTGTATTGCCTTCACAAATGTAGATACATAATTTGTTTTTCTCTTTGTTACTTTTTGTGTGTTTCACATGCAAAGATATGATCTGAGTTTATTTTTCTCTGGGGTTGTAATTAGGAGATTTCCGTTATCACGGTTTCTTTTGATAGAGATACCTTTATTTATTTATGAAAATGACTCGTATTCTGTCATCTTTTATTCTAGTAGCGGACCTAATCAAGGGATGAAGTACAAATAAGAGAAATTATGAGAGAGAATGGGGAACTGATTAAAGTACTTAACATAACATGTCAACACAAAGAGCAAAGAGTGTAAAATGCTATAAACCAAAGAAGTAGGAGCCACATTTTATGAGAAATAACTGATATTTGCACTGAAACTTCTGGAACCTCTAAATGTCACTATGAGCTTAACATTTAACCAAGTACCCATAACCAGTTGATCTTATTAACCCCAGAAAATATGAAATAATTTTTGAATATCTATGATTCCTGTAAAATGTTAGACAAAATATCACAATATTCTTTATAAGGTGAAGATTTCAAATGAGACAAACAAGTGAGAGAACCCTTTTGTCAAAATTAATGCTCCTGAATTACCCATAAACCAGAGTGGAAAAAACTAAATCACATATAAAGCAGACTTTTAATGCCCAGGGATCATTTACATGCTATAAAAGTCTCACTCAATAGTATGATTAATTATTCATTCATTAAATGTATTACATACATGGTGTCCCAGAACTCATGTGAACTTTTTGAGGGAGATCTAAGGCCATTCTCCTAAGCAGGTGTCCAGAATCTGTACCTCCTTCTTCCCCCTGCTATAACCAATTTGGAAGCGCCAGATTTAACTGAATCATGTGATCTAATTATGCGCAATGACTTACACATGATTTCTGTGGCAGTGTTGCGACAGCCAATCAGATTGCGAGTTCTAAAGCATCTGCTTATTGCAGGGGGTAAAAAGAAAGAATATATTCTGGATTTTGAAGCCCCTTGATCGGAGGATGATCTAAGGTATGGTTGAGTTTTCTTCATAACAAATGCTTATCAATCACAACATGCTTTATATACTTACATATTGCCTACTGGAGGGTTCTTGGGAAGATTGTGAGCTTCTAGGATAGGCCCTACCCTCACCTCTGTGGTGGCCCCCTCCCTCGCCCCTGGGGAGAGGTCTCTGCTCGATCTCAGGGGTGGGGTCATAATCTAGATCTGTGGAGAGCTGGTCTATGGTGGCATCAGGATCCCTAGAAATATATATAAATGTACCTTATATAATTTATACCCCCCTCTTGTTTTACGGATTCATGGTAAATATGAAATCGAATCTGTAGAGTTTAAACAATAAGAAAGTAAAATGGTTCTCTATAATTTTTGTAACATGTTTATCTAAAATTATTCTGGCATTAGCTTTCAAAAGACAGGACATACATGAGAAAAGGAAGTTAAGGGAAGTTTATATAAGGTGTCACTACGGTAAATCATTGAAAAGGATTGAAAAAAATCACAAAATTCAAGTTCTGGGGTACATATCGCCATTTTCGAACGAACTAGCCCATACAATGACTATATTTCTGCGTTCCCCTATACATAACCTTCATCTTGACACTATATTTAACATAGGGTTTGCGTCTCGATTTTTAAATATCACTACGCCAACATAGGGACTCATTTTTAGGTAAAATCCCTGCTTCACCGATGAAAATTAACGAATAAAGTAGTTCCAGTTTACGGGACTATATTCTTGCGATTTTTTTCTTAAAATGGCACAATTAGAAAGTACTTGGCCTCAGCTTTACAGACATACCTCAAATGGCCACATTGCATACACTTAAACCTACTATACACACCATTGAAGTTGGCATGGCTTCGTTTTTAAAGTATTAAAAAACACTGTCCTACCCGGAAGTGGTATTTACAGGAGTGACACCTTAATATCCCAAAACGGGAAAATTTGACTATGATAATTTTTGCTCATTTAGCATTTTTTCAAACAATTGAGTTATTTCATGCTCGAAACAGCTGCATTTCCAAACTTTTAAGACGTTTTCTACAAAATCTAGCCATATTTGGGGAAATAGGTGAGGGCTGAGTCTCTAAAAACTGGCCAAAATGACCTAAAATTGGGTCATCAACTTCAGAGATCTCATGCAAAAAATTTAGACGCAAAATCTCCGAGATTATTTCATTTTGTCAATCACTATAGCAATGCCTTTCAAGTATTACACAGAATGAACTGAAATGTATGTTGCTAAATGCAAATATTTTGAGTCAAATGTGGTCCCCAAGTGCAAAATTTGCCCTTTTTCTCCTAATTACGTCAGTAAGGCCCCAGTGTATTATGACATCATACTCATACCATTGCTACAATGTAGCAATTTACAAATTAATCTTGATTACTCTTCCTGTGATACACCTGGCGTGTTTATTTAGCCTGTAAAAATGATAATTTGCAACATTGTAGCAATTTAAATGAGCTATGGAACCTTAAAATCATGTAATTTATGGAGAAATGACCAGCAATTTTGATGGAATTCCAGTTGATTTTCTCCCATTTATGATCCCTTTGGGCCCCCGTTTGGCCATTCTGATAGGCACAGGATGTTAAAATGTGAATTAAAAGCATTGTGTGGCCTAGCCTGAATGTAAATATCGACTCTATTTTGAAATTCTACAACATCCATGGTCTCTGCACAAATGGCAGCCAATCTGAGGCGGGGATATTAAGGTGTCACTACGGTAAATCATTGAAAAGGATTGAAAAAAATCACAAAATTCAAGTTCTGGGGTACATATCGCCATTTTCGAACGAACTAGCCCATACAATGACTATATTTCTGCGTTCCCCTATACATAACCTTCATCTTGACACTATATTTAACATAGGGTTTGCGTCTCGATTTTTAAATATCACTACGCCAACATAGGGACTCATTTTTAGGTAAAATCCCTGCTTCACCGATGAAAATTAACGAATAAAGTAGTTCCAGTTTACGGGACTATATTCTTGCGATTTTTTTCTTAAAATGGCACAATTAGAAAGTACTTGGCCTCAGCTTTACAGACATACCTCAAATGGCCACATTGCATACACTTAAACCTACTATACACACCATTGAAGTTGGCATGGCTTCGTTTTTAAAGTATTAAAAAACACTGTCCTACCCGGAAGTGGTATTTACAGGAGTGACACCTTAATATCCCAAAACGGGAAAATTTGACTATGATAATTTTTGCTCATTTAGCATTTTTTCAAACAATTGAGTTATTTCATGCTCGAAACAGCTGCATTTCCAAACTTTTAAGACGTTTTCTACAAAATCTAGCCATATTTGGGGAAATAGGTGAGGGCTGAGTCTCTAAAAACTGGCCAAAATGACCTAAAATTGGGTCATCAACTTCAGAAATCTCATGCAAAAAATTTAGACGCAAAATCTCCGAGATTATTTCATTTTGTCAATCACTATAGCAATGCCTTTCAAGTATTACACAGAATGAACTGAAATGTATGTTGCTAAATGCAAATATTTTGAGTCAAATGTGGTCCCCAAGTGCAAAATTTGCCCTTTTTCTCCTAATTACGTCAGTAAGGCCCCAGTGTATTATGACATCATACTCATACCATTGCTACAATGTAGCAATTTACAAATTAATCTTGATTACTCTTCCTGTGATACACCTGGCGTGTTTATTTAGCCTGTAAAAATGATAATTTGCAACATTGTAGCAATTTAAATGAGCTATGGAACCTTAAAATCATGTAATTTATGGAGAAATGACCAGCAATTTTGATGGAATTCCAGTTGATTTTCTCCCATTTATGATCCCTTTGGGCCCCCGTTTGGCCATTCTGATAGGCACAGGATGTTAAAATGTGAATTAAAAGCATTGTGTGGCCTAGCCTGAATGTAAATATCGACTCTATTTTGAAATTCTACAACATCCATGGTCTCTGCACAAATGGCAGCCAATCTGAGGCGGGGATATTAAGGTGTCACTACGGTAAATCATTGAAAAGGATTGAAAAAAATCACAAAATTCAAGTTCTGGGGTACATATCGCCATTTTCGAACGAACTAGCCCATACAATGACTATATTTCTGCGTTCCCCTATACATAACCTTCATCTTGACACTATATTTAACATAGGGTTTGCGTCTCGATTTTTAAATATCACTACGCCAACATAGGGACTCATTTTTAGGTAAAATCCCTGCTTCACCGATGAAAATTAACGAATAAAGTAGTTCCAGTTTACGGGACTATATTCTTGCGATTTTTTTCTTAAAATGGCACAATTAGAAAGTACTTGGCCTCAGCTTTACCTCAAATGGCCACATTGCATACACTTAAACCTACTATACACACCATTGAAGTTGGCATGGCTTCGTTTTTAAAGTATTAAAAAACACTGTCCTACCCGGAAGTGGTATTTACAGGAGTGACACCATAACAAGCCAAAAGAAAGCACACTAAACACTGAAGGGCTTTATTGTATCTGTTACCTGGTAGAAGCTTGTGTGCCAGCAGCTACAGAGCGCTCTGTTGGTATTGCACTAGGGGGAGGCACAACTGAAACATGTACAAGTCACGCAAACAATAAACATGTACAATGTATCTGTACAACAGAAGAGACATGTACAATGCGTACAGACACATAGCTGCTGACTTATATTAAATAAAGGAGAAACATGTTAAACAATTAACATATGGAATAAACAAATATTCATACATGAACAATAAATTAACATGCAAAATAATTTCACATATACAATGAGCATGTGCATGAAATGAAAGATGTGTTAAATGGGATGGGGTTCAAATGTCCGGAACAGAGCACCAGAATTGAATAAATTATTTAAATATTTACTTACAATAAATCGGTTTGTTTCTCCTTTGTTTTTGTCGTCTATGGCGACAACAAAAGTAAACAATCACAGCCACAATAATAATCAATACGAGTCCTCCTACGACACTTGCACCAATCACAATAGGGACGTCACGTTCACTTAATCCTTGTGCTAACGGTGGTGAGGTTTGAAGAGCTGTTGTCAAAGCATCTGTTGTGACATCACTTTCAGATGTAGGGGCATCCGTGGTAACAACCTGTGTTGTCAAGGTAACTACAATCATAAATAATGTATCATTATGTTTCAAGGCCAATTAATCAAGATTAACTGTTTCCTTTATGAATGTGATAAAACCATAATCAATTTCGAATTGTTGAATGACTATTTTCATGTATTGATTGCACATTGGTTCATGTTATGCAGCAACTTGTACATGTATGTAGTGAAACCTGTAAATAAGAACACCGCCCTAACCCAAACACCTCTCTTATATGAACACCTCTAAATGTGAAAACTTTTCTCAGTCCAGTTTCAATAGGCCTCAAATATTTCAAAGCATTAACATGACATGACATAAGTGTCACCACCTTATTCACTGAATGTATATTGTTACAGATGCTGAATACCCAAACTAGACAGGAAAAAGTTGGACACTATTGTCACTGGACAAGTTTTACTGTATATGATATGTAAATCAACTCCCTAGATAAGACAACAAACACAAATTTTGAATCCTCTTACGTGTTTTTGCTGTTGTTTCCACAGCTACTGGCCCCAATCCTGCCGCAGTCTCAGCAACTACTGTGAACCTGTAGCGACTAGAGGGCAGGAGGTTGTCAATGACGACACTTGTGTTTTCTGTTGCCATGACATATGTTGTGTTGTAATCTATTGATGGGTTTGACGTAATAATACTTGACTCGTTGCCTGAAAATTAAAGCCAGTGTCAAGTATTTTTGTTGTATTAAAACCTAGTATTAAGTCATTGGTAGTAAAAAAAAATTTTGATATACAAGTTTACATGAAGAAGTTGTAGCTATAAAACGAAAACTTGTATATCAAAATGAATTTTTTGTTTTTAACATTAACAATACATAGTCTTTGGTATATCTATACTTTATACCTTTTGTCAATAAATACGAAAAAAAGTTATCTATGAAGTCTTATATCATAAAGTCAAACAATCCACTATATACCTGAAACCTCTACATCAACACCTATTGAGAAAATTGTTGATGGTTTTCGTAAAAACTGATAGCTGTTTCCGATGATAGGTGCAGCGCCATCTTTGATTCCAAGGAAAAATATATCATGGCCCAAGGAATGCTCATAGCTGATTGGTCCAAGGTCTGTCTCAAACTGCCAACCAACACGATTTTCAGCATTCACTGTAAACTGCTCGGTGTCATTAAGTAGAAACTGAAAATCATAAATCAATTCATAATAAGATCAGCTGGATTGTATTTATCATGGTATATGTATAAGCATTGGAATAAAAGTGAACAATAAAACATGTACAAGCATTAAACTTAAAATATAAATGATCCAGTTGTAAAGTAAAATAAAGAAACCATAAAAACTATACATGTACAGTAAAACCTGTAGAACACATTTGGTACCTCTAAAACGTTTTCACATTTATGAGGTGTTCCACTAAAGAGTAAATTTAACATTAGATCCACTTCACAGTTTTCAATATGTGTTTCAATCATACATGCAGGCTCCCTACATTTTTGCCTGAAGGTGAGATAAAGGCCAAACCAAGAATCATGTCAGTGTGAGATGATCAATAACGCAATAGAATGACAATGTTTCTTTCTATATGAATAAATAAGTGGGTCAGATAACCAATAACCAAAGAGGTGGGTGATTGAAAAAATAGGCTAAAATAGCTAAAAATAACAAATTGATTGGCTGTACGAGGGTTGACCCAAAAGTTACGAACCATTTGCTCTAAAAATCTTAATATTTTATGAATATTGTTCATATTTTGCAACAACTACCCCATATAAAGTAGTTTCATTTTGTGTAAATATAAACAATAAATCTGACCAGCAACATAGGTGTCTGGTTACCATAGCAACATGACAACAGGGTAGGTGGAGTTTGAATAAATTAAACTTTATTCCAAATTACAGCAATTGAAGAGCTATTTCAGATCATTTCAATTGTGGAGTTTTACCCCCATAAAATCTCATACAATAGGTAATTATGCTCTGCCTACCCTGCTGTCATGTTGCTATGCTAACCAGACACCTATGTTGCTGGTCAAAATTGCTTATTTTTACAAAAAAATGAAACTACTATATATAGGGTGGTTGTGGCCAAATATGAACAATATTCATAATTAAGATTTTTAGAGCAAACAGTTCGAAACTTTTGGATCAACCCTCGTATTATTAAAATTCACATGAAGTTCATAACGACAAAAAAGACAAGTTAAAAGCAAACTGATTTTACAACAATACTAATCAGAAAAAAAATATTTTTGTACTTTAGCACATTGGTTGAATCAACCCACATTTGTTACAGTAATTGAAAAATAATAACCACATAAAGAAGTGACTGTTAATATGATATCACAAAATGTCACATACAGATATGTGAATGACTCTGATGATATCCAATCAAATGATAGAATGCCAACTATCTCGATATCCAAATAAATATTAGATATCAAGTCAGTCAAGAAGTTTCTGCTTGAATATACTGATGAATAACAGATAAGGTTCTACCCACAAATTAAACATGACAGTGTGATGTCAAACAATTTTCATAAACTACGCAATTATGAGCCAGTGATGTCACATTATCACTATTACCTCCATTGTACAAGTCTAACATAACATGAAATGAGGTTACTGATAAAATAAATACATCATCAAAATTGACCAATCAAATTGCTGAGAAACTCATAAACATGTGATAAATGGTAGTATTCTACGAACCTCCTGTTGTCCAGCTGAACTGCGAATTAAGACCTCTTTCTCCCAGACCAACTTGAACTGACCCGTGGCCAACTCCCGATTTACGACTTGCCAAATCTGCAGCCTGGCCTGTTATAAAAATAGATGTTCATTTCTAACGCATGAATGAGTTAATGGTTCTGTACTTTTGAGGTAAGTGGAACAGGGAGATGCAAATAGAGTTAATTTCAATAAAAAAATAAATCCAATATGTTTACCCTCAAGAAACTCTTTGTTTACTTAAATGAAATTTTGGTAGTCATACTAAGCAAAGCATTTAATATCAAATTCATATAAACTCACAGGAGTGTCTTCAATTATCCCAGGGTGCACCATAATGCTCCATTTGCTTAACCTTCCAGGGCTTAATTTGATTTGTGGGTCCAACCAGGCTTGTTTGGCACCTGGACTGTAATAGCTGTCCCTTAACTTCAATTCATTTCCAAAATATTTGGACGCTGAAAAATATATACTTAAATCTTTGAACTGTCATAAAAATATATGTTTAATTAATATTGATTTTCTCAGGGCTTGCCTTTCTCACTTCTTTTCTTCTATTCAAACCACTTCTACTTAAACTTTAATGTCAGAGATGTAGAGGCTGGTACAAACATGACAAATTGACTGAGAGTTCTTCAATCTTAGCATCAGCTTAGATTAGAGCATAACATTCTCTTGTGTTTCAATAAAGAAAGTTTTAAAAATCTCAGTCCTCAATACAAAATCCTTATATGCACAACAGTGGAAGTGAAACACCCTTGGTCCACTAAAAATGCATTTCACCCAAGGTGTTCCACTTCTAAAGATTTGATTAAAATTAAATCACTGGGTTATGAGACTTAAGTGTTCCACTAATAAAGGTGTTCCACTTCTAAAGATTTGATTAACATTAAATCAGTGAGTTATGAGACTTTAAAATTTTCCACTAATAAACGTGTTCCACTTCTAAAGATTTGATTAACATTAAATCAGTGGGTTATGAGACTTAAAAGAGTTCCACTAATAAAGGTGTTCCACTACTAAAGATTTGATTAACATTAAATCAGTGGGTTATGAGACTTAAAAGTGTTCTAGTAATAAAGGTGTTCCACTTCTAAAGATTTGATTAACATTAAATCAGTGGGTTATGAGACTTAAAAGTGTTCCACTAATAAAGGTGTTCCACTTCTAAAGATTTGATTAACATTAAATCAGTGGGTTATGAGACTTAAAAGTGTTCCACTAATAAAGGTGTTCCACTTCTAAAGATTTGATTAACATTAAATCAGTGGGTTATGAGACTTAAAAGTGTTCCACTAATAAAGGTGTTCCACTTCTAAAGATTTGATTAACATTAAATCAGTGGGTTATGAGACTTAAAAGTGTTCCACTAATAAAGGTATTCCACTTCTAAAGATTTGATTAACATTAAATCAGTGGGTTATGGGACTTAAAAGTGTTCCACTAATAAAGGTGTTCCACTTCTAAAGATTTGATTAACATTAAATCAGTGGGTTATGAGACTTAAAAGTGTTCCACTAATAAAGGTGTTCCACTTCTAAAGATTTGATTAACATTAAATCAGTGGGTTATGAGACTTAAAAGTGTTCCACTAATAAACGTGTTCCACTTGACAGGCTTTGTACAAAGAAAACACTGAAATGTTTTTAATCTTTTAAATAAATTATTTTTACTTTTTGGTGGAGGCACTGGAATCTGTTTGTAAGTGATGTTGTATGACGTCACAATACCATTGGGTAGTAGAGGGGGTTCCCAAGATAATGTTACGCTGTATGAACTTGAAATGGCAACCACATTTGCTACAGGGCCGGGTACTGGAAATACACAAGAAAACTGCAAAGTGAAAGAGGAAACAATGAGGTAATGATTCAAGTTCTTTGTACTCCAATCATGACTATACAAAAATATTAGTGGCTCTGATAGAGCAGGAACTCTGAGACATCAAAACCTGCACTTTGATAATCATTATCAGAATATAGTCACATCATGCTATATTTCCTTGAAAATCACTCTAAATTGCGTGGCTGTGGCAGAATTGGAACCGATTTTTGTTATTTTCACTGAGATACAATTTACAGGCAAATAGTTTGTTTTTTATGTAAGTTTGCATCCATTAGCACCCACATATGAAAATACATGAATTGAGAATCTCACATAAGACCTTGACAAAGTAGTCATTAATTAGTGAATATCAGATTATTTTCCATGATTTCATGAACAATCTGCTGTATTTTTGAGCAAGAAGGCAAAACCACTGGAGCATCTTCAGTATATTAGGTACTCTATGGGTACTCACAGTCCTGTAGGGTCTCCACTGTGGTAAGATCTGTGAAAGGTCCCAGTCCACCATCTATCTGATCTGTAAATGACCTCAACCTGATGTCATATGATGTATAGGGCAGGAGGCCACTGGAACAATGAACACGTTATTAATCAAATAGGACAACCTAGGTAATAAAAGTGTAAAAATTTGATAGTCTATTAATTTGATATTCTAAACATAGCCCACCGCCAGTATGTTGTCACCTTTTGGTGGTATAAGTTATATATCTCAGCTACTCATGTTTTGGGAACTCTTTTATATTATCAACACTGAAAAACTAAGGGTCTTACCTGATGAGATATGAGAATATTGTAGCATTTACAAACACACTGGTATAGTTGTCTCCACTTCCTGATAACTTGTACTGGAGGTCATATCCTGATATAATACTGTTCCTTCTAGTTAGTTCCAACTCCTAGAAAAATAAGAAAATCCAAATTAAGTTCAAGCATTTAATCTCTAAAAAACTTCCAAAGCTATGGAAGCTCCCTGTCAGTGAGAGAGGCCTATTCAAGAGGTTTCAAGAGAAATTAAATGGGAATTTAAAAAAATTATAAAATATAATCTGAAAGGATATTGAGTGCAACTCAAGCCTTGTGAATTGTGAATGCCACTTTGCATTTATCTATATGAGTTCCACATTTGAAATAAATATGCGTAATACTGTTGTAGATAGGTTTAATTCTTACCTTCCACTGAATAAAGATGTCACTTGAAGTCAAGGCAGTTGCATTGACATCTGCTGGAGCACCAGTTGGCACTGAAATAAGACAATAATTATTAGATATTCATTGTGTAATAGGAGTTCATCTTTGCAAGCTAGTCAACTTTCAATTTTCTCTTCATCTCGCCAGAAATAAGACAATAAATTAATTATTAATATTCATTGTGTTATAGGAGTTCATCTTTGCAAGCTAGTCAACTTTCAATTTTCTCTTCATCTCGCCAGAAATAAGACAATAAATTATTAATATTCATTGTGTTATAGGAATTCATCTTTGCAAGCTAGTCAACTTTCAATTTTCTCTTCATCTCGCCAGAAATAAGACAATAAATTATTAATATTCATTGTGTTATAGGAATTCATCTTTGCAAGCTAGTCAACTTTCAATTTTCTCTTCATCTCGCCAGAAATAAGACAATGAATTATTAATATTCATTGTGTTATAGGAATTCATCTTTGCAAGCTAGTCAACTTTCAATTTTCTCTTCATCTCGCCAGAAATAAGACAATAAATTATTAATATTCATTGTGTTATAGGAATTCATCTTTGCAAGCTAGTCAACTTTCAATTTTCTCTTCATCTCGCCAGAAATAAGACAATAAATTATTAATATTCATTGTGTTATAGGAATTCATCTTTGCAAGCTAGTCAACTTTCAATTTTCTCTTCATCTCGCCAGAAATACAGAGTATGGCCTGGAACCCACAACACAATGAAGATGATGTATCCTAGGACACATATACAAGGAGGGTCTGGTGAATATGAATGAGGACGTGGGTTATTGAGTGAATGTTACAAAAAGGATGAGAATACTCTATGCTAGCAAGTACACCATCCCAATTATCAATTCAATTCAACTCAATTATCTTTTCCTAGAATGACATTGATAAGAGCATTCAAAGGTACAAAAAGTAATACGTGAACTCTTGCCTTCATGTATATTTATCTAGTATTATAACATTCCTATGATGATGAATAGTGCAAAGTGTACACAAGACAGCGGGCCAATATAAGTTTTGAAAAACCCGCACCTGCTAACTTTCTGATTGGTCAAGGCGCTGACGTCATAACCAATCAATCGAAGATACAACTGCGCGAGCAATTTTTCTAAACTCATTTCAATCATTTTCAAACCATTTGTTTGTCAATTCTTTAAGAAAACTGTACTCTCTGACCAGTCTACATCATCATAGGTATGTTATAAATCGTTTATGTCGCTATCGTGGCACATATATGCCCTCGGTTCTCAGAGATCAATGTCCCTCCTAAGGTCAGGCCATATATCACTGAGACCTTGGGCATATATGCCACGATAGTGACATAACCTCTAACTATAACATACATACTGATGTTTCCACAAGTTTATGATTTAAAAATAAAAAGGTACAACAGTCTGGTAATGCATTTACATCAAAGAGTTCTTACCTCCAGGTAATGTCTTGACAATGTGAGTAGCACTTCCTGGGCTTGATCCTACATCATTGTAACCAAACACCTGAAAAGGTAAATAACACATTTTACTATGGATTTAAATATGTGTTATATGTTACTGTTGTAAGTACCATGATACTTTAGTAGATACCAATCTATCATTGTTATAAATATCACATTTGTAGATAGTGTTATTGCTGTAAGTATCAGTAAATAACATGTTATACCTGTATACTATACTCTCTCCAAGGGTGGAGACTATGAGAAATGTTTGTCCTAGTGGCATCTACAGTCTTGGAATAAACAACAGAAGTCAGTAGATCAGTGTAGATGACCTTGTATTCCCTGATTGGACCATTCTCATCTTCAAATGGAATTTTCTAGAAAATAAAATAAATATTCAATACATTTCCTCGAAGAGGTTGAATTAACCTATTTTGATGAAAATTTGTGTGAACAGTGACATCTGTGAGACTTATACTATATTAGGCATGAGTGATCATTAATAATGAGTTCTATATTATTCCCAGGACACCCTGTAGATTTGGTGGGTTATTCAAAGATTTTATGGAAAGTTGCCAGGCTTTTAACTTTAGATTGAATTTAGATGAATGTTTCAAAATAATTTTCACAACTTAAAAAAGGAAAAAAGAAGCCCTGTCAATATGTCTTCAATTCATTTAATGCTTTAATATACTCACTGAAGAAATAATTGTAGCTACTGAAATAATGGGATCACAAAAACCCATAATGCAATATATTATGTAAAAAAATCAAGGGATGAGACAGTCCAGGGGTGAAATGAGTTATATAATTACTAGGCAATTAAAATACTTGTAGCCCTTTGTTGGAAAGCAAATAATATGTTTATGTTTTGACATACCTTCCATTGAATGTGGAATGATGTGTTGGAAAGAACTGTCACATTCACACCAGAGGGTGCGGTGTCAGGCTCTGAAAAAGAGAATAAAATTATGTTTCAAAAATGGATAGACAAATAGCATGTGTAATAAAACCATCAAAAAGAATTTTCTCTTCAGATTCATAAGCTACACAAATCAAAAATATTAATGAAAAACTGAAAATAATTTAGATCTACAATTGCTAAGTATTGAGATTTAGAAAACTAAAAATAAACTTAAGCTATAACCTTATTGTATTATATACCCTGTTTGTCTGTTAAAAATCAATATCCTACCAATTGAGGTGAATCCTCAAGTTCAAGAAAACTGCATGATTTTGAAAGAATTTTTGGCCAGGGGAAGTTCGCCCGAACCCTGAGAACCCCCGCCCCCCTGGCTACAGGCCTGATGTACATACCAGCCATAGAGGTGTTGAATGACATGAGATCTGAGAAGTTTCCCCAGAGTTCCATTGTGCCTTGTATTGTTGCTCCCCTAACCTTCACCTGGTACATCCTGTATGGGTGTAGTCCCTTCAATGTCCATCTCTGTAATGGTAATGTCGGCACCTCTATCTCAGATACTCTGAATTCTAAAACAAGAAGTTCATTTTTTAATACTTGTACAAGGTTGTACATTTGGGAGTTGTATCATTACTTGTTGTAATGACACTAAGTAAAAACATAAATATGTTCTATACTATCAAAGCTGTTATATGCTTTAATAAAAAACACCTTTGCAATGTCAACAGAAACCTCAGTAAGAAAAATCAGATATCTTTGGAAATTGAATGATCATGTCTTCCAAACTGTACAAGTATCTATTGAGCTTGTATTTAATATTGTTATATTTTTATTAAATCAAATCTTAGTTCACTTACCTTCTTCTGCTGATAGTCTTATGTGGACTTGATATGTTCTAATTTGTCCATTACTGAACTCAGGCATTTCCCAGGCAACGTCCACCTCTCTTGGACCTCCCTTTACTAATCTCATATTCCTTGGCATAGATGGGGCTAGAAGTATATACAAAAGTTATCAGCAAATGGCTATTATATACAATTTTCATATTCATGCCTTAATTCACAACTTCTTTGACATCATACATTTATTTAAGTCATCAGTACCTAGATTCTTAGCATACTTGAAAAATCTTTGAAAAAGCAAAAATTACTAATAGCAATTATCTGAGTTGGGAAGTTGACACACACAAATGAACAAAGGGTGGTTCCTACTATTATCTGACCCATTGCTACTTTAACACTCAGGCCAGGGGCCTCTCAGATGTGCGGATCTGATTCAATAAATCATCTTAATCAGTTTATTGCTTATCAATAAACTCATGTAACTTCTTGATTTTTTGCTGTTGAAGCAAAATCTGACCCACCATTTCTTAGTTTAAGCTTGATTAACTCAAAATCTATTTTTACCTGTTTCATAGGTTTTTGTCACTAGTTCACTTCCAAACTGGCCTTGACCAACTTCATTTCTTGCCGCCATCCTGACAAGGTAGAGTGTCGCAGGTCGTAGCCCTCCTAGTTCCAGTGATGTCATGTCTGGGTGAATGTCATCTCGGTAAGTTAGGTATTCCATTGGTGGTATCCTGGAGTTGAATTTATATAATTGTAAATTCATGTAATAGGAGATCATAAAAACTGCACATTCCTGTAGCACTTTACAGTGCATAGTGCTATCACTGCACTAATCATTTTTCATACTAATTATCAAACGTAAGTATTCATTTACAGATTTTCTGTACATGTATTTATATAAATATAGAATTGCTTAAAGGGGCCATGTTTAATGGCATAGACTGTATTATAATGATCACTGTATAGAATCCACATTTTACAATCATGGTATATGAATTAATATGCACATTTTGCTTAGATGTTAAATGTAAGTCATTGAAAATATGATTTCCACTTATATATTTAGATTTACCTATCCTCTCTGTATTGTACAACAAAATATGACACGTTATTGTTAACATCTTGTTGTACAGGGACCCAGGTCACATTTATCGACCGTGTTGAGATGGCAAAGGGCGTCAAAAGCACTGGAGGCCTTGGAGGATCTGTAGTGGAAATACAGTGAATTTTATGAAGAAAACAAGATAAGATGTTTCAAAAATTTCATAGTTATATATACAAAAATTATGAATTTATGACTATGATTGAGGTATACAATTTTAATTGTCTCACCTCTTACATATACCGCCACATCCAGCTCATCTAGTCCAGCTGCATTGTGGGCAACACATGTGAATATTCCTAAATGAGATACAAAAACATATTTTGTTACAAGGGGGATACCTGAATAAGTCCAGGGATGTAAAACTATGTCACTCATTGCTGATCTTTAACTTCCAGCTTCTTAAAATGCAACATTATTTGCTTTTGGCTTCAGGAAGGTTTCTAAGTGAAATGAGTCTGATGTTCTATCAAAGTAAACCCACAGATATCATAGTTCTGAAATTCATTAAGCTGAAGAACACCAAGATGCCAAATTATTTATTTATCAATGCATTTATTCCTAACATTGTACTTGTATGTATTTTAGCTGATATACTAAGGTAGTATTAACTTATAGTACCTCAGTTTTTAAAGTAAATGCAATATGTAAATAAATCAAAAGTTCAATACCTGCATCCTGTTTGCGCATGTATTTCACGAGGAGTTGATTTGCTTGCGGGAACGTTACTCGAGAGTCCAATGAGTGAGTCAGCAGTTTGCGCCCCTTATACCATTGAAAACCAGGACTTGGGTCTCCTCGAGCCACACATGTCAATAACAAATCTCGGTTTTGTTGGATGATGTAAGTTCCATCTATACTTGCAATTAAAGGTTTTACTGAAATGAAATCAAAACATTATTAGATTTTAATTGCAAAGTAATTGACTTTTATCAGCAAGTCCTATTAGAATGTCAATTTTAATACATTACTTTTATATGAAATATAATATTTTTTAATTTATAAAAGAAGTCGAAGTCACATGCTACAGATGGACCATTATAATTGAATGAGCCAATTTATAAATACTAGCAAGTAAAGACAGTTGGTAATTTTTAGATTTAACACATGTCTGTTTCTACTTTCCAATGGTACCTTGTACTGTGATTATTCCAGAGGCTTCTATGGTTTGTATTACATTAGTTGCCCTGCATGTGAATTTCCCTGCATGTTTTTCCTGTATGTTTCTGATAATTAATGATGTCAGGTCTTGTGACATCACAACACCTGTAGGCAGATTCTCAGAATTCTAAAACATAAATGCGAAAAACCTCAGTTAGTATGTTCTGCGACTAGTACTAATATATTTGTTGATATTTCAAAAAGTAAATTAAAAGGGATGAGTGCCTATTTGCTAAGAACATCAGAATATATGTATTGTGTTTGTGCAGATGTAGTTAAGCTTAATGATTGCTGATGATACAACAAATTGCTTGTTGTCAAGCAACGACAAAGATGGCATCGCCAAAATGTTGTGGGTTCACTGTGTTTAATCTCCATTCATTTAAACCTCAAATTATCATTGAATAGCCAAATCAGTTGAGGATGTAGTACAGTTACATTGACCCCTGTTACACAGGCCAGTTGAAATGCTTCGTTACGAAGCAATTTGACAAAAAGCTTCGTAACGAAGCAATTTTGGGCCAGTGTAACACCTCTGCCTTCGTTGGAAAAGCTTAGTTGATAACGAAGCAATTGAGTAGAAAATTCAACGAAGGTTAGCTCCCAACGAAGCTTTTTTGGCCTGTGTAACAGGTAGCTTCGTTAGAAAATGCTTAGTTGGCGGAGCACTTTCATCATTTTGTATTAAATGAGAGGAATCGCGAGGAAAGAACATGTTTTTAAGTACGTATTATTATAATGCTACGTTTTGATTAAAATAATTACCTATTTGCGTCACTGATTGACGCTAACTCAAGCCCTAAACACCACGTATAAATGTGATTTACCGTCTTTCGTAGCATTTCATTCGATTCCCTGCCTTTCCTCGCATTGATATAACAAAAAGTATTAAATCTAAAAAACGCAGGTTTTACCGTATATGTATACGGTAGTTTTGAAATGTTTATCTGATCTATTAGAGAATAAACCTAGAATATTTAAATGTCCCTCTTTCAGAAAACTCCGTCTCAAGTGTGGAAGGGTAAACTTTTGAAATTACATAAGATATGCTTACTAAATAGAAAGTTGTGGCATACATGTTTAATATTAATTTTTTCTTGCGCCTCGAATAATTATACCTTGAATGTAATTCTAAAGGTGTTAATACCCGGTGAATCATATCAGGGAATATAGCCGATTTGATTGATTCGAAAATGTCTCTATTCAGAAATCGTATTCAACTGGCTATCGCCCCATTGCAATACATGTACTTGTACTAGTCGTTCCATTATTTTATTCCTCGACGATTTTAAATTGTAATTGAATTTAAACTTCATGTTTAAATATGTTGAATTAATTACGTTTCAAAACTTCCGTATACAAATACGGTAAAACCTGCGGACAAGGAACGGTGGCCAAAATTGTTTCTTGTCGACAGATATTTGCCACAGAGAGGCTGCATGTTTTAGGCCAGCCCCAAACACTATTGATGTGTCGTAAAGACGATGCTTACAACTGATATTCAAGTTTCTTCCTATTTGCGCCATTTTCGAATTCAACGGACGGCTGATGGATTAACATACTAATTTATGTCAAACTCACTCAAATATGCATGGAGTATTGGCGAGACGGGTAATATTCATATTAAAATGAATTGGTCATGAAATAGTAGTTACACGTGGTCCTAACTTCGACCGTTAATTTGGATTTTTGACCTACCGGATGTTTGAAAATCAAGGATTAAGAGTCTCATACTGCACCGTTTTTCTTCAAACTTTTTCCATTCAAAGCATAACAAAAATCCCTTTCTGATGGTACATTATTCTCTTAAACAGAGTCCCTACTTCCAGCGGCATTTTGGTCCCCAGCGGTAAGAAGGCCTTCTAACAGCTGGGGACCAAAACGCTGCTAGAACGAGGGACTCTTTACAATAAAGTAATGCACCGACAGAAAGGCAATTTTGTTTTGCTTTTAATGGTATAGGTTTGAAGAAAAACGTTGCAGTATGAGACTCGCAATCCTTGATTTTCAAGCATCTGGTAGGTCGAAAATTAAAATTAACGGTCGAAGTTAGGACCGCGTGAGTTAAACCACCAGCCGAACACCGAGATATTTTAGTAATGGCTACACTGTTTGAAATATAACTGGAAATTGAACGTTTTTATACGATATTACATACTAGTCGTCTGTATAAACCCCGAATCCAATTCCTCCTACTAATTAACATAGGCCTATTTTTATTCCATATGTTTTCCAAAGGAAATGATAGAAAATGAAAACAATACGTGTAATCGTATTGACAGCTGAAATATATAAAAATCGAAATGATCGGAAAAATGTATGGACATGTGTACGGAATGATCACATTCATCTTGTTTTATTTTCCCGAGAATTTTGAACTAGTCTTTTTCTGTGCTGATTTGTTAAAATAAAGATTTAAAATTAGATTTTTGAGTTTGATCAATGGTTTATATCAAAAGAATAAAAATGTTAATCATAATAAGTGGGTGGGGCAGATGAGTAATGCGCACGCGCAACGAAGCATTTTAAGTGCAGTGTAACACCAAATAATTGCTTCGTTAGGGTTGGATAAAGCCAGTGTGGACACAATTTTTTCGCTAACCTTCGTTACAAAAATGCTTCGTTAGACTCAACCCAGCAGTGTAACAGGTACCATTGAAGAGCTACATGTATGTGAGTTTAGGATGTGGGGAGGCAAACACTTACATTGAAGAGCCATGTGAGCTGAGGGTGTGGGGAGGCAAACACTTACACTGAGAGTTGAGGATATGGGGAGGCAAACACTTACAATGAACAGCCATGTAAAGGGTATGGGGAGGCAAACACATACATTTTAGACCCATGTGAGTTGAGGGTGTGATGAGGCAAACACTTACATTGAACAGCCATGTGAGTTGAGGTTGTGGGGATCCTGTGGCAACACACTCTAAGACGACACCTTGGGATTTATTCACTGTTCTGTCAGAAGGTTTCAGAACAAACTTGGGGAAAACTGGAAATGTAATTTGTTAATTGTTCTGTTAGTTATACCCTGTGCATCACATGTAAGTTCAGAATACATGAGGTTCTGAAAAGTTAATTTTTCAAAACATCAAATCTTTTCTTGTCTGATTTCCTTATTTTTTACCATGCATATAGGCTAATAGCAATATTTAAAAAATACAGATTTTAATCTTCACATGTTAATAACAACCAATAATTTCATGAACCTTGGACAGTTAGACGCCCCTCCCTCTCTTTCACACCTCCAATGTTCACAGCCCTGCATCTGTAGAGGCCAGAATCTGAGCTATCCACGGGGTATATACTAAGACCATTTGTCAGCATGGACATATGACTAGGAAGAGGCTTCAACTCTATTCCATCTAAAATCATGAAAGACAATTGGTAATTTTGGAATAATTAAACGGTAACACATAGTCTAGAAAATAGAAGGGTCCTGACTTTACTGACACTTGACAGTATTGGGTCACAAACTATTTCACTAACCTTTGTATCGTGTTACAGAGGGTGTTGAGTCATCATATACTCAACTCAACATTTGTACCATGTTACAGAGGGTGTTGGGTCACCATATGCTCCACTTACCTTTGTACCATGTTACAGAGGGTGTTGGGTCACCATATACTCCACTAACCTTTGTACCATGTTACAGAGGGTGTTGGGTCACCATATGCTCCACTTACCTTTGTACCATCTTACAGAGGGTGTTGGGTCACCATATACTCCACTTACCTTTGTACCATCTTACAGAGGGTGTTGGGTCATCATATGCTCCACTTACCTTTGTACCATGTTACAGAGGGTGTTGGGTCACCATATGCTCCCCTTACCTTTGTATCATGTTACAGAGGGTGTTGGGTCACCATATACTACACTTACCTTTGTACCATGTTACAGAGGGTGTTGGCTTACCATATGCTCCACTTACCTTTGTACCATGTTACAAAGGGTGTTGGGTCACCATATGCTCCTCTTACCTTTGTACCATGTTACAGAGGGTGTTGGGTCACTATATACTACACTTACCTTTGTACCATGTTACAGAGGGTGTTGGGTTACCATATGCTCCACTTACCTTTGTACCATGTTACAGAGGGTGTTGGGTCACCATATACTCCACTTACCTTTGTACCATGTTACAAAGGGTGTTGGGTCACCATATGCTCCACTTACCTTTGTACCATGTTACAGAGGGTGTTGGGTCACTATAAACTACACTTACCTTTGTACCATGTTACAGAGGGTGTTGGGTTACCATATGCTCCACTTACCTTTGTACCATGTTACAGAGGGTGTTGGGTCACTATATACTACACTTACCTTTGTACCATGTTACAAAGGGTGTTGGGTCACCATATGCTCCACTTACCTTTGTACCATGTTACAGAGGGTGTTGGGTCACTATATACTACACTTACCTTTGTACCATGTTACAGAGGGTGTTGGGTTACCATATGCTCCACTTACCTTTGTACCATGTTACAGAGGGTGTTGGGTCACCATATACTCCACTTACCTTTGTACCATGTTACAGAGGGTGTTGGGTCACCATATGCTCCACTTACCTTTGTACCATCTTACAGAGGGTGTTGGGTCACTATATACTACACTTACCTTTGTACCATGTTACAGAGGGTGTTGGGTCACCATATACTCCACACTTCATCAATATACTGAATCCCTCAGACACAATTTCATCTTCTACACTGTCAATGATCTCTGGGGGGACTAGATATACGAGAAAAAAAATCATGAACTTTAGGAACAGTCTTAAAATCATACAGATTTCAATGGCAAAGTCACTTACAGACAACACGCGAAAGAAACCAACGAAAAACGTACAATAAAATCACAGAACATTTACATTTTGTCCAATGAGCATTATATTATTTCAAAAGGGGCTCAAAATATATGTTGGAAAATGAAGTAAGCCACAATATGTTGAACATTTTTCACAATACTTTTTTGTGTGTAGAAAAGTGATTTCTAACTCACCTATCACTTGTACATAGACCTGGGGACTTGAAGGAGATCCATAAACATTAGATGCTCTGCAGAAATAAGTTCCCTCGTCTTGTTTGTTGACATCATTTAAAATTAATTCTTGTTTAAGGTCCCTCAAAAACACAAAAGTTGTCAATAAGCAGTGTCTGTTAATCATTTTTTCTCTTAAATATTTCTTTATTTCTCTAAATCATGTAAACCATGAAAATAAATTTAATGAAAATTTTATTTGAAAGGTTTATCCAACCCAGGATACTCAAGGTTCGCTTAGATCACAAAGACTTATAATTTTAAATTTTAAAATCATTTAATTACAAATGATGAAACAAGAAAATTCAATGTCATCCAAACCAACATTTCCTGTGGGAAACAATAGTTTTCATTTTGGTCAGTGAGAGGAAAATGAAGTAATCAATTGCATGATTCTAGATTGATATGAATGGTAATCTTACCTGTAAGTTACTCTGGGATCTGCTGTGGTGATCTCCCCATTGTTATTGTACCATGATATAGAGGGTGCTGGGTCCCCAGACACACGACAGATCATATGCAGCAACCTGCCCTTGATGATAGATTGGGGCACTGGTGGCTGTGTAAATATAGGACTAGCTGGAAGGGAAAACATTAGGTACTTCAAATTTAGTCCCCTACTAGAGGTTTACAGACTGTTATGCGGAAACAATTTATATAAATACTGAACCAAGAAACTGTCGACCAGGCTTTTTCAATTTCTCTAAAAATGCAAAAAGAAATTAAATAAAATATCCTTGAATGAAAGAAAAATTTGACCATCAGGGAGGCTTTGAAAGTCCTCAGTAGCACTGAATAAATCACTAAATTAGACAATAAATTGCAAGGTCTAATTGTATTTGAAAAGAATCCTTGCAGTAGCATTGAAATCATACGAAGCAAATTTTGCTAACGAATTACCTTTAATTGTTAATACTGCTTTCCGGGATGTCCTCGTTGATGGCATTGCGAACTCATTGATAGCAACACAGAAATAATCTCCAGCATCTTCTAATTGCACATTGGTAAAAAAAAGTTCCCCAGAGGGTAAAATTTTGACTGCATAAATGCCTTGCCGCTCGATAAACTTAGTGTTATCTTTATACCAGATTATTTTTGCAGGAGGGGTGCTGTCTGGTGGCTGGCAAAGCAGAGAGCCAGATCTTCCAGCAACTGCTACTACATCTATTGGCTCTGTTTTGAAAACCAATCCAATACCTAATAAAGAAATGAAAGAAATTAATTCTAATGATTATCTTTTCCAGGTATACCATGAACCTGCACGGCTATGTTGTATCTAATGCTGGTGGAGCCAGATCAACCCTGCTTGGGGTAACTCCTCGTTATATCTGCCTCAGTTTAATCCCCGAAAGCAGGAGTGAGACTGCCGATGAAGCATATCAGTAGCCAGCACTGTTAGAGCATGTTTGATGTTTTTCACAACCTGACATGATAATGTATATTCACACTAAGCCTATTATCTCAAAGTGTTTATGGGTGTATGCATTCAGGCATGAGACCGAAAATAGTATTTAATCTAATGCATGTTGTTAAAATATTATATCAAAGCCTCCTTTCTCCTATATTTACCTCACCTATCAAAATTTGCCTCACTTTTTTGCCTCGCCCCTGTTTTAACTGTTACTTACTTGCAGCTGATATTCTGACAGGTCTACTTCTAACTGTGCCTTCACTATTGCTGCCTATACAGCTGTACTGACCAGAATCCCCATTCTGCAAAATAAAAATTGATGCACTTTGAGGATGTTTTAGAAAAAGTCCTTGCTCTATTTACATTCAATAAAAAAAGTCCCAAGAGTGTCCATTTTGACAATGTCTTAAGAAAATGAAATATAAATATTCTCATTCTCCCATATCTACAAGATCAGTTAATGAATGTTGCTAGTAAGCATGGAATTCAAAAATTCGAGCCAAACATGTAGTAACACACTTCATTATCAAAAATTGAATATACCAAAATCAAACCTACAATAATATCTTAACAATCATAAGAAAGGTTCACCTACAGCTAACTGTGTAAAATGCAGAGAGCCATTTGAGAAGACATAAATAGTTTTTGTTGCTATGACAGCCCTAGCCCCCCTGCGCCAAGTGATGGTAGGTGTGGGGGTGCCAACGATGTGACAATCAACAGTGAACGGATGGTCCAGGCTGCCCATCACACTGCGGGGGAGTTCTGTCTCAAAATATGGCCTTTTTGTGATCACTGCAATGATAAAACACCAAATGAAGTTACAACAGTATTCATATTAAAAGAATCTTAAAGTTACAGAAACCCAGACTTAATTAAAAATGGACAAAATACATGAAGAAACATGATAGATCTTGCAACTGCATTGACTGGTTGGTTGCCTGAGGTTGGAAAATAAATTGTCTGAAATTCTTGCTATTTCTTGGCCTAGGGTGACTTTCTATCAGGGCAGTTCATTCTCTTTATGTGAGCTCTTCTCCAACTCTATTATTTACAGAAAAGAGCATTTTAATTATAAAGTTCCTATGGTGCAAGTTACAGGGAATTCTCATTTGTTCAACTTTGGTGAATTTAAGAATCAAAATAGGCAATGAGCAATTTAAGATGATCATTTTAATGGCTTTTATTGATGTTTGCACTCTTTTTTCAGAAACTTACAAGTGACGCTGACTGTGCCAGGATAGCTCCTTACTGTTTGTTTAGTAACCAGGTTAACTGCCACACACCTGTAGACACCCTGTAGTTCCAATGATGTTTTGAACTGGAGGTCAACACTCACCCTGGCAGCTCCACCATCACCTGCAAATATCATTTTTATGATGAATAAATGATGAAAAAATTGAGTTGCTAATTATAAAAACTGTATTAACATTTAACAAGTTTAAATATGTCACACACCCTAACAAAGGAATATTATTCAAACAAAATAAATAAAATTATGAATAATTTTGGAAATAGTTTAAGTTCAGTTTATATGTTCCCCCTCCTCCAATCACCAGTTAAGATTAAGGGACCAAACCATGAAATATATTATGTACCTAATATATGCATATTGTAGTCTGGCTACAATCCCTTATGAACCCCACTTCACAACTCTCCACAAGTAGTCATAGTGGTGAAATCGATAGGGGGTAGGGGGTCCAGAGACTATAGTATACTCTGTTCATAACGTCATTATAATGTCTCTTTATGTAGTGAATTCTGAATTCTTACAAATGTTATAAAATGAATATGATGGAACAAAAAGATAGATTATTAAAATGAATTGCCGAAGTTCTTGGCTTATCTTAGAGAAACATTCCCTATAATGTCAGTGTCGGATAAGGTGCCAAAAATTATTTTAAGCAAAGCAGCCAATGAAATGACAGGGATTATTCATTTAATCATATCATGATGCCATAAAAGAATTCTATCCTTCCTCATTCTAGGCTCATTAGAACAAAGTTGCACCTCTTTCAACAGAGACATACCTTTATCACCAAATATAGCTGTAACTTGGCTGCCCTTGGTGAATGGCTGTCCATCTTTTTCCCAGCTGACACTAAAAGGTGGTGCACTGATCGGAGTGATACATCGCAACTCTGTGATGTTTCCATCCTGGGTTGTTATGTTGCCAGGGTTCTCATAGAAATCTTTATTTATAACTGAAACAAGACACACAATGAAATATATTGCACTTCAAAATAGTCACATGGTAAATTACACGACATGCCTAAAAGCTTTACAAATATTAGCCTGCACTTCCATTTGTAAACATTTCAAACCGAAAGATGAACAGTTTTCTTGCAAGGTTTTGTGCTGCACAGCAATCAGCACGAGAAAACAAAAACATTATTCTGAAAATATTCATGAATAGTAAAATAACATATATGTGATTCTCTCATAATTTTGCCTACTCACTTTTTGTTTTTCTCTATTGAACTGAGTAAAAAAAATTGCCCCACCTACCCAAAAGTCAGGTTACCATAGTAACCGTCATTTCTGACCAATCAAATAAGAGATGCTAATGTTTTAAAAATCAATAACTAGATGTCCTTTTGATGTAATGTAAAAATTTCATGAAATAGTATTAAAAACCTTTGAAATGAGAGCATTTTTCTGTGAATTTATTGAACAACCTGGTATGCCTATCGTGAGGAAGTATTATTCAAAGGGAGTGGTATCAAAAAGGATTATCAGGAAGAATGCCTTTTTGAGTCGGATTTTATCTGAAGAAGGATTGCTATACTATTTCAGCCCAGGCTTCCTAGAAATTAGGAAGACCTAGAGTAGAAGAAATGATTTCTATTGTTTAACCCAAATCATAACCTCAATTTAATCAGATAATACTTATATCATCTCTAGTTCATTACAAGCAATGTGTGAACATGAGTAATTCAGGAAATACCTTAAAAGTTGCCTTCCCCTTAAAGGCAGAATCTGATCTATAGGGGGTGACAAAATTACAAGCAACATGTATAATTGACCTACCAATCTATTCCTTACAATATCAAATACAATATATCCCAAAAGATTTACAATATGTTATAAATTGGTGAAGTTTTTAATGATCCAAAGTGCAAAAATGAGTGAAATGTTTAAATTCTCCCAAATAATAAGAATAGTAACCATTCTAATAGAAAAATAATACATTTTTGTAAAAATCTTTAGTTTTTCTGGAATAAAGTATGCACATTTGTGATTTTTAGAAAATAGACATGAAAAGGAATGACATGAGCCATTAATATTCTAAAATTGAAACAATTTTTGGTTTAGCCTGCTCGCGCGCTATATCTGATTCTCTCTTTAATTGATATGAATTATTTCTAATTTGACGAGAAAGGTTATTCTATACATACTGCTACAGTAATACAACTACATATCTTTTAAATCACCATGGCTATGGTATAAAACATGGCACATGGTGCTTTTGGAATTTTTAATCATATTAACAACTTAACTTGAAGTAGAGATATAATATTTATCATCAGTTGTTTATATATTCATCCAACTACTATAGGGGTATATTAACTTTGAAATGTAAAAAGCTGATTAAAAACAAAAAGGGCATCAGCTTAAAACACATATGAAACAACAGATTTTATAATCATAATAAATAAATACTTTTATTTGATCCAGGTTTCAAATTATTTTGGCTTTTGAATAATATACAGTATATCCATCATGTGAAAATATTTAAGCATCGGAATCAATACTTGTATTCTATATTATCATTATATTGATTAAATCCCAAGAACATTCTTTCATTTTCTTATGAACTAATCAATAACACCTTTGAATAATTTAGACATACACTAATTAATTATCTGTAGTGTATACTGTATACTGAAGTTTTATAATATGCCCTTTTGGGATGTCTTTTTCATGTCATATATGAAATCAATTGTATGATGGAATTTTGAATTGAATAAATTGAATTGAATTGAATCTATTCTTTCTTTATTCCAGGAAACAGCAGCTAAATAATACATATATTTTTTTTATATTTTCTGGTATCAAAATGATTTTTGAAATGTAGTTCAATGTTATACATGTAATTATGAACAAGTAGAATACGTGTATTTATTCTATGAATATTAATATATTTCTAACATAATTAGCCTCTAATGTAAGAAGGTGAAAATAATTGTACTTGAATTAGAGATAAATAATTTATTGTTTTCTCTGTACTGTATATGTATTTGACCCTTACAAAGAGTTTCCTTGGAAATATATTCTTTTAGGTCATTTTGTATCGTTTAAGTGATACTGCATAAAAGCCAAAAACTCAATAGCATTGTGGCCGATTTATTCCACTCTGGCATTGTTTCCTTAAACTTAGCGCTCGATGCTCAAAGTTTATTTTCAAACAACATCTTTCAAGAATGATAAGTCCAGGGCTTAAACTTACTGCCATGTTTTCAGTCATTGAAGCCCAAAATGAAAAAAAAATTTTGACACACGGATTAGTTTATTTCAGCCTCTATCAAAGAGCTCAAATTTAGCAAAGAGATACACACAATAATAATTAATTTCTTCGTGGTTACAACCAGAATATCACAAGGCAGTGGTCTCCCCAGCACAACGGGGCTGAACCCAGTTGATCATCTTGAAATTGCACATGAAGTGAGACTGGAAATATATCTGCACCAAGTTGTTCATTTTGAAATTGCCTTGAAGTGAGACTGGAAATATATCTGCACCAAGTTGTTCATTTTGAAATTGCACATGAAGTGAGACTGGAAATATATCTGCACCAAGTTGTTCATTTTGAAATTGCACATGAAGTGAGACTGGAAATATATCTGCACCAAGTTGTTCATTTTGAAATTGCCTTGAAGTGAGACTTAAAATCTATATGCGCCCAGTTGATAATTTTACCAGATATTATAAGCTGTTTTAGAGATTTGTTTAAAAGTAGAATTAGAGTTCATCACCCAGCTGGTAATCAATGGTTGACAGAGAACAATGCAAGAAATGTATGATTCATGCAAAAACTCACATGCTTCGACTAATGTGGCCTCCTGGCTTGTTTTAGTTGAATCTGAGATTCCTGCTAGGCTAACCTGACACTGATATATCCCAAGTGCCTCCTGGTTCACCTTCGGGATGTAAAGTGACTGGTTTTGGAAAACTGAAGCCTTTGGAAGAGTCACCGATATATGATCTCCGTTAAAATACCAAAGATAAGAAATTGGTCTGTTTTCTGGGACATCAATGGCACTGCAATCAAATCTCGTATCATGTCCAAATATAACGGCTGTTGGTTCAGGATTCTTGAGAAACTCTGAAAAACATTAGTCATAGTTATTACATATTATACCTGTACATGTATCAAGTCTTTGCGCTTTGTTATAAGAGAATGGGGTTTGATCAAGTTCAATATTTCTAATACTTAAGGCTATGGGGTGACTAACATGTATCTATTAAAGGGTATGTAAGTCACAAAAGTTGACACAAAATAAAAAATAATAAAAACCTTTTCTGGCGGGAACAATAGAAAGTTCCTACATTAAAACTAAGAAAGAGATACAAAGTTTAGGTTTTTTGTCAGCATTGATTTAGGACAATATGTTAGTATATTAGATAATTTTTCCCACTGTTCATGGTACAGTACCTTACTAGAGAGGAATAAGAAGGGGATGGGGACCAAGAACCTACGGGTAGGCAGGGCTTTCATCATTGGCTTTCAACTAACAGCAGGCAACAGGCGATTTTCACCAGTTGTTTTCACAAAATTGCCTGTTGTTTTGAGGGACTTTTCAACTTTTCCATGTTAAATTTATGATTTCCATTACTTTTGTCTGTTGTTTTCATTTATTTAGCCTGTTGTCAGAAATTCTAGTAAAACCCCTGGCTCCCCTGGGTAGGAGTAAAACATGCTTAGCTCAACATGGGGTAAGAATTTCCAATGCAAGACATGCAACTGTAATTTACGATGAACAGAACCAAATTTTTACAGCACTCACCAATATCAGCATATATTCTTGAAGGAAATCCAACAGTTGCAATCACCGTTAAGATTAACAACTTGAGCTTCATCGCTTTTGTAGTTGTTCAGTTCAGCTTATTGACTTGTCATGAAAAATATGTTTATGTTGGCTTTTAACTTCTGTTAGTTAAAAAAACAAATCAGAATAAAATCCTGTGCTTATACAATGAATATGACTTGTGTTTGATAAAAGTGAAACTTCACTGAAAGCAAAACTTGAAAACTTCACTCAGATCCGCCCCCTTGTTAAATCTTTTCCAGGTCCACATTGATGAAGTCTATTTGCAATCAGTAGCTAGGATAGTTGAATTGGACCTTCTTACGTAGTCCAAGTATATTATTTGTTAAATTACTGCTATTTTAATGGTATAAAACATTGAATACGTAAGCACATTGAAAGACAATTTTTTCTGATTTTGTTTACCTTTACGGAGTGAATATTCAAAGCAGTCAGGAGGTGTTATCAAGTTTCAGTTCAAATAATTTATATGCTGCAATAATCAGAGATAATCTGTGGGGTGGTTATATATAAAGAAATCATTTTCGTAATTGTTATAAAATAGTGAAATTGAACGAAAAATGTTTTAAACAACAGAGAAATTAACAACATGAAGAAAGGAATTTTATTTATATTTGACAGTTGCTGACAACATAAGAAAAAATGTCGGGAGAAAAAGTTTTGAGCCTCAGAGATTTGAGAACTTTAGACGATTGTGATGGCATATTTGTGAGCCATGAAGACAAACAAGACTCGTTTGACGAGGTAGACTCATCCAGAGTTATTCTAGTCACGAAAGATACGGACGTGCCCAAGACATATGCAGAGAGAGCCGACAAATCTGGTTATGATGAAATTGACCAAATTAATTTTAGGCTGGTGAGTTGATTTTCATTTCCTTGTTCGTACCTAAGAGTCAAATCTGATCGATATCACCTGGAATTATTGAATTGAGATAATGCTTGATATAGAGTTGATATATGGGGCCTATTGGGAGTCTCCCGAACTAGAAGTCATATTTCCAAAAATATTTTCAAAGTTGATAAACAATTTTTGAAACCATACATGTATTTCTAGACAATCAATCATCACTTTGACTGAGTTTTGATTTATTGATATTTATGACATAAATCAAGATAACATCTAATCGCATCTTGTTCATAAGCTTGGAAAAATGTAGAATGTCAGTTATCACTCAACTTTTGGGTGATTTTGAAGTTATGTCTGTTTATTGTAGTGTTGTCGCGATGTGCCATAATCGTACATCGATGCATTGGCAATTTTCAGTAGTAAACATCGATGCACAATGCGATGTTCATCGAGAAAAAGTCCGAGAAAAGTGCACTGAAATACCGAACGCTAATGCACTAAAATACCAAACATCCAGTACATCCGGGAACTTCTAGTAAGGGTGAAATGAAAGTAAAGTAATTCTTTTAGATTAATGGTTCATTTTGACTAGCTTAAACAGTTTTTAAGCGAAAGAATATCAGAAAACATTGAAAAATGAAATAAGACATGAGAAAGGTAGCAAAGGTATAAAGGTAGCAAAGGTAGCAAATTAATTTTTTTTAAAAACATCGATGTTTTGTTTCAGACATCGATGCATCGCCAGAATCAGCTTTGGCGATGTATATCGCGATGTATCGATTAATCGCGACAACACTAGTTTATTGTATCCTTGTATTAGATATCCAGCCATGTCATGCAATCATATTTAATATTCATGAATCAGAAAACATTGTGATGTCTACATGTATGTATTAAAACGAAGTGAAGCACCCATTGTACATCAATTGCTGTCAATTTTCAGGTCAGTAAGAAATGGGGTATATCGTTTACAACGACTCCTCGGGGCCCAGGAGTGTGCGGGCTAATCCAAATAAATGGTGCTCCACTTATAAAGAGTATAGTGGAGAGTTTATGGAAATACTGGACCACACTTATATCAGGAATTCACTTTGAACCAGTCAGGTAAAGTATATGTAATGTAATGTAGTTTTATGAATTATCTATATAATCCAATGAAGTTACTTCAATGACCATACAATATACTCAGAGTAATTTCTCATCATCATTGATGGCAGACAAACAAAATACGATACATTTGTATTACATTGTATTGTATTGTTATGCAATATAATAGAAATACAAAATTAAAATGTCCTTCAGAAAAAGAAAAAACTGAAAATAGGAAATAGAATTTGAAAACAATACATGGTGACTGAAAGATAATCAAACATGTTTTCTTGCTAAATAGTTTTAATACAATACCATGTATATAGTGGTACTATTCCATTTCTATAGGTTTGATGAAAGTGGGTATCTACTTGTCTGGTTTGCCTCAAGCTCATGTTATGCAGGATTTGCTGCCAAAATGACAGCAGGCTTACTTAATATGGATAAACTCAGGGTGGTGTCACTTGAAGGTAATGCATAATTTCATTGAGGGGCACTAGGGGGGTACCCACATGGTTATAATAGTAGAAAAAGTAATTTAATGGTTGTGTTCCTCAGAACAGTCTAGGTACTTCTGATTAGGCACTAGACTAGCGAGCAATCACAAACATGTATTTTTTTTATATCTTCACCATTTAAAATTCATTTTAAGTTCTTTTCAGGACTTTAGGTGCAATGTAAAGAGTCAGTCACATAGTCATTGGGTGGTTTGGTGAATTTTCAATTAAAGTTTGCACAATATAGATCATACTTTAACAACCAATTGTATAATTATTATGTCACCACCAAAAAGTGGTGAAATATTAGTATGGATGGTTTCCATTTTTGTGAAGGTGGTCAGCGGTTGGTGATCGGCGGATGGCAGTTGGCATCTGTAACAAATTCTTATAACTTTCAATAACTGAACAATTACTGTTTAGACTGGCAGTTTTTTCAAAACCATCAACAAGTTCTCAGAAGTTTAAATCTGACTTTAGATTTCAACTCCAGTGACCTTCTCAGGGTCAAAAAAGGTCTTTTTTCAACTTGCTTCAAATTGACCAATTTTTTCAAAATCATCTACAAATTCTTAGAAATTCAACTCTGACTTAGGATTGAATTCATAATATTGTGAGCAACTAGGTGGTGACATTTTGTCATGTTAATGCCTTGTTTTTATTTCACTTGGGTCCCCTGATTTTGAGTTACCCTGGCGACCACTATAATTAATAAGTGTAATATATATGATAACAGTCTCTGGTTTTACTGTATTTTGACCTGACTTAATGTAACCAAGAAAATGTGAGATAAAAGAGGTGAGTGATAGAGGAAATTCTGAAGCCAACTACAATTTGTGGCTTAACTGTTTCATTTTATCAACACTAACCATTGATTTTACAATTTCAGCGGCTGAGATTGCTAACCCTCCCAAAGTATCACTAGAGGTAGAGACGTCACCTAGCAACACAAACATCATCATGGAGAATATCACACAGGCTGTGATCCCCTTCAGTGCAGCGTTCACTTTCCTAGCGATCCATGAGAGGATTATGTCACTCTGGCAACCAAGTGTAACTCCAGAAGGAAGTGTTCCATCAGTGGGGATCAATTTGTTATTTGATGGACGAAACCAGGCGAACGCACTCAGATCCCTGAAAGCTTTACAATCTGATCAATGGGAAAATGTCACATTTCCCAGTGCTATAAAGGACCGCATACCAGAGGAACTTCAACTCTATAGAAATAGAAATCAAGGACTCCCTGCTATTGGGCTTAGAACAGGCTGCCCTCAGGCGGGAGTTGAGATATGTGTACTTGTCCAGGACCCTGCCAACTTTACCAAAATGGAACAATTCTATGAGGACATTATTGGTCACAAGCCAGTGAATCGTGCAAGTGGTGATCATTGTAAATATTCTGTATTTGCAGTTTCAAGGAAATCAGAGTTGGTGTTAGGGTATTACCCAGGGGTGGTCGTAGGTAATTCCCAAAATGTCTCAATTTGTGTTCAGGTTGATGGGGCAAATATAGGGGGCGCTAAAGAGACCAGTAAAGGTCATTGGGTTGTACCAGATCCCGAGGGCAATCATGTGCAAATGTTTAAAATCCTTTAAGCAAGAGAATTTCACCCATAGTGATAGAATATGGAGACAGGACTTCCATAAGATCGACATATACCAATTACAACAAAAGATCTATATTATGTTTCATATTAAATTGTATTGAAATGTGTTAAATTTGCCCATTGGACATTAAATGAGATTATAATCAAAATCATATAATTTATTAAGTCCAGCAAGGCAACTTCTAAAATATTGTTTTGTTAGAAAAAGCAAAAAATAGCTGATGCATTTTCACATTAAAAAAGATTATACAGTAAAATCTTTGTATATTGAACATTATTGCGTAGAAAAATGTTCATCGTTGGTAGGTGTTCACTACAGAGAGGGTAATGTAAACAGAAGTCAGGTGTTCACTAGAGAGAGGTGTTCACTAAGACAGGTTTTACTGTATATGAATTCTATTTTCATATAAAGGCTTGTTAGCTGTTCTGAAAAATTAATGCATATTATTTAGTGAAACATTAAAAAAAAAATGAAACCTCAAATACTTTCATTTTCTATCCCTGGCCTAATTAGAAAATCCAGTTTACAACTTCACGTATGGAACTTTGACTGTGAGGTAAGAAATGAGTATGCACTCCAAATCTTAATAGAGTGTTAAAAACAATGCAATGTTTCATAGTAATTACAAATGTGCAATTGATTAGTTTGAAGTATAGCCTAAATGTAATATGAGGTGCAAGTTATAAGTATCCATATTATATCAGTCAGTAAGGCTGCAATTTGTTGAAGTTTTTTATTAAAGCCACTTCACTTCTATTTTCTTCAACAGTTTCTATAAAACTTCAATAAATTGCATTATCTAAAATTATATTAAAATTGTTAATTGATTGTGTTTTATTGTAAATAATTGTGAAGATTATTCAAATCACAATATTTATTTGACACCTTGTCAAAGGCAAACTATGCTGTCTTTTTCTCCTTTTGAAAGCCTAATGCACTAGGCTTTGGCACTCAGCCAATGAATCTTCACAATTTCCTTATGGATACTTCAGTATAATGTTTATTTCATACCACAAGTGTTGATATATTGTTATGGTCTCCAACTTTTTTGTGGTTGGTGTTTGGCATCTGCAACAAATGGCGTCTGTAACAAATGATATCTGTAACAAATGGCAGGTGGTGACATTTTGCATGTTTATGCCTTGTATGGTATTGCAATAATTTGTATTAATAATCAGAGTGTACATTTCTTGAGAGAGGTAAGAGAGTGTCAGAGTATAGTATATATGTACAAGATGAAAATCGAATTGTTTTGGAAAGGGTCATATTTAGGGATATTAAATATGTTTGTCTCTGATTTATGAATAGCATTTCATGACTTGCTTTTGCTTACTTAGTTGATATTATTGGCTTCAGTTGGACAATCGGAACAAAGTTAGATATTATATATTATGATTTTATTTTCTACCCTATTATTACTTTATATCCTGTTATTATTCTATATATTTATGATTTTGAAAAATCAAAGTGATTTATGTTTTTGAAATTATTTTTTGTAAATTGTAACAAGAATGTATGTAAATATAATCAATTGAGAATTCCATTGATCAAATCAAAGAATGAGACGTGTTAGATACAATATTTTTGTAAATACTATTGTTGTCAGGCATTTTTGTAAATGCATACTATAGTTGTTGGGCATTTTTGTAAATACTACAGTTGTTGGGCATTTAGAAATTCATATAATTCAGATTTTCTTCCAAGATTTCATGGGTTCTGACTTTATTTCTTTAAAACTGAAAAACTCTTGATTTTTTTAGGTTAATTAAAAAGTGATTCTGAAAAGGTGAATTTAATGTAACTTCTGATTAACAGTGTGATAAGATGCTAAATGATTGTATGTTATGATTATGTTAAATAAGACTTATTGAAACAAAGAAATATTATTGTTTTTATTTCTTAAAGGCTCATTCACAATTGCTTTAAGGCAGCCGTACGGGATCCGTAGCTTCACAAAATCATTAAAGAAAATCTACGTTGCACAAATTATCCCAATATCTCTAGGATGAAGAAAAGATTCTTCATCCTAGCAATATCTTTTGCTACATATTCCTCTCGGTTTTGGGAAGCTACGACCGTCGTATGGTTGCCGCAGATCAAATGTGAAAGTTTTACCCAACCATCTGAGGAAGATAAATTAGTTACGTACAATCTTCATGGTTGGACGGTATGGACCTGAGACCTCATTATCCGGTCGACGCACCGCAAATCGCAATCGCAACGTAAATATTTAGCGAATCGTACGCAAAACGATATTATGAGGTCATCTCAAAGGCACTCTAGCGCAAATTCATTGCCGTTTTGCGTCTTTAGCGCAAATCGCAGTTTTCTTATTACACGGTAGACGCATCGCTATTTTCATTTCGAATCGCAAATACACTGCTAACCGCACGCAAATTGGTATTATGCAGTCATCGCACAGTTGCGTCCACGTAAATCAGTTGATTTTTATGTCGCAAACTCCACTTTATTTGCGGCATCCCTGACCCTGCCGCAATATAAATCGCTAACATATCATCAAGAATCTTGATAGTTTTCCTATTTAAATTAACATTATCGTTGTAGAAATCTAGGAAGTGCCCTTTGAGACATCCAACTAAAAATAGGTTGAAAAACATTAGAGACACAAATAACCAAAACCTATCAAAATCAAGTCTGAAAGTGCACGATTATGCTACCTTGGTTTTGTGAAATCTATAATAAATATCGCAATTCCATTTCGCAAATATCGTCTGCTAAAATTAAAATATTAGGGTTCGATCAAGCTGGAAAATGTGGCGCATATTATTCCAGGATGTTCACAATAGAAGAGGTTTACGCTTATTCAGAGACAGGAGTCAGCCGTTAGAGATGACTGACGATGAGATATTAAACAGATATCGCATGCCGAGGCCACTCATTCTTGAGTTGATTAATATATTAGATGGGGATCTAGCGTCAAGAACAAGGAATCCTCAGGCAATTCCATGTCAGCTAAAAGTATTCATTTCATTACGATTTTATGCTACAGGTTGTATGCAAATGATAAATGGAGATATATTCGGGGTATCCCAACCTACTGTTTCGAACATTGTTGCTGAGGTATCGGCGGTTTTCTCTAGGTAGGCTATATCAGTCGGACTAATTACAAAGACACCGTACGTGTCTTGTTTTCAAGATGGGCTGCCTTCCAGTGACAGATGTAGATTTTCGCAAGATATATATAGGTTATGTAGTGGGAGGGATTCAATATGGGTTTTATTATGATGGACAATATGATATTTACCGAGACCCCGGAGGGTCAGAGGGAAATACCAAATTGTCCCTCACAATATGTGAAATATCAAATTGTCATGAGGAATAAACCCATATTTAATCCCGACCAGTAAATTAGCTTTTTATTCCATAATATTCATAACTGTCTTCATAAAATCATTAGTTAGAATTTTCTATGAAAAAATGGTATATTTAATTTAAGAAAATATGACTTAGGTTTATGATATTTTTAAATATAAAAAAATTATTGTACATGTGTAACATAAACACATCAACATCAAAACATTCAGCAATACGTAAGCATTTTTGTCTGTGTCAGAGCGATGATGATAAAACTGGAATTCGTTTTTCACATAAGAACATCATTTTAGCATGCTATATCGACCCAACTGATTGAAAGAGGAAGCTTTGTTTGGCAAAAATTTTCAATACGATTTTTTCTCAATAAAAATATTAGGGAATTAGTAGTATCATGGGATAAATAGAGATTATCCTATATGAGGTTCAGGATATTGAACTATAGGATGATCTGTTTATCCCATACCAATTTTGGTCATTTTGTTCACGCTGTTCAATTGGCCGGAGTTCAGAAAATGTCCAACAAACCGTAAGAATTCATTTAGAATAGCCTGATTTTCAGATATTCATCCACATTTATTTAATCCCAATATCATGAACCGACTATAGGATGATCTGTTTATCCCATACCAATCTTGGTCATTTTGTTCACGCTGTTCAATTGGCCGGAGCTCAGAAAATGTCCAACAAACCGTAAGAATTCATCTAGAATAGCCTGATTTTCAGATATTCATCCACATTTATTTAATCCCAATATCATGAACCGACTATAGGATGATCTGTTTATCCCATACCAATCTTGGTCATTTTGTTCACGCTGTTCAATTGGCCGGAGTTCAGAAAATGTCCAACCAACCGTAAGAATTCATTTAGAATAGCCTGATTTTCAGATATTCATCCACATTTATTTCTGAAATCCTTGTTTAACAGGGATACGCTCATTTCCTTCCTTCAAACAGATCGCGATTGTCTGCCTTTTCTCCATTAACGTTTACAGTAATTATGCGCATGTTACAAAAACGAACCAATATGCGAACGGCGATTATGACGTCAGCGGGCAGATATACTATATCTGCCCGCTCAGAGCGGGACGTATAGCTATATCTGACCGCTGATGAAAATATATAGAGGTTATTTAATGGGAGGTTTTTGATACAGGGTATATCTGAGGGAAATACAATATATCAACCATCATATAAATCAATCAAGCAATAGCTTTGTTGGAGAGTATCGGGTCATTCTCCATGCAGTCGTACAAATTATACAAACACGAATAGCAAATGACGCATGCGTGGAGATTAAAGAATATCGAGTTGGAACCCAGAGGCCTCATTATCCGGTCAGCGCTAAATTAGCGTTGCGATTTGCGTTGCGCTTGCGAATCAACATTATTCGCAAGCGCAAATCATGGTTTGCGTCGTATTACGCGCTTCACGCAAACGCAGACGCAACGCAGACGCAACAGTATGCTAATCGCAAATAAATTGGAAACGAGGGAAATTTAAACTTAGAGCTCAAAATAGATTTATCGATTTTTTAATATCTATGTATATGTTTACGCTAGTGCGGATGTGTCAATCAATGTTATCTATTTCAACTGGACTCAAGGAGGATTGGAAGCCAGGGTTCCAACTCGATATTCTTTAATCTCCACGCATGCGTCATTTGCTATTCGTGTCTGTATAATTTGTACAACTGCATGGAGAATGACCCGATACTCTCAACAAAGCTATCGCTAGGTGATTGTTTTGCAGAATATCGGTGTTGCATTCTGGTAGCCAATCCTCCTTGAACTGGACTTGCATTTGCATAAAGCATATGATTGGTTGGTTCTTCGCGCGTTTATTTCCCAAAACATGATCCTGCACGTAAGACAATCAG